AGATAGGCTTAGTCTAATCTAGCCTAAGTAAGGATCAGATAGGATTAGTATAATCTAAGAGTATAGTAGAGGATAGATGGATATATAAGGAAGGGGATTTCCTAGGTAGACAGCTAGATCTCCACTGATTAATCTAAGTAATAGTTCTACTATTAGGAGTAATCTCCTAAACGTGACTTAAGCTACGATACTACTCATCTACACCTATGGTGCATTTAACCTAAACTCACTTCCTAAGAAACAGATTTATACTGTGGATTAGAGAAGAGCCACCGTTATAGGGTAGTAAGTCTAGTAGCTCTATTACTATATTTTCTATATAGTAGAGATACTTCTTTACTAGCTTATTACCTTCTTATTTATACTTTATTATCTTATAGGTAGTTTATTATACTTTTATATTAGTGTTATTAAGCTCTTCTTTATACTAAGTATTAAAATTCTCCTAAGTAAACCCTTAATAGCTCTTATATAAGTTTATTATAAAGAAGTAAGCTAATTATATCTACACTTCTCCTTTTAAACACTATATAGTGTATATAACCTTCTTAATATCTTCTATATAGTCTTCTAAGTATACTTAAAAGTGCGTTTATAGTATAATAATAAAGCTAATATATTCTTAGAATAACTTTATACTAAATACTATACTAAGTAGTTTTATTATTACTATACGTTTTTTATAAGGTTATTCTTTTAAGAGGGTTTTTAATTCTAATATTACTATAATATATTAGCCTTTTATTACTTATTTATAGTACACTATAAGTTACACTTATTTCTACTCTTTTATTATATATTAGATACTAATTTATATCTCTTCTATAGATATTATACTAATAGTTATAGTTTTAATACTATCTATTAGATCTAATTAAATAGGGGATAGGACTTATATACTACTTATAGTGTGTTTACTATTAGGTTATAAGGAAGAAGTTATCTATTTAGTTATTATACTATAAGTAGTCTAGCTTCCTATATACTAGGTAGTAGCGATAATCCTATAAGGTACTTCACTTAGAGGACTCTAGTCACATAATAATCCCTTTTATATTTTTATAAAGATGGAATTATTACTGCCTCCTTATAGAGAGCTTAGTGGCAGCTCACTGTTATATAGGTGCTTATACGCACCTAACACATACAATGTAGGGGCTCTAACAGGTGCCCTAATAGGACCCTGATAGGGTGAGTCTTAGGAGAATACATCCACGCCCAGGCCAGTTTCCATGCTGCCTAGAAAGTCTGTTTTTTAACCACTATCGTTATATGCCTCTGTTGGACGAACTCTGATTACAAAAGTAAACTACCTACTCATTCCTCCTCCAAGGCCAAGGGGAGGAGCAGTTGGAAGCCACGGACGATGACGCGATTCGAGAAAGACTGGTAAAAAGGCTTGCAAGTGTCCGGATTCGAGATATCGGGGAGCGAGGCCCGGTCCAAAATATTTCAAGTTTGTGGCGCGTTTTGACGCTCTGTCAACTGGTAGCTGCCTTCAACAACGTAACTGCATTGCGTTGCGTTTGCATTCGGGTTGCGTTTGCCCTGCCAGGCTGACGGTCCGACTGACAGCTGTCACGTCCGACTGGCAGCTGCCACAGTCCGGCCGGCAACTGCCAAACAGCGGTGCCCCTCACCCTCCACTCACCAATGACTTGTATTTCACCATCGACAAAAAGAAAATCAGTCGTAACAAATTCACGGAAAATCGCAAAAAACAGGGCCCAGCCGGGATTCGAACCCGGGGCCTCTCCCAATTTCTTCAGTTAACCGAAGAGGGCGTAAAAGTGGGCCCGAAGGGAAAATCATACCACTAGACCACTGGGCCATGCCTGATTGGTACTGTTGAAAGCGGAATTATTATTTTACTATTTAAATTACATAAGCGTACAACTGTTCACATGCCCAAGAGTCAGAAGTCAGCTTGGGCCAAGACTGCTGTAGAGGCCATGCAGCTTGCTACCGCCTAAATTTCTTCACCATCTAACACTGCACCAGACATTTGCTTTAATTTTACCTTACATTGAGACAGATACGGATTTCTACTGCTCTTGCTTGAGGCAGACTCAAGACACCATACATTTGCTTTTTGCTTTGCTCCATGTAGGAACTCTGTTCCCACAGCGCAATACAAAGTACCAGAATGCGCTCAAGGACAACTTGTTAGTGACTTCTCCCACATTTGGTTTCGCAACTTGCAGGGCTATAGTCTGTAACGTATTAGATCCGATCCCAGGCGCAGTGTCCCAGTAACCGTCGCCAGACACCGTCGTATTCGCGATGTGGTTTAGGTCAGACTCGGAGACACTGGTTCCGATCACAATGGACAACGAACTTGGAAACCGCGAGGTGAAGTTACTTTTAGCCTAGGCGCAAGATAAGCTCACACGTCTAATGCATGCAAGAGGAGGATAGCCACAAAGTGGTCATTGTGTACGGAGCAGAGCGAAGTGCACAATGAAAGCGATAGTTGTGTTCACAATTACCATCAGGAGCAAATCGGCGAAGTGTATTGTGATGTAGAAGCAAAGAACTATGTAGGCAGGTATGAGCAGTGGAGCGCGTGAGTGACCAATATCCCCTCGGCCGAAACAATAAAGACGTTGTCCTCGATGTCGTGATAAACTTTTTTTCTCTTAATTTCCATGCATCTTGTTGCTGAATCAAGACCGTTGCGACGTTGAATAGAAAAATGTCGTGCTTCTTCTTAAACATCAACAAACAAACTCAACTTCCAGCGTCTTGACTTTTCTTCAAGAAACGCAAAACTTTCGAGGCAAAATCCTTGGCCCTTTATCGCTAACCTCGTCACAAAAGTAAAAGAAGAAAACAAAGAGAATCCAACGTGATATCTTGTCACCACGGCGGGTGCGGCTTCAGCGTCAGCGATACAGTCTCCTCTCAAATGCTAACAGCTGAGAAGCAGCCTCTTGATCCTCTGAGCGAAATCAGGCCTTGGGAAGTGCTGAATGCTGGTGCATCGACATAGACTAAAAGAGGGCTTAAAGTCCAGGTTGCTGCATCAATGTCGCATGAATCAGTGGATGTATAAAGGCGTTCAGGTTCAGGTATGATGAGCTTATTTATACCCACACTACTACTGCGAAGTGTTGCGCATCGACAAGGTCGCGTCCAAGTAAAGCTTTGTGAAAATTTGGTGGCAGCCTTGCGGTTGGGGCTACCAGGATCCAACCGCGTCTTTTTCTTTCTTTCTTTCTTTCTCTCTTTTTCCCTCTCTCTTTACGACTGCCTCCATGTCGAAGGGTCCCCGTGTCAATCAGAGACGCGGTTAGGTCCAAAATGTGCGGCCTCACCGCGCCGCCACGCGGGTAGTACCGCTTTATGATGGCCGCGTAAGGGTGTTCCTTTTTCGCGTGGTTAGTAGTGACTATGAGCCAGTAGAGAAAACACTCACGTAAAAGTTGTAGGCGGGCCGCTGAGAAGATCGTCTGTGGTTGGAAAATCTGCTGCGGCGGCTGGGAGTTGAACTGGTTCAGTGTTGAGGTGAAGAATTTATAGCCTTTTTCGCTGCTTACAGAAATTGATTGATGAAACGATAGGATTGACTGTAATCTGATTGAAAAAACAATTAAGTCGAATTTGGAGCCGAATGGCGGAGATTATCATCGTGATGCGAATATCTGTTGCCGCGGCGGCGACAAGAACTGGGAGGGCAGATCGCAGCGCCGAACAAGCCAGTCACACATTCCACACCTTATTGCCATTATACCGCTTCGACGCGTGCTCGACCAAGAACTGCAAGCGTTCTATATCGAATCCCACAACACATCCAAACGTAGCGCTTTTTGACAAGCGTACTCTACCAGGAGGCCCAGCGCTTCCTGGCAAGCTTACTATCTACCAGGTACCAGGAGCCTTCCTGGCAAGCTTACCATCTCTCAACAAGTTTACCATCTCCCACGAGCTCCTGATCTCTCAAGCTTTAGCGAGAGCAACTCGTTTACCATCCAGTTCTTTCAGACCTCAGCTGAAAATCGAGGTCTGAGAAAAAATATCGAGCCATGTTGGGAGGAGGGCTTGGATCCATTGTTAAAGAACGCGGCCGTTGACTATCTGTGCACCGTCATCTACGAGCCTTCCAAGCAAGAGGACGGCGCCGCCGGGGACGCGAGGATTCTCCTGTTCTACGCGGACATTTTCATGTTCGCGGACAAGGACGCCAGCAAAGACCTTCAAGCCCTGGCACTGAGTAAGTTGGACAAGTTTGGCAAGTTGAAGAGCGACGTGCCGAGCATCCTCATCGCGCTGCCGGCCAAGATACCGCGACAAGTTCTGGGCCGGACTGTGCAATGGCGCACCGGAGCGATTCCCTTCTCTCCCCATCGGTTGTGCTTGATAAGAGCCCGTAGTTATTCTTCCGAGAAGATCATTGATTCGAATTCAACCAGAGGACGCGCCTTTCGGTTGAAATAAAACGGTAATCACCACTCTTGCTGCTGGCCTGTGCGATGCACACCTGATATGTCCTGCATGATATGGACACACGTCGTCGAGCTTATGACGGAACCCTCTGGAGATTTAGTACAAAAAAAGCATTCTTATACTCTAAAGCCAATATTTCTTTCACAATTTTTAACAATCATCAATCTTGTTACTTTTTTTGTACCAGAGCTTTTCCTGCTGCATCCTTGCGCCCCCACAGGCTGGCTACCACTGGGAGATGGCATGCGCTGCCCATTAATAAACCATTAAACTCGCTGACGCGGGTCGAGCCGTGGAGCCACACACCACAGAGCGCGTCTTGGACTTTCTCGCTGACACCGCGTCCACAAACATCCACACCAAGTCTACTTTACCCTTCCTTAGCGAAGCATTGATTTATGCTCACGCGTGCACAAGGACGTATTCATTTCCTTGTCGTCCACCCTTCTCTTCTGCATAGCTACACTCCTCACATATACAGCATTCACGCGACGCTGCCCGCCGCATGCATTCAGCGGCCGGCCGGCCCGACAAGCATATAGACTCTCGCAGCCATGTACTTGCCGCGTTCGTTAATATCCAAGCTCTACATTCACCTCCAAAACTCGCGACATCCGCTCTCTCCTCCTGTCCTCATCCTCGTCGCCCTCGAGCCCGACGCCCTCTGCGGCTGCCGCATTTTGACGCGACTGCTCAAGCATGACTACATCCCCCACAAGATACAACCCATCTCGGGTTATGACGACCTTCAAAGGGCCGGCAAGGAACTCGTCATGCCCATGATGCAGTCGCAGGGTGGCGCTGGCGGCCTGGTCGTTTGCCTAGGCGTTGGTGGGATGGTCGATCTCGGCCCGCTGCTAGGTCTCGAGCCCGAGGGTGACGAGAATCCTTACAGTGGTGTTGAGGTCTGGGTGCTCGATGCTCACCGTCCGTGGAACTTGGCCAATGTATTTGGTGGCTTTCCACTGCAGCCCTCATCCGACAGCACACCAACCTACCAGTCACGTAGCCCCGTTGGCATATCAGGTGGTGCGATTGGACGCGCCTACAACTCTGACCGCGGCGGCATTGTCGTGCTTGACGACGGCGATATCGAAGAAGATCTCATGCCGGAACGTGATGCGTACCTGGCGCTGGTAGACATGCCGGATATTGAGAACGACGGCGCCGAAGACTACGGATTGAGCAATGAGGATGACAACGGCGCCCCCCCGGAGCCCCGAGCCCTCGCCGGTCGGAAACGCAAGAGCTCGTCCGGCTACATTGACGGGTTGAGCGACGACGACGACGAGGACGATAGACCCCACCAACGACGGCGGAGTAACTCAGTACGTGAGGGCATCACATCACAGTATCATGGGCTAACACTTTACAGTCGAGCCCTCTTCCAGTTTCACCAAGACGACCGACACACCGAGGACTAGTCTCACTGCGAGATCCGGAAGCCGGACTCTCTAGCGATCCCATCGAGCCTCCGTCGGGTGCGCAGGAGCCTCCGGCGCCGTCGGCTCGCGCCCTTCGGCGAAAACTTCTGCGAATGCGAACTAAACACGAGTCGGTACTGAGTCAATACTACCAGATGGGGTCGTCATTTTCGGAGCCCATCTCCTCCATGATGTACTCGCTGGCCTCGGAACTCGGTCGGGAGGACAACGACTTGCTGTGGCTTGCAATCGTTGGTGTGACGTCAATGGAGCTGTACGGAAAGTCATCGGCGGGCGTGGCTGCGCCAGTTCGGGGCTCGGGTGGAAACCGACCAACAGGTTGGATGGGAGTGCGTGGCGCGCGCCTCCGCCAGTTGTTGCGAGATGAGGTTCGCCGATTGAACCCCCCCGAGATGACCAACGGACGCGTTGCTCCCGAGAACACGGGCGTCATTCCGACAACGGCACGCAGCCCTGAAGACACCGCCATCAGGCTATCGCCAGAGCCACGCTTCCTCCTCATCCGCCATTGGAGCCTATACGATAGCATGCTGCACTCTCCATACTTGTTCTCGCGTTTAAAGACGTGGAGTGATAGTGGGATCAAGCGCCTGCACAAACTCTTGGCTAAAATGGGGGTCAGCCTTGCACAGTGCAAACAGAGCTACACACACATGGACATGATGCTCAAGCGAGAGTTGCGAGCCAAACTGCTCCAGTACGGCGGCATGTACAATCTAGAGGAGATGGTACCAGCGGTAGACACGGACGGTAAGGACCGTGCAGGGGCCAAGGATGGATGGGGTTTCGTGCGGAGCTGGGGATGGCGGGCAACACTATCTGCGCAGGATGTTGGTGTGGTAATCGGTGCTCTGCTCGAAGTTGGCAAGCACGCTCAAGCCTTGGACCTGTCGTATGCTGCCAGCCAGGCTAGCCGCGATATTGAAGATGACGCCGAGGTTGCGGCACAGGCACAAGAATGGGTTGGGCGATTCTGGGAGGCCTACGATGCGCTGGAAAACATTGACGCTTTGAAAGCTGCCGTACCGATCGCCCAGTTTCTTCATAGGGCGATCTACAGAACCGGCACATCGCTTATCAACAAGAAGCAAATCAAACACTTGCGGGCATTCAGGCTCTGCCTGGTCAAGGACGGTCCTGATGTATCACTCTTTACTCATCCTTCGGCATTGACGAAACTGTCCTTGTGGATTGGAGAGGCGCTCGCCGAACAAGAGCAGGAAGCGAGCGGCAAGCTGTCGCATGGAGGTCGCGGAACGCCGTTGGTGGTGGCCAGTCTGCACGAAAAGCGCGGAGTGTACGTCGTGGTCGGCACTGGTGGTGGCGGCGGCCCTGACTCTGCATTCATGGCCAAGGAGGCAGCGAAGCAGCGGCAGCAAGTCAAGGAAGCCAAAGCGAAAAAGAGGGAAGAATCTCGCCTGGCAAAGGAGCAGGTGAAGGCGCAAAAGAGGGCGGCCAGGGAGGCGGCGGGCGAAGATGTGGACGAGCTGGAGACGGAGTCGGAGGACTCGGAGGGGTCGGATTCGGACGTCGATGCGGACGAGGAAGAGGGCGAGCAGGGCAAGGGCTACGGACTGAACCGATTTGGCAGCGCGTTTCAGGAAGTGATTGTCGAGACGAGTGCGCGAGTGAGAATTGACAGCTTCGAGCACTGTGTGGTGGAAGTGAAGAAGGAAGACTTGAGTGGCTTCCTGGAGAGCCTGAGCACGAAGGTTGTGGTTGGGTAGGTTATATCGGTACATGGCATGGGCACAGCGAGTGATTTTGAATTCATGACTGGAACGCAAGAATGTGGCATTTGCTCTTGTCGATTTGATTGATGACAGGAGTCTTTCCTTTGACAAGATGAACGGCGCGGGACGGGATGCATTTGTTTTTGTCTGTGTATTTGTGTATTGGAATGGCAGCATGATAGGCAGGTAGGCATATCTGGAGTTGCTGGAGCTGCTGTTCACCATATTGGGGTAGCCGCAGAAGCAGCAGTGCATGGACATCCCGTCGGTATAGAAGGTATTAAAAAAATAAACATTAACTTTGGCATTTACATAATGAGATGACATTGATCGGGTGGACGGCTGGATGTGTGGGAGGAAAAATGGAAAAAGAAAATGGGAAAATACTTAGTTCGACAGCGGTTCCTGCCAAGGACCTACCTAGTTGGGCAAGATGGCAGGTTAGACAGGGTTGGTGATTGTGGCAGTGCTGCGATCGTGAGGTGACGATGGTGGAGGTTTTGTGTGAGGGAGCCAACGGTGGCGTACTAATTTTCTGTGGCGTTTTGTTTTGCTCTGTACTGATTGGCATTGAACAAACCAATATGAGGATCTGTTTAATTTTTTTCTAAAAAATTTGACGTGCAGTTGGCAGATAGCGGCGGGTGCTGACCATGCGTGTTACAGTGTCAGATGGAGGTGTCGTCGATAGTCTGGCAGTTTCGCTACATGTGAGGAGCGGCAAGCTTATTTTGTGGAGTGGAAGGTGGGATGGAGGCAGCAAGACGTTCCATGTCGACGGGTTACTATTTATTCTTTTGCGTAAACGGTCTAATTTACAAGTCTGCTGGCGGCGATGGTGATGTGCTTGCTTGCCGCCCTGAGTGCGATTTTTGGTGAGCTGGCAAAAAAGGGCGACGAGTCAAGGCTAGGCTATTATGGCAGGGATTTATGCTGGTATGGCTTGAGACGAGCGAGAAAGACGATGACAAGCGACACTTGTCAATATCTTGCTAATAATTTGGAGGCATTAACAAAATACTTCCTCCAACGTGCCCCAAAACAAAGGGCAGCCGAGGCCTGTCTAGGCATGGCAGGGACCAGTCTACATACCTAGCTTGTTAGCGCCTCAACCCCACTGATGTAATGCCCTGCAGTGGACACCTCTGATGCTGCAACGTGCTGCCAGCCAGCCAGCCTGCCGCTGCAGTGATGTTGCGTCAGTGGCCAGGCTGCTTGGTCCAGAGTCCAGCTCCCACTGTGGCTTCCCTCTGTCCCTCTTGTTTCGCCATTGTTTCCGCCGCCACATCATAACTTCCCTCCTCTCTTCCTCCTCTAAAAAACACCTGCCAACCTTTGACCTTTTTCACGACACAATCACACGACCTATAGCGAAAAAAAGACACCCATTCTTTTTGACGATTCCGAGCGCCGCTTTGCTTTCCTTCCTTCTCGCCCACCTACCGACTGTCTATTCCTTCCCTTCCCCGCCGTCACCTTCTCCCCCATCAAACCGACCCCTCCGCAGTCTCCGTCGCCGCCAACCTCTACGTCCCAACGGTGCACTTTGACGGTAAGAAAAAAAACCCACCTACATTTTGTCGCTGTCCATTCTTCCGATCCTCCAGGAGCTTACACAATATTGCGCAGGCCGTGATAAGCCCTCGCCGCAACCCGATTTCGGTCCCTCGATTGCCGCACCGGCGCCGACCCTCTCCGCGCGCGCGCCGCTGTTCCAACTGACGGACCCCTTCTTGCTTCTTGAAACTGGGACGATCGCGACATTAAGACCAGACATGGGAAAATCGTGAGTCGCCCTGCCATCCTCCGTCATTGTCCGCCCCCGAATTTGGCTGCCTCTATTGGCCTGGCGGCCTGCGCCATGGTGCGTCGTCAGTACTACGACCAGGCCTGGAAGAGTGACGCGCCCACCACGCAACACCCCCCCTCCCAAAGTCATCACCGTCTTCACTCCCGTTCATGTCTCAGGCGCCCATGCCAGCCGCCGTCAAATTCCCATGCCGTAGCCTTTCTGGGCCAAGACATCATGCGCGCAACATGCACAAGCAGACACCCCGCTAACTTCTACCCGTGGTACCTGGGCACACCGCCGCTAGTCAGTCTAAGCTTTCCCAAGAGCAGCTCGTTGAGCTGCAAAAGTCGACTCACTTTGACAAGAAGGAGCTGCAGCAATGGTATAAGGGTAAGTTTGGAAACATTGAAAACTGCGCATGCTTCCAACAGTCATCATCCCGTCATCCCGTCACTTCCGTACACCTCTCATGCGCAAACTGGCCGACCACGCCAAGCACCTTTCTAACATGCTCCCACAGGCTTCCTCAAGGACTGCCCCTCCGGCCTGCTCAGTAAACAAGAGTTTCAAAAGATTTACCGCCAGTTTTTCCCGTTTGGCGACCCCAGTTCCTTTGCCGACTATGTCTTCAACGTCTTTGACAGCGACCGCTCTGGCACTATTGACTTCAAGGAGTTCATCTGCGCCCTCAGCGTTACCAGCCGTGGCAAGATGGAGGACAAGCTTGACTGGGCCTTTCAGCTCTACGACATTGACCGCGACGGCAAGATAACTTACGACGAAATGCTTCAAATCGTTGAAGCCATCTACAAAATGGTACGCGCAAATATCCCACCGGCTCCTCCGAAGTTTTCATGGCGACTAACATCCATGCAGGTCGGGTCAATGGTCAAGCTTCCTGAGGACGAAGATACCCCTGAGAAGCGCGTCCGTAAAATCTTCCGCATGATGGACAAGGATGAGAACGGCAGCTTGGATATCGAAGAGTTCAAGGAGGGCAGCAAACGCGACGAGACCATTGTCTCGGCCCTGTCCCTCTACGACGGGCTCGTGTAAGCGGCGACAAGCCCACTGCAGCCCTTTTGTACATAGAGAAAAAAAAACACACGGCAAAGCAGGTGCAATGCGTCATGAATTCTTGGTCTGTTGGGTCTATATGCTATTTTTGATGTTGTGACAAAAGGTGTACGGCGTAGATCAAGCCTTGCTGTATGAATAGTTGTCAAGTATGCATCAAATGCGCCATCAATTCAGTCAAGATAGCTCATGACCCAAGCGCAGTACAGCTTTCTATCATTGTCGGCGGGCTTGTTGGCTTGAACCTCGACAACCAACTTGTGGGTCAAACTTCCGAGACACGCACCTCAGAGCTTTTATACCTTTCACTTCATCCACACCAGAGTCATGAGCTACGCCGAGCTGTTCGAGTCCATCCTCGAACCCGAGATCGAGGACGCCGACGAAGGTGCGCGCCTCATTTATATTCACCCGGCGCGATAACCCTTTGTCTTGCTGCACGCTGACGGCCCCCTCCCCCCCCGCAGAGACATTTTGGCTGTACTCGCAGCCGCATCCCTCATCGGACCTCGGCTTCGTCGACCCGCGCGCGGCCTCCGTCGAGGTGCGCGTCGGCGGCACCGACTTCACCGTCCACCAGTCCCCCGGCGTGCTGTCCTCGGACCGCGCCGGCGGCACCACCGGCGCCGGTAATAAACCACCGCCCGTCCTCCTCCTCGCTCCACTCACTCTGCTAACGAAAAACCTTGGCTTCCAGTCCTATGGAAGATATCGCCCGTGTTCGCGGACTGGCTCGCCGCCCCAACCAACTTCCTCTTCTCTCGAAGCCTGCTGGGCGCCGATTCCGCCGTGCTGGAGCTCGGATGCGGCGTCTCCCCGCTCAACGCGCTCGCGCTCGCCCCACGCGTCGCCTCGCACACGCTGACAGACCAGGCGTACGTGCGGCGGCTGATTCGTCGCAACATTGATGACGGCGTTGCCTCTCTGGCCCGCAAGTCGTCCAAGCATCGGCCGGCCGGCCGCATCTCGTTTGAGACGCTCGACTGGGAGACGGACGCGACCCCTCCCGCACCGGGCGGGTTCGACGCCGTGCTGGCGGTCGACTGCGTGTACAACGCGGCGCTGGTGCCGCCTCTGGTGCAGACGTGCGCCGACGCCTGCCGCCGGCGGGGGGCCAAGCGTGTGCATAGTGGCGCAGCAGCTGCGTGACGACGACGTCTTCCGCGCCTGGCTGGCCGAGTTTGTCGGGGCCTTTCGCGCCTGGCGCGTGCCCGACGACAAGCTGCCTGAAGCGCTGCGGCCGAGCGCGGGTTTTGCGGTGCACGTTGGTATCTTGCGAGGGTGAGCCGGGGGAAGCGCGTCCATCTTTTATTTTAGGTTTGTTTTTGTGCAAGGGTTTGACCATGATATGGCTTTCTTTATCTATTTATTTGTTCGTTTTCTATATAGAATCATCGAGCAGAGTGATGATCGCCCTCCGGGCGTCTCTAATACAACGCCGTGCGAGCGTGCACGCAGAGGAGAGTTCTTCTCGCCTAAACACCAAAACGCCAATGAATACCCAACTTGTAATACGCGTTTCCCATGTACCATAGCGTATTAGTTGCCAAACATGTTCGGCCCTCCGCCCATGTTCATGCCCATGCCGCCCATTCCTCCCATACCGCCCATACCCGCCCCAGGGTCGCCGCCGAAATGAAAAGTATTAAAGTTTTGAAAGATGGACCCGTCTTGGTATCCTGACAAGATATACGACCAGTCCATATCTGTGTCGTCTAGGTTGGGGCCCGGCGCGGGCGCCTGGGACATGGACGCGCCAACGGGCGAATTCGCCATCATCGGCGTCATCTTGCCGATACCACTGTCGCTATGCGAGCCTGGCGTGCCGTATGCTGGTGGTGAGGGTTTGGGGACCGTCACCATCTCGGCCGGCTCGTTGATGGGGTCGGGCAGGTTCTGCGCCCGCGCGATGCGCCGCCGCTCGACGAACTCCTGCAGCACGACGATGAAGCCGGGGGGCGTGGCCTGCTGTCCGCGCTCGAACAGGGCCGCCTCGCGCGCCTTCCATGCCTTGACGAAGAGGTGACCAAAAGCAAGGTGCATGGGCGAGTGCAGGCCGTGCATCAAGCCGCGCAGGGAGTGGTTGGTAGCGACGCCGGCCCAGGCGCGATCCACCTCGGGCCCGATGAGTCGGAAGCGAAGCTCGTTGACGAGGAACATGTAGGCAGGGAACGGAAAGTGGTGGTGGGTGAACCAGCGATAGCACTTGAGGTTCTCCCGGGACTGCAAGACGTTATCATGCTCCAGCATTTGGGTTGCCTGCACGAAAAGAAACTCGCGGTCGGCTTCGTCGGTCGTCGAGGTGTGTCCATGCGCGAGCCGGACAAGATAGGTAATGACGCGCAGCCTGCTGAGCGCCTGGCGAGTCATGGTGAGTGTAAAGAAGTGGAAGGGAATGTTGGGGTCGCAGTGGACAAGGTATGTCCCTTCTATATGGGCACAAAATCCGTCGATTGTGTAGGTCTTCTTGTCTTTTCCAAGCAGCCTAATTAAGACTTTGCCAGCGGGCTGCTCGATTGGCTGTGTTCCTTTGAAGTCGCGCTCCCAGTCCTCAGGCGTTGCCATGGCAAGCTCTGCACGAATGAGTGCAAACATCATTTCGGTCGCGCCGTTGTGTGCTGTCGGGGGTTCGGCTTGTTCGATGTATAAGTCGGCATCATTGATGTTGAGTGGTATACGAGTGTCATTAGGCACCGCCAGTGCCGTCACAGCCGCGCCTGTCATCTCACCAATACGGCGATCGTACGCCGCAATTGACCACCAAAGACGGCGCCGTAGCTCGCATTCGTAGGCATTTAAGCCTTGACCAGCGGGATCGCGGTGAAGCCCCATGTGGTGAGCCATGCGCACCATCACACCCATGATTGAAAAAACGTGTCGAGGGTCGAGGAACCATCGGATAGCCAGCTATAAGAAGTCAGCATAGAGGTAGCGGAGGGACGTGGGTTGGCTGACCATGTAAAGAAGAAAGGCTTGCAGTGTAACAATGTCCGAAGAGCGCATAAAATTGGCGTTGATAAGAGCTTGTTGCAGTCCTGCAAAGAACTGACCCAGCAACTCCTGCTTCTCAGCCTGGAAGCGCTGCCGTACTTCTTGATCGTCAAGGGACGACACTGCCATCAAGAAAATTGCAAACATCAACGCCTCCATGTCTTTGGGTGCTTGCTCCGGGTTACCAGTATAGGCAATGACTTGTTGTTGGACAGTAGGCACGTGGGTGAGCTTCAAGAGAGGATTCACATTGTCAATGTAGATTTGCCAGAGTTGGAACATTTGTATCGTGGATGGGCGATACTCGGCGAGATCAATCTCCTGGTCGCTGAGGAGAAATGGAAACGGGTTTCGGTTGGTGAACATCCTGTCAAAGGCTTTGTAGATGGTAGGATAGTCGGCCTCGTCATCGGAAGAGTCGTTCAATAGGTTATTGTGGGCGTGGAACTATGAGGTGTTAGCATGTATGGGTGCGAATGAGACGTAGCTCGTACAGTTTTATTGTGTAGTTTGAGAAATGAGCCAAGCTTCCACCGTGCGCCTCGAGCGTGGAGCGCCGACACGTAGTCGCCCTCGGAAGGGCTCGTCTTGAGATTCTCAAAGTCATTCTCCAGCTCGTCGACATCTTCCAGGGTGGCCTCGGACTTTGTGTCGGGGTCCAAGGCGTCAAACTTGATGTTGTGTTGCCGGAGCAGGTCTTCGTACTTCTTGAGCCGGTCCAAGAGGTCCCTCTCCTGCAGGCGCTTCTTGCGGCGGCGGGGTGGTTGGGGTGGCACGACGCGACACTCGGCACCGGCCTTGACGCAGTTGGAGCAGGGCTTCTGCTTGTCGCACCGGACCTTGCGCTGCTGGCACAGGACGCAGCTGGTGCCGCGGGTCAACTTCATGGCGGAGAGATCTGGCTGTGGTTGGTTCGGCGGCCCCATACTCGGGGCCGGGGGTTGGCCGTGTGAAGCCATGGTCGGGTATATTTATCAGCTCGGCGAGCTGCAGGCAGCCGGCATGAGGCGAGCGCGCGGTACAAGTAAGCTGTTATTTTTTCTTGGCATAGGTTTCCAGACAGGTAGACAAGCTACCATGCAGGCATATGTTCAGGAACGCATGTATTGATGATGCGTCATAAGGCTGAAGAAGCTGTATGACTGTTCAGACGGGGACGCTGACGTTTGCGGGCCTCGTCTACGCGGCGGACAGCTGCAATTGGTTGAATCGGGCGTGATCCTTGTCCCAAGGGCAGGATGGGGCCAGTCAATGAACAAAATGACACGTACGGATACAATGCAAGGACGTGTCTCTAGCGTAGGGCGGTATGGTAATGATCTTGGCACCGTTGGCAGGGGGTGGTTGAGGAGTCAAACTGAAGCCCGGGTGCGAGCCATCACCTTCGGTCCCGAGCGGGGAGCCTCGCCACGGAGCTAAGCTTCCCAATCCGGTTTAGTGATATCGGCCACCACGCTCTTTGTCTCGCACCCGAGCTGAGGATGTTGTAGCCCTGCAATTTATTCCCTTTCACCATGTGCCACCGCAAAAGACCCCATTCACCATTTTCTAGCGCTGGAAAAATCAAAGAGAAATGATTTTGTCATCCCATAATAGCCTCGTCTCGATGGGTCCCGGGAAAAGATCTCGGGCTCGACTCTGCCTTATCCCGATTCCCGGCTTTGCAAGTTGACCGAACTCTACATTTATAACAACCATGACTTCCAACCAGGGACAGCCGTTTGTCTCAGCCGAATAAGCCGACTTTTGTACAATACAGCATTGGCAGAGTTATACCTACTGCGAGTCTGATGATGAACTCCTCTGCACAGCCCATCTCTTCTGCGCACTCGCAACATACAGTCTCCTCTGAGACAACAACAGCGATGGAGGCAAACAAGGACCAAAAACCTGCCCCCGTCCTAGAGGCAAGCCCCGAGGCTCTCCAAAAGACACCCACCAGAGACGATGAACTCTACAAGCCCAAAACGCTCAAGTTCTGGCTCGTCCTGCTCTCCACCTTTACCTCCATGTTCCTCGTCGCGCTCGACCGCACCATCATCGCCACCGCCGTGCCGCGCATCACCGATGACTTCAAGAGCCAGGGTGATATTGGCTGGTACGGCTCCGCCTACATGCTGACCACCGCCGCCTGCCAACTCGTCTTTGGCCGCATCTACAGCTTCTACGACCTCAAGTGGACCTTTCTCGCCTCCATCGTCCTCTTCGAGATCGGCTCCGCCGTCTGCGGCGCCGCGCCTTCGTCGGTCGTCTTCATCGTCGGCCGTGCCATTGCCGGCCTGGGCTCCGCCGGCATCATGACCGGCGCCATCATGAGCATCATCCCCCTGGTGCCTCTCCATAAGCGTCCCATGTTCCAGTCCCTGTTTGGCATGGTCTTTGGCGTCGCTTCCGTCGCTGGCCCCTTGATCGGTGGTGCGTTCACGCAGCATGCGACCTGGCGTTGGTGCTTCTACATGAACCTGCCCATCGGTGTCGTCGCCTTCGTCTTCCTCTACATTTTTGAGTTCCCCAAGACAAAGCTGATGGATCTGCCTCAAAGGAAGAAGCTCCTCAGGCTCGATCCCGTCGGCACGACCATCTTTATTCCTACCATCGTCAGCCTTCTGCTTGCCCTTCAATGGGGTGGCTCTACCTATTCTTGGAATAGTTGGCGCATCATTGTTCTCTTTGTCTGTTTTGCCATTGGTGCCGTTGCCTTTGCGACAGTTCAGTATAAGATGCCGGAGTCAGCCTCTCTTCCTTGGCATCTAATCAAGCAACGCACCATGTCTTTCGCCACTTTCTTTATGCTCTTCCTATCTGGCAGTATGATGATGCTTGTCTACTACATTCCCCTTTGGTGTAAGTGGCTACCCATGATATACCGAGGATCTAATTACTAACTTGTGCCCAGTCCAAACGACCCACGGTGTTGAGCCTGTCAAGTCCGGCGTCTATACGATCCCCCTTGTCTTGAGTCTCGTCGTTGCCTCCATCTTGTCCGGTGTCGTTACGCAAAAGAGCGGTTACTACGTTCCCACCATGATTTCTGGCCCTTGCATTCTGCTCATTGCCGAGGGCCTCCTCACCACCTTTACACCACAGACAGGTTCACCTCAGTGGATCGGCTACCAGTTCCTCGCCGGTTTTGGTGTCGGCCTTGGTCTTCAGTCGTCCAATCTGGCTGTCCAGGCCACCGTTGACAAGAACGATGTCGCCACCGGCATGGCGATTTGCTTCTTCGCCCAGCAGCTCGGTGGCGCCATCTTTGTGTCTGTTGGTCAAACCATTCTCAGCACCATCCTCGTTTCACGCCTATCGAATATTCCTGGTCTGGACCCCCACAAGATTCTCAGCACGGGAGCTACAGATTTGCACAATGTCGTCCCTCCCCAATATTTTGGTCATGTTGTGGACGCGTACAATTACGCCGTCACTCGCATCTTCATCGCATGCCTGGCTGTCACGGCTGCTCAGTTATTGTCTTCTCTCGGTATTGAGTGGAAGTCTATCAAGAAGCCTGCGCAAGCAAAAGCCGTCGACCCTGAGGAGCAAACAGAGGACAAGAGGTAGTTCGCGTAATAGTTTTAAAATGTATATCTATGATTTTGATTGCTTGTTTTTTTTCTACTATGGCGCGGCTAGATCCCCTTCTTCCTTGTGACGTGCAGACCAGTCGTTCCAGATGACTGGCTTGTGAGGGCTTCAAGTTTAGATGTTCTTCGCATCCCCTTCCTTGCAATACTTCCACACGACGTTCCCTCCCGCCGCAGGTATTGCGCTGTCTCAACAATTCGAATCATGTACCCATCTCCTCAGCAGCGTTCACGCTCACCTAACAACTCTAGTCACTGTCACTTCAAACGCAGTCAATTTTTTTCACTTCCCCTGACACCTCTAGTCACGGCCACTTCACCTGGCAACCCAAACCAATTCAAACTTTCTTTCACCGCCCCTGGCAACTCTGGTCACTGTCACTTCAACTGGCAACCTAGTCAAGCCTTTTTTCACTTCCTCTAGTAACCCAGTCAAACCTTTTTTCCACTTCCCCTGGCACCTCTAGTCATGGTCATTTCACCTGAGAATCCGTTCACCCCTTTTTTCACAGCCCCTGGCAACCCAGCCACCTCGCAGCCGCCAGCTGGCACACAAAATCAAGTGCAAACGGCGATAATCATAACCTACAAATATAAATCCCGACCCTGCCTACCTCAGCCTACCTTACCTTTCCCACTATCATCATCAGCACACATACCCTCATCCCTGAGCAGCAGATCGCAGACCAGCCCTCAGAGCAGAACACAGACCAGACCTGGGAAAAACAGACCCAAGACCAGACCTGGGAACAAACCGCAGACTAGCGGGAGCAAGGCCATCCAGAGACCATCGAACAGTCCTGGAAGCAAGACAGGCTGCATGTACGCTCAACAGCGTGAGCTGATCCCCGGCCATGAGATTAATCCTTCCCGTGTTGAAGTTCGCACTGTCGACCAAAGTCTCAGCTATCAGAGAGAGATTATCATCTTGTGTGTTGGGCGCTCTGTTCGCAGTGGACACACCAAAGAACTTGAGCGCACCAATGTGGCATTCACTCGTCACATGTTGCTCTCGGTGACTGTGTGTTCTAAACGTATTCTCGACAGACTCGGCAAGAATCTAAAAGTATTCTCGACAGACTCGGCAAGAATCTCAAGGGGTATGCTAACTGGCATACTCGTTATAAACTTACACAGGACGTCAACGGTTGGGAATTTCGGTGCGACAAGTGTTGTCAACATGGACACACGCACGAACGTTGTGGCCAGACTCTCAAATGCGGAATCTGCAACCGCCCTCACGCCGCCCGTCACTGCCAAAGAGGAAGATCAAGACAATGCTACTGAACCCACGCCTGCGCCTAAGGATTCGCAGAAACATGGTGACCAGAAATTGCCTCCAACGACTGAAGACAAGGGTAAAGGCAAAGCAACCGAACCCAAGCAACCACCGGTAAGTGCAGTGGAGGAGACGGAGGGGGACTAACACAGGACTTTTTCAACGCTCTTTTCTTCAACCTCTGTGGCGTGGTGGTTACACGCTGTGGCAGGTCTTCTTTCGGGAAGACTGTTTGGTTCGAATCCAATCGGGGGGCACACCTTTCGGGGTGAACCAAACGTTGATCAAGTTCCTGCAAGAACATTTTTGCAGCACGAGCTCATGGCGGATTGATTTGGCGATTGAGGAAAGAGCAGGGCAACTCGGACCTCATATAACTGATTTGGTTTGAGATTGACTAGCAGCATGTCGTGGAGCGAAGGAATAAGAGGAATTGATTTATTGTACACCTACCTTCCTGTGCCGATGAATGTGAACTCAGTTAGTGTGAAGTTTGTAAACAGCACGAGCCATCTCTTGCATCTCTGGCGACACACAGCAGCATGGTTGACTGGCCATGAAGATTACCTACCCTGCCACCACCATAGACCGTGTGACAATGAGCATTGGGCATTGACTCGGCTGGCGGGCTTGAAGATGCAAGGCAAAATGTGGTAGAGCGCGGCGTCCACCGAGTGAGATCTGCCCCGGCGCCCAAGGCTGGAGAGCCGAGGAAGTACGGCGGCCGGCCGGAGAGAGCACAATGGGACGTGGAACGGCTGCACAGATATAGTGTGTTGTAAAAGTCGGTCGCCCTATGAATTATGTAAATAATTGCGAGAATATTCAATCATGAAATCGAAAAAAAAAAAAGAATGTCTTGTTGGGTGGCTGTCCACATCTGCTGTCGCGCTCGTCCGGTCGGCGACCGGCGACCGCCCTTTTGCCCGAGCGGCCACTGTACTGACTGCACTGGGACTGTTCAGCCAATGCAAGCAAGCCACTGGTTTCTGCCGCTTTACCTTGCAAGACTGACCCTGGCCTTATTATTAGCACCCTGTCATCCAGTAGCCTCAACTTTCTTAGTCTTGCATGTTGCAGCGAAATACACACAGCTGACTGGCTACTACGTCACACTGGCTCCCACATCCATCCATGCCCGCCGCGACGCAACGACATCTTACCTTACCCTCCCACCGCGAATTAATTTCTCTCCTCCTGACTCTAATTCCCTCTCCCTCCTTCTCCTCAATTCCCTCTCTGACTCTGTCTTTTTTTTTTTTCCTTCTTCCCTTTGCTCTCGTTCGCCCCTTGTGTGTTTCGACGTGACCCGAACCGCCCCACGTACGGCAATCAGTTAGCCTCGGCCCCCGGAGAGACAGACACCAAAATCTGGGGAACAAACTCGCAGCAAACAAAAAAACCTCCCGAGCTTGTGAAGGAAGCACCAACCATCCCGACCGCGTGCGAGCGACCTCAATCCCTCTCTCCCTCCCCGTCCTCACATAACCCGCCACGATGCCCACGTCAAACTCCTCCTCCTCCTCCTCCGCCACCACCGAGGCCGTCGCCCACATCGAGCACGCGCTGCCGGACCCCCAGCAGGTCAAGGCCAAGGCCGCCTCGGGCCTGCTCAACCAGCTGCGCGACACGGGCGCCGGTGCTGTCGGCGGCGTCTGCGCCGTCGTCGTCGGCCACCCCTTTGACCTCGTCAAGGTCCGCCTGCAGACCGCCGAGCGCGGCGTCTACTCCTCCGCCATCGACGTCGTCAAGAAGAGCGTCGCCCGCGACGGCCTGCGCCGGGGTCTCTACGCCGGTGTCAGCGCGCCCCTCGTCGGCGTGACCCCAATGTGTACGTTCCCGGACCCCCCTCCCGATTCCAGTCCTGCTCGAATTACCTGCTCACCCTTCCAGTCGCCGTCTCCTTCTGGGGCTACGGCGTCGGCAAGCAAATCGTCACCAACCTCTCCTCCGTCGGCCCCGAGGGCCTCTCCATCGCGCAGGTCTCCGCCGCCGGCTTCCTCTCTGCCATCCCCATGACCGCCATCACCGCGCCCTTTGAGCGCGTCAAGGTCATCCTGCAGGTCCAGGGCCAGAAGCCGCTCGCCCCCGGCGAGAAGCCGCGCTACAGCGGCGGCCTCGACGTCGTCCGCTCGCTCTACCGCGAGGGCGGCCTGCGCAGCGTCTTCCGCGGCTCCGTCGCCACCCTCGCCCGCGACGGGCCCGGCTCCGCCGCCTACTTCGCCGCCTACGAGTACATCAAGCGTATGCTCAGCCCCAAGGATCCCGTGACGGGCCGGCCGGCCGGCGACCTCAGCATCGGCGCCATCATCGCGGCAGGCGGCGCGGCGGGCGTGGCCATGTGGATCCCCGTGTTCCCCGTGGACACGGTCAAGTCTCGCCTGCAGACGGCGGAGGGCAACGTCTCGCTCGGCGGCGTCGTCCGCGAGCTCTACGGCAAGGGCGGCTTCAAGGCCTTCTTCCCGGGCTTCGGCCCCGCGCTGGCGCGTGCGGTGCCGGCCAACGCGGCCACCTTCCTGGGCGTCGAGCTGGCGCACAATGCCATGAACAAGGCCTTTGGCAAGGCCGAGTAAATGTTTTTTGTATTTCTTGTATGCCGGAGTATGGGTGGAACCTGACATGTGAACAGCACTGCACATGATTCTAGACAATAGACCAATAAAACTTTATACACTACAGTGGAAGGATGCAATTATTAATATATATGTCTAAAGATGCAACACATCGCACGACGCTTCGTAACTCATGTCTAGATGAAAACAGTGTCAATCACCAGGTCGCACACCTCGCCCACCGTCGGGAGCTGCCCGCGCCGCAGCAGCCTGCGCAGGCCCATGTCGTGGCTCTTGTTGATGTACCCCGTCGCCAGGAACGCCTTCTCGCTCCCCGACAGCTCGCGCTTCTCCGTGTCCCGCCACCTGCGCTCCGCCTCCTCGCGGGCCTCGCGCAGCACGCGCTCCGTGTCCTCCGACTCCCAGAGGTTGCAGCGGTCGCACTCCTTGCACGGCCGCGGGTCGCCGTCCGGCCGGAAGTGGTCGCAGAAGTGCCGGTACCCTTCCTCGCCGAGGTCCGCGCGGCACACGTAGCACATCCGGTAGCCGCACGGGCACGTCAGCTTGTTGCAGCCCGCGTTCTTGACGAACGACGTGCTGCACCGCGGGCACACCCGCTTGACCGCCATGCTCATCGCCTGCTCGACCTGCGTCCGCAGCGCCACCAGCGACGACTCGTGGCACACGTGCACGTCCCGCCACGCCTTGTGGCACGACAGGCACGACACCCGCCCGCAGTCGGGCGCCCGGCACGAGAACTTGAGCCCGCGCCGCCGCCGGCTGTGCCGCCCGACCGCGCGTGTCCAGTGGTCCCGCAGGTGCGGCGCCAGCGGCGCGTAGGCCGCCGCGAGGGCGCAGAGCAGCGTCGCCAGGAGGATGCCGGGCAGCAGGAGGAGGAGCGCGATGGCCGTGGCGCCGAGGAACAGCATCTGATAGCCGCTGTCGAACCGGATGCGCAGCCTGGCCTCCTCCGCCGGCACGTACAGTTCGTCAATCTCGGCGTAGTTGCAAAAGGGACACCGGATCAGTGGTAGTTGGGATTCGATGAGGGAGTGGTCTGCCAGGCGGCGGTCCAGCTTGAGGAGCATGTCGGCGCCGCCCTTGTGCTGCATCATCGCCTGGTGGAGCTGCTCGTGCGGGACCTGCCCGGGGCACCGGTCGCCCTCGGTGGAGAGGCACCTGAGCGTGCCCGTCTCGGCGTTGACGCTGCTCTGCCAGCCCTGTCCGAAGAGCGCCTCCCTGATGGCGTGGTGCACGCAGTGGAGGCAGGTCATGTGCCCTGACGCGGTGCAGGCGGTCATGTCCTCGAACGGGCCCGTGGCGAAGCAGCACCCGCACTCGTACGTGGCGCCCGCCGCCTCCGCCTCCTGCTCGTTCAGCGTGCGCGCCAGCGCGCCGTCGGCCACCTCGCGGGCCGCCCTGTCGCGGGCCTTGAGCGGCGCCACCAGCGCCTCGTAGAGCTCCCGGTCCAGCTCGGCGCTGCCGGTGGCGCGGATGGTCGGCACGACGGCGCCCTGGCCGGTCGACCGCCACGCGACGAGCGGGTGGTTCTCGGCCTCGCCCGCGGCGACGACGGGCTTCCGCCGGAAGAAGATGGAGGAGATGGTGAAGCGCCACGACTTGGACGACAGCGTGGCGAGCGTGCGGCGGGACTCGAGGTACGCGTAGTTGGACTCGGCGAGGACGCCGTCGATGGTGGAGCGGGAGAGGCCGCGGAATTCGTGCCAGGCGAGCGCGCGCACCGCTCGCTTGTACTCGGGGCTGCGGAAGGCATCGGTGCGGGGCACGGCCGGGCCAGGGGCGTCGTCCTTGTCGGCCACGCGCCACCGACCCTTGACCCAGGTGACGCGGTTCTTAAGCAGCGCGTCGGCGACGAGGGCCAGCCGCGACTCGCCGTCAAAGTTGGACAGCAGCTCGCGGAAAACCTCGACCTGGACGTCGGGGAAGATGGCGGCCAGCGCCTCGAGGCAGCTGTTGAGCTGGTGCAGGTCGGGTCGCTCGGGCGGCACGCACGGCAGCTGCGCGGCATCGTGGATGTACTCGGGGAGCAGGTCCTCAGGCCCGGCGGCCCGGGCCGGCTTCGATCGGTTCGCGGACGCCTTGTCGCTGGACGAAAGGATGCCGAGGGACACCATTTTGTGTTGTCATCAGGCGTGCATGGTTGAACGGGGGGAAAGGTGGCGAAGTTGGATGTCGTCCAAACGGAGGTCTCGAATGTCGAAGCCACACAAGCACAAGCCTCGGAAAACCAGCCCCACAACTCACGAGTTTTGTCCCAACAATCAGCTAGATGAAACATTGTCCTACAGAATCATCAAGCATGCCCGAATATTACGACAATGATTTTTGTATCTTACTGCCTAGTGTCGGATGACTTCCACAGCTACGCAGTCCATGTAGGCGGGCATGCTGTGGTTATATAAGTCCTGCACTGTTGGCCAGCATCACAGTTCGTTCACATGGACACACGCTAACAGCATTATCTATGACTACCATGGTCTGACTTCGTATATTCGACCACCCGTATGCGCGGAAACAAACCTAACAATAATGGCTTAACAAAACCCCAACGAGTCCCCAACGCCGTATACTGTTGCCAAGCAGCTGGACATTGAAGCCCGTGCTGTTGTACATGGATCCTTCATTCGCCGTGACAGCCGCACTGCTCTCTTCACCCTATCCAAACATCACATCTCGTCATTCACTTCTTGCGGCCCTCCCTCTATTGTGCTGGAACGGAGCCATCTTCTAGCCCGGACGCGGCTTCCACGTTATGGTAATCAAGGATCTCAGAGTACCTATGCTTGAGTTAGCCTCTCCAAGGACGTCAGTCAAGAGCAGTGCTGCGTACATCATGATCTTCCACGAGTCCACAGGAAGATCGGCGTCATTGAAGCTCCAGTCAAACTTTTCCTCCGCGACGGGTTCGTCAGTGGGATCGTGGTATGGGGCAAGATAGTCGTGCGAAAGCGCCTCAGCAGCCGTAATGCGCTTCTTGGGGTCAAAGACGAGCATGCGCTCCATCAAGTCGATTGCTGTCTTTGTTAGCAGAAGCCTTACAGCATCGATGAGCCGCGAATAAAGCACGCACCAGAATCGTCTGCATTCTTAAACTTGTTGCGAAGTGGCTGGCGTTCGCGCTTGGGTAGCGACTTGACGAATCGTAGCGTCTATACGTGTAAGTCCATGAGTGGCCATGAAAGGGACAAGGGGCACCTACATTTTCGCTGGCAATGGTGTTTATGACATCATCGGGCGGCGTACCGAGAAGCTCGGTGATGATGGAAAACTGGTTGACGTGATCTTTGCCCGGGAACAAGGGCTTACCATCGAGCATCTCGGCAAAGATGCAACCAGCGCTCCAAATGTCGACCTCGACGTCGTATTTTTGCCATGTGAGCATAATCTCGGGGGCGCGGTAGTATCTGGTGGAAACGTAACCCGTCATCTGCGGGTCTTGGATTCGGGCGAGACCAAAGTCGCAAATCTTGAGATCGCAGTTTTCGTTGACAAGAATGTTGCTGGGCTTCAGGTCACGGTGAACGACGCCGGCCGAGTGGACGTACTTGAGACCGCGCTGAAAGGATCGGTCAGCTTTCGCGCGGCAGCTTGTTGGGATGCACATACCATGATTTGGTACAGAAAGTATTGGATGAATTGTTTCTCAAGTGGTCTCGACGTGAGAAGTCTGTGAAGGTCGGTTCCTAGGAGCTCGGTGACGAAATAGCTGCGACCGGTCAGCATGGTCTGCGAAGGGGCACGGGTGGATGGAATCGCATACATGTCTTCGAGGGGAGAGATAAAGATGTCGCTCAGAGAAATAACCTGTAATGTCGATTAGCACTAGATACTGTGGGGAGGTCGAGGGTGCGGTACGTTTTCATGTCGGAGGTGCTTGAGCAGTTTGAGCTCACGGTAGGTGCGCTTGGCGAGGACGGGAGTGCTGAAAGGCTTCATAATCTTCTTGACAGCGACATTTTGGTTCGTGAGCTGATCCCTGGCGGAGCTAGATTGTCGTTGTTAGCGAGGATGTGGGTGCTGTAGCATGGATGGCTGCGACGGACCAGACGAGACCAAAAGCTCCCATGCCAACGGGCTGGAGGTCCGAGTATCTACAAGCAGGGTTAGAATAGCCGCGCGAGCGGCATATGGCGTTTGTTTGGATGCTGAGACACGTACCTCGAGGTTATCTCGAACGTCGTTCCAAAGATCTGCGCGCGAACGAATTCGGCCATGGTGAGGGGCAGTCTGGGAAGAATACGCGGCTTAAATTAGGGTGGTGAGAGGGGATTGAAGCGGTCAGGGGCGCGGGGGAGCGTCCTGGATAGGGCGATTGGGCCAAAACAGATGCAGATGAGTAATGCAAAGGGAGAATGCGCACGAGTCGAAATGGAGAGGGCGGTGGAGGTGACGGGTTTGGCGATGGAGCGTAGCGAGGAGGAAAGTATGCGAGGACGATGCGGGACGCAAGTGGGATTGCGAGATGATAGAGGGGAGCTTGACTTTTGCGGCTGGCTGTGGGCAAAGGCGGGGCAGCAGCGCAGGAGGAGCGTAGTCTATACGGGTGTGGCGGGCGGCCAGAAAGCTCCAGCACTGTCCGGACAGACTGTGAGGCGGGGTTTTGCTAAATTGAAGCTGGTCTGGGCCAGTCGAGTAATGAAAGACTGTAGACGCTATTGAGTCGCGGCAAAAGACCGAGATCGAGACCGGTTAATGAGCGTTTTCGCGGTTGTCGGGGATCGCAGAGAACCTAGAGTTGGACGCGGCGTCGGTTAGCAACAACTCCATTAATCGCGCTTGCGACAATAAATATGTATAGTCTGCAAGGAAGCATTGGATAGAGGCAGAAAAAGCAAAAAACAAATCGTCTTGCCAAAACAAGCTTCGCAACGCTGCCCACCAAGGCCACGGGCATTGGCCGGTGGCCCGCTGTCAGTACCCAGAATGTGCAGCCTCCACTGCTCTTGCCCGCTGTAATAAAACAATGGGCAGCAAAAAAACGAAGACCTTTCCACCCAACTGCCTCTGCATCATGACCTCATGACACCTGAGGCCGGCCGAAACGTTGCAAAGAGCCGTCTTGTCCGGAGCCGTGGACGCGAAACGGGACTGCAAACCATGCAGCCAGCAATGCCCAGGCGTCGCTTGACTCAGGGGCCCTTCCTTTGCACAGGCTCTGAGGCATCGTCTCTGGCGTTATCGCTACAGTCACTGGTCCTGCAACCGAGGTGCCTTGCGGCGCCGACGTCATGCGCAGCAACGGCCAGCCAGGTGGAAGGACTCGTACAGCCGAACACATAGGATGCAGAAGCGCTCGAGAAAATACAAGGGGAGGAAGCCACTACAGACCTTTCCTGAGACGCGCGAATGAGCAAACGAATCGCACCGAGAAGGACGTTGTCGCGGGGCGGAGATCTAGAGTCTATTGACGAGATGATGGATTTATTCCACTATTAATGATCAGAGAGTCGTTAGCGAATGGAATTCTCTCGAAGGCCACGGAAAAGAGATACTGCGCGAAGCAAGGTAGAGAGGCAGAAGAGATCATCCTGGTGCAGAGCCCATGCCCTGCCGTGGGGCAATTTTTGCCCTTTGCAGAAGCTGCTTGACGGTGGCGTTCTGCACCAGCAGGGCAGAGGGCGAGTATTGTAATCAGAGGGAAACTTACCGGGAAAGACAGGAACTCTTGCGCAATCAAGAGGTGGTGAGAATATGAAGAACGAGATGAAGTGAAAAGCCAAATGGCCGTCTTATTCGAAAATGTAGTTAGGGTAGTAGGAAACAGCAACGGGCACAGGGACTGGTAACAGCCGTTGGCGACGGAGGAATGCCCACTTTCCCTCGACATCGAGATTCAAGAAAACAGTACCCCGGCTCATCACGACATGCTACATCCACCAACATAACATCCCGTGATTCAAATTCGAGTGTTAAATTTTTCTCAGTTCTTTATTCAGTTCCCGCAATTAAATTTTGTGTTTCGTTACCTTGATCAACATGCGGTCGCTACGTCCGTTCCTTCTCATCCTCATACAATGTCATATGCTCGCCTCAATCCAAGTGCATACATATCTACCGTCTCACTGCATCGCTACCTGGGTATTTGATCGGAAAATAAAAAAGTCCCATGTGCCCCTCACTAAAGCCCCTCCTACATGCGGAAGTTATTAGATTCCCTCCCCTCTCGCCGATGCGTCGGCATCGTCATACAATGGCCATCGCCGACACGGCATTTTGCACTACCCCCAGCCCGAAACTCCATCAATCAGCGCTGTGTTCTCCTCCCGAAAAAAAAAAAAAAAAAAAAAAAAAATCCTGCGCCTTTCCCGTCTCTTGCGCTGGGGCCTCCTTATGTTCCCGCGGAGCGAACCGTCAGCTGGTGTTTTGGGCTGAATGAGGTCGATGCCCCACGATACTTGTGCACCACCGTTGCGCTGCCATCGCCTTTGGGCGCCTAGATCGGCTCTGAAGCCACTACCCCCGCCCAACTACTTTACTTCAAACTGCTACCCTATTACTCCGTACTGCCAATACAAGGTCAGCTCGGGAAAATATCGTCTTCGGCATTCTCCCATCTTTCATTGGGCAGCGCATCTTTCCACTCCTCGAAAAAGCAGTATCGTATTCAATGTCTGCCTTGATGGATACATGCGCATAAGCGACACTTCTGGGTCAATCTGCTACCTTCTCTCCGATCCAATCTGTCCCGGATCGAAACCCAAGCATTTGATATCCTACAGTCACCGGCTCCGCTTCATGCTCGTCCATCCTCGCCCTTCCATTACTCCTTGATGGGCAGTGGCTCGACATTCCAGATGCTCTCCGCGTACTCGTTGATGCAGCGATCACTGCTGAAGAAACCCATGCGGGCAACCGCCGTGATACACTTCGAAACCCATTCGTCCTGGTTGCGATACGCCTCATCCACAAGTCGATGCGTCTCAATGTAGCTGTGGAAATCATCCGACACCAGGTAGTAATCACCATGCTGGCGGACGGCAGCAACCAGCGCCCCGAAATCGTGTGGTGTTCCAAATGTACCCTTTTCGATCTCCTTGAACACGGCATCCAGATCAGAGTCGATTGTGTGAGAGCCATACGTGTGCGCATGGCGCAGGTCTTCCACATCCTCCGACAGGTTACCAAACAGGAAAATGTTGTTCTCGCCAACTTCTCTCGTGATTTCAATATTGGCTCCGTCGCACGTACCAATGATGAGACCGCCGTTGAGAACAAACTTCATGTTACTGGTGCCCGAAGCCTCGGTTCCTGCTGTTGAAATGTGCTCGCTAATGTCCGAGGCAGGGCAGATGATCTCCGCCTTGCTGACGTTGTAGTCTTCCAAGAAGATGACCTTCAACAGGTCGCCAATGTCTGCATCATTATTTACCACCGACCCGACAGAGTTGATGAGGTGAATGATTTGCTTGGCCATCCAGTATCCGGGAGCAGCCTTGCCGCCAAAGATGGACACGCGAGGAAGCTGTTTCTTGCGTTCCTCAGGGGACATCTTCTTGAGCGTCAGGTAACGGTGGATGACACCAAAAATGTTCATCTGCTGGCGTTTGTACTCGTGGATACGCTTCACTTGAATGTCAAACAGCGCCGCGGGGTTCACAGTGACGCCCAGGGTGCTCTTGATGTGCTTGGCTAGGCGGACCTTGTTGGCGTACTTGATCTCGGCCCACTCCTTGCGGAAGTCCTTATCTCCAACGAATTGCTCCAGCTTACTCAAGTTGGTCAGATCGGTGAGGAACTCGTTGCCACCACACTTGCTGGCAATCAGCTCCGACAGGCGAGGGTTGGCTTGATGGAGCCATCTGCGGGGGGTCACACCGTTGGTGACGTTGGTAAACTTGTCTGGGCCGTAGATGGCGACAAAGTCCTTGAAAATGGTCGTTTGAATCAAATCGGAGTGAAGCTCGGCTACACCATTGACCTTGTGGGAGCCAACAATGGCAAGGTAAGCCATGCGAATCATCTTGGGCTGCGACTCCTCGACAATGGACACGCGACGAAGCATATCGCGGTCATCCGGGAACTTCTTCTCTACCTGTTGCAGGAAGAATAGGTTGATGTCGAAAATTATTTGCAAGTGTCTGGGCAAAAGGTTCTGCAAAAGGCTGACAGGCCACTTCTCGAGGGCCTCGGGAAGGACTGTGTGGTTGGTATAGCCAAACTAGACGGCGGGTTAGGACTCTGCTATAAAAGTCTCGTCTTGCTGCACTCACAGTGTTGGTAACAATGGCCCAGGCCTGATCCCAGTCAAGGCCTTCAACGTCAATGAGAATGCGTTGAAGCTCAACAATAGCAAGCGTGGGATGAGTATCATTCAGTTGGATGGCAACCTGCTCTGGGAACTCGCTCCATGCACGCTTCGACTTTTTGAAGCGTCGAACAATGTCATAGAGCGAGGCGGCAACCCAGAAGTACTGCTGCTTCAGACGCAGCTCCTTGCCTCGCTCAAGGTTGTCGTTGGGATAAAGCACGGCGCTGATGGTCTCTGCGCGCTGCTGATCGGCAACGGAGCTTTCGTAATCGCCATTGTTGAACTTTTGAAAGTCAAACTCGCCACCAGAGGCCTTACTGGACCACAGACGCAGGTTGTTCGTGGTTGGCGTGGCGTACCCTGGAATGGGAACATCGTACGCAACGGCCTGAACGACCTCACCACCATCCCAGACGGAGATGGTTTTGCCGTTGGCATCGGCCGATTTTTGGACGTTGCCGTAGAATTGAATCTGCCAACCATGTTACTTGTGGGGCCCATCCAGTTGTGTGGAGAGTACGTACGTCGACCGTTACATCGTGGCGAGGAAACTCCCAGGGGTTAAAGTCCAACCAGTAGTCGGGAACTTCAACTTGGTAGCCATCGATGATTTCCTGCTTGAAGATGCCATAGCGGTAGCGAAGACCGTAGCCCCAGGCGGGATAGTCGAGCGAGGCCAAGCTGTCGAGGAAGCAGGCGGCGAGACGGCCGAGGCCACCGTTGCCAAGGGCAGCGTCGTTTTCTTGAGTAATGATGTCCTCAATTCTGAATCCGAGATCGGCAAGACCAGCTACATTTACTGTAAGTGCGGTGACGGAGGAGAGCAATTGATGGGCGAGCTTACCTTTAGCAGTGTCTTTGAGGCCAACGTTGAGCATGGCATTGTCAAGGGCACGGCCCATGAGGAATTCAAGACTAAGGTAGTAGACGCGTTTGGCATCTCTGTAGGTGTGCTGCTGCTGGGTCTTGTTCCAATCGGTGATGAGGCGATCGCGGAAGGCTAAGCTGGTGGCGGCATAGGCGGCCTTCTCGTCGCAGTTGAACAAGCTTCGAGCTAGGGTGGTCTCAACATGGCGGACGACTTCACGCTCAAAGCCTTCCTGGCCCTCGAAACTCTTGACGGCGTACTTCTCCCAAGCTGCACGCTGGGGCTCCGGGATGGAAGCTATGGGAGACGGCGTGTCAGCCAAAAGAACGGGGACTTGAAGTCGTTGATCGTCTCATAGTAGTGCCAACCCCGCCCCCGCACTTGACTGGAGATGTGGATGTCTCCGACCGCTGAATGCCAACAGCAGAGTAGCTTAGGGTAAGAATTGATAGGTAAGATACTTGCCTTCAACACCTTTGATCTCGCCAGCACCAAAGCCGGTAAAGGTTCTCTTGTGCTTGGGGCGCGAGATGCCGGCGGGCCCGACGGAACCTTGGATATCGACGACGGGAGCAGAGGTGGAGGGGCGACGCTGGCGGGTGGGCAACGCTTGCTCCGACGCCATGGTTGATTGATGCCTAAGAATGTTGGAATTTCTATTTGAGGGATGAGGCAAGCAAGAAGAGGAACGAGCGAGGGAAGTGATTCAAATAGGATTGAGGATGGAGGAGGAAGAGTGGATGGGAGCTTGGAGAAGCAGGTAACTACAGGAGCTGTGGTGTGCTGGTATTTCTACCTTGGCGGGGTACCTTGAACCAGCCATCGAACCACCGACAAACGCGCCAGTGAGGTACCCCGTTGCAACCGCAGATGGCGTAAAGTTATCTGCGGAACGCTATTCAGCAAGGAGCTATCCGTTTTGCGTTGGGCGGCCGGTGTGCATCTGGTGGCAAACTCATCTGGGAACTACCCTTTGCAGCTATCCGGCGACTCCAGCGAATCCCACGAGCGTCTGGACTCATGCATGCGGTGAGGGGGAACCGCTGGAGGGGCCTGACGGGGAGCTTCTGCGGGGCAAAGGCGCCTCTCCAACTTGCTGCAATCGGCCCTTGATTTCGTTGGGCCGGTCTGGACTGGGGAACAGCAAGATTCTCCGTCGGCTTGTCCGGTAGCATCATCTGAGCGATTATGAAAAATAAAAGGAAAAAGAAATCAATCATGTCTCTGAGCTAGCCGAATGCTGCCTACTGGCCACCCCGCCCTTCATTTAAGTCACCACGTTTTTCCTATTTATATGTGCTCCCCTCGGAACGCCTTCGGCGGATGACTTATGCTTGCCTACACTTGAACACCGCAAAACTTGGCTATACCATCTTTATTCCCGCAAAATGCCTCCCATCCCAATTTATACAGCAAATTTGCCTCTAAAAACTCTTGCCTCCAAAAACTCTCACCGGAGTCTTTTGCACAGATTTGTCTGTCAATGGCGGCCACCCCCATTGCCATGCCTTCTCCCACACGCAGCGGAGCCCCCCCGACCACCGACAATATCACATTCCAAATTTATGATGGATATTCCCTTGGCCATTCTCTTCTCCCGCTCATGAATTTACAGCCGCCCCTAGCATACACTTCTGCCATTCATTCGATTCATTCCTGGCAGCCATCGAGGCACACGCAGCCAACTGCCATTGCAAGTAACCGTCGCTGCCGTGCCGCCTTACACCTGACAGATACATTGCACAGTTGCCATTAGCAGACACACATCCGCACATCGAACGCACTTCCGAGACTAGGAATCGTCAATTCAACAAAGAAAAAAAGGACACCCCATGCTTGCTGCGCCGGGCTATAGTAAAGAAAGGAAAGAAAAGAAACAAGGGAATAGGAAATTGGCAGAAAAAAACAGTCAACGCCATTCCATGAGGACAACCCTCTCCCACTGCAGCGATCCATCCAGTTTGGTCGCGGTATTCGTTGTCGTAACATGTCGGATTATGTAAACCGCCTCCCATCATATAAATATGTCATAAACGAGAATTCGAGCAGAACAAACAGTCGCTGCGCAAAGCACGGCCCAGCAAGTGCTCCAAACTCCATAGTGCGCGTCTCGCGTGCAGCGCCGTGCGAAAGCGCTTGCCATCACAGATGCGCTATTGGGCTCCTCAAATAATGCCGGTATCTTTCAGCGCATTGCTCAGTATAGTCTCCTTGACCGCCGCAAAGACGAGTCGGATATTCGATGTGTCTGTGGCTTGCGTCAAGCTAGAAACGAGTCAGCAATGCATCAAGTTGTAGTGGCTGAAGTGCAGACATACTGGGGATAGAGATTGAGATGAGCTCGGTTCACCTGATTAAACCTCCATAGCAAGTATTTGGCGGCCTTGTTAACGTCGTTGCCGCCGGAATAGTCTGGAAAGTAGTTTGCCAGTGGCGATCGAACGAGCTTTTGCTTAAAAATGTCCACCTTGTTGAGAAACAGGATAATACTCGTTCGCATGAACCATCGCGAGTTGACAACCGAATCAAACAGCAGGAGACTCTCCATCATTCGGTTCTATATCTGTTAGCATGCACTCCGCAAATGACACAAGGCCTTGCCTACCTGGCTACTCTCTTCCAAGAGGACCTGGTCATATTCAGAGAGGGCGACACAAAAGATAATTGACGTCACATTCTCAAAACAGTGAATCCACTTCTTCCTCTCGCTGCGTTGCCCACCGACATCAAACATGCTGCGAGGAGTTAGCCATCTCCATGCTACGATGCACCAAGGTGCTGCGACATACTGAATACTGAGTGCACCCATCTGGAATCGGGTTTCATAGATACCAGTTGTCTTGGTACGAGCACGCAGGACATCCATTTCCTTGGGAAGGTAGCCTGGCGCAACAATGCGCATCGCTTCTTGGAAGAAGCTGGGGAAACGCGATTAGCAGGGTATTAGTAGCTTCTTGAACCAGGTCAGGACTTACTATTCGGCCGAGTCCATCAGATAAAATTCGGTTTGGTGTTCCATGAGCCGATCTTTGGCGGGATCTGACCAGAGCGACTGGACAGCGGTTCCGACCTGGGGGTCAATCTGCGCCTGAGGACCAGACTCTGCTTGGTATTCCATCAAGAAGGCCATGTATTGGCGGTTGTCGTCTATTTGCGGCTCAATACCAAACTGCTGCATGGCGGTAATAATGGCTTTGGCGCATTCAACCAAGTTTTTGAAGACGGTGGGTCTGTAGTTGTAAAGCTCCTCGTCCGAGTAGCCCTTGAGATGTATAATCTTCATTTGCTTGACAATGGTCGACTTCCCGCTCTCGCCGGAGCCTGATCGGATAATTGGTTAGCGACTTTGGAAATTGCCGAGAAGAGATTGGGCAGACGGCTCGTACCTAGCAGCAAGATTTTGCATTCTTTCTTCAGTCTCTTGGAATCCTCCTCGATTATGCGATCAATGGCTTGGCTCTTTTTCTTCCTCTCCGCCTCCTCACTGGTGGAACTGAGGCAATTGCCCATCATGAGCAGGCAGATGGGGGCGGCACGGCGCCCTCGAGCGTGTTAGGGGGAGGGCGGTCGAAATATCAAAGATGGTGTTTCGAGCGACGTTGGGCGAGGCGATCAAGATTAGCGCATCATCGAGCAGACGGGGATAGAAGTGGCGGCTGCAGCAGTCAGATTAGACGGACGCGGCGGCGCAAGGTTCGAGGAGTCGCAGGTTGGTGGGCAAGCGTCGGAAGAACGTGCGTTGTGGGACGCACGGCAATCTGAGGCAGCACGAGAATCGCAACAAAGCGCCGGAGTAGGGAAGCAAACGGCGGTTGTGGCGAAGGAGCTGGGGAAGCACGAGATCACAGCAGCAAAATTCCAAGTGATCGATATGGCGACAGGGGCGCGTCGAGGCCGGAGAGACGATTTGGGCGGGTGCAGCAGCGGATGCGGATGCAGATGCGGGAGAGTAAGAGCGATAACTAGTAGAGGAGGATGGCGATACTTGGTAGCTTGACGAGAGAAACGGGGCGATGATGAACAGACAAGCGTGGTGTCCGTTGATTGGGTGGGCCAATTGGGGGACAATCGGTGGGCGCTGGGTTTCTGATGGTGCGGAGCGAAGGCGAGAGTTTTGAGTGGTTGACCGCCAGCAAATGGCACGGAGGCTTCGGTAGCTATTAGCCAAGTTCTTGGAAGCTATGTAGCTATTAGCCAAGAGAGAGGAACAGATAGATGTTGGGGAGAACGAGGAGACGGTCGGGAGGATGCACGGGAGGAAACGGGGTCGATAGACGGATGCGTGAAGCAACGGTTGGGAAAGACGAGATGCGAATGGAAGAGATGGGTTTCGCTGGTTTCGCCCTGACGGAGAGCTGTGAGGGGAGACCCGTGGAGGCAAGGATGAATGGATGCGAGGATGATGGATGGATTGGTGGACGGATGGAGGGGGGGGGCTCTGAAGCTGGAGGCGCCGTGGTGGAGAGAAGGGAAGGCTTGGAAAGGCTCAACAGCAGCTGGGCGAGTGGGCTGTGGGTTGTGTGTGTGGACAGCAAGTAAGGTAAGTCGTTGGTACCGGTACGTATGTATCCGTAGATTGCTACCAACTAACTAGGCATTCGACCGGTACGTAGATAGCGTAATGAGCAGCAGGAGCTTGAGATGGGCTATTCTGACCCCATACCTTGATATTTGCGACTTGACACCTTGACTCTTTGGCGCCAACAGCGCCGGCGACTTCAAACTGATGGCCATAAATGAGGGGCTTGTGGCTGCCTGCCAGCCATCTTGGGCAGGGATTCGCCAAGAATAAGACGGAAGCGAACCGTGGCGTAAGACGTACAGATACATACAAACAACATGAGGTACCAGAAAATGGCCCATTTTAGGCCGTTGAGCCTTGTACCTTGTAATCAATTCATTCCGCCTCACTCTAGTGCTGGGCTCGCTACTGCGCCAGTGGAGAGCCTCGCATCTGCAAGCAGAAAAAAGTGGCATGATGGGCATCACATTAACCCAATTTGCACAGGAATATATGTCCATACAAACGACCTTGCACAAGACTTAATGACTTAATAAGACATTCTATGGAGTGCGGACATTGGTACAAATTACTTACGAAGTAGGCGTTCGCAGACAACGGCCGTGCGGCCGATGCCCGTCTGCTGGCAATGCTATGCAACGGGCCCAATGCCTGACCATTTCCCATCTCCTCTCTGGGCGACCGGTGTGCTCCAGCGGCGTTAGCACCAGGTAGGACGTGAATCTTGCCTCGCGATTAATATCCTACTTGCCTATATTCAAGTACCACCCAGTCCAGGAACTTGATATGGTAGGTAGTACATGGTGCGAGTGCTAGTTAGGCCGAGCAACTAAAATGACACAGGTACACGGCCACGGACATTTTGATGGCAGTTTTGGTTCAGTTCCCCCGCGACAGTATCCGTTTCCTGTCGCCGCTCAGGTACCAACCGTCGTCCCTGGCCTCCTGGCCCATGTCCATCTTGCTCCGCGTGGTGCATTGGCGCACAAGCCAGCCAGCTGGCCGCACAGCCTCACCTAAAATTATCTTTTGGGGGTTTCTTACTATTATTACCACGTGAATTACTTGCACCAGCACGTACCCGCTTTGTTGTTCAACTTGCTCCTCTTGGCTATGCTTGGCTCGCCTCTCCCCGCCACCATGCAAATCCGTAACGAACCACGAACCTATTCCATCTCCTACCATTCGCTCATCGTCGCTATCAATCCGTCCTGCGTCTCTGAAACGCCCACCAACGGCATTGACATGCTGGAGCCGTCAGCCTCGGTCCAGATCGAGTGGCATTGCCCTTGATGCTGCACGCTGCACCCTCCGCTTCATCGCCAGCGTCCAACCAAGGGCATTATTAGCCCTCGGCGTGTGTTGCTGTTCCTGGGCCACCCATCCTCTCATTCTCGTTCATCCCACCCTTATGCGTTCTGCCGCCTGTCTGTCTCAACCTGTCCGTCGCACCGCTTGCGCCGTCGACGTGCCCTATCTATTACGGTACTCCAACCTGGGCTCTGTTGTGCGCCCAGGCGCACTTGTCAGCATGGACCCAGGTACCGGCTCGTCTCCGGCTCGTCATCCGTGAATCACCTTTCAAACGAGACAGGAGCAAGGACCCTGCATTTTGCGACCTCGAAGACTATCGGTACTGGTCCAGCCAGACTAGCGGCTATTGGTAACATCAAGCAACCAAGTGTCCGGTTTGCCGCTCGTTAAACCGGGAAAAAAAGACCTGTTGTTGCCTTGGATGGTTCTCTGCTCCGGCACTACGACATAAAGATATTTGACCTTGCTTAACTAATACCTCGTGATTCAAGCCCCGACCCAGCATCAAGCAATGACTCTCGTCTCCAGATCAATTCGCAACGGCGTCGTCAATCGCCAAGCAAAAGCCCTTCCCCGCGGGAGGCCGATAATCCATAATTTTTCATGGCCGGCAGCACTGAGAACGGCGTTTTGACGTTGACCTAGCCGAACAGGCCCCCTCGTAACAGTTGACTCAACAGTTCTGTCCGAGATGCATGCAAGCTCCATGCATGCAGTGAGACATGCTTGGCGGCACGGTGCCGCTGGCTCCGGTGGACGGGGCATGGACCGCATGGCTTCCTGTTGGCGCTCGTAACCAGGACCCTGTCAATCTGGATGCATGCGTGGTGATAAAATATAAAATTTGGCTTGCCAGCCTGTCTTGCTGCCCCTGACGAATGGTCCGCGTGAGTCGTGTTATCGACATGGGCCACGTGTGGCATCCTGGTCGGTTCTTCAACTTGCTGCAGCCCCTGCCGCTCGGCAAGCCACAGGCAAACTTCATTTGCCAAGAGGGTCAAAATAGTTGCTGGCATCAGCCACAACCAGTGAGGAAGTGCAGGAGCCGATGAAATTCATCTGATCATGACCGACAGAATAATACAAGCATATTTGGTACGATCTCATAGGCACAAGCCACCAACCTGGGGGGCTAAACTGCGGACCGCCTACCTGCCTACTGCTACCCGCAACCCGTGTTCCCCGGCCATATGCGTACTGTAGCTTATTATTAGCCCACCGACCAACCTTGCCGCCGCCCAAGGTCACCCAACCAAGCTCCAACTCGTCTCCCAGGAATTTCAATCCGCCATTGGCCAGCATTGCGACTTGTTAGAAGGGGAAAGGCCCAAGCAAGCCGCGATAGATGGACATGGCCGCAGTGGATGCGACCCCGACCATGTCCAAGCTCGCGTGCCTTGCCTGTCGCCGCCAGAAGCGCAAGTGCACGCGCGAAATGCCTTCATGCCAACTCTGCCAGGAAAGCCAACGTCGCTGCAACTATCCACCCAACAGCAGCGTCCTACCGCTACACCACGCAGATCAAGAAACTAAACCTGCAAGTCATGCCCAACGTGGCTATGCCTTTATATAACGCTCGCAGGAGCCATTTCGCGGACAGACTTTGCAGTCTCTACAGTTGGGCCATGTTCCCAACCAATCTCCACCACCACTCTTCTTTCTCGACTCCGAAGTCTTCGCTAACCTCAGGCTACCCCAGACCCCTGCGAGCCTGTCCTCCCACCAGACTTGCAGGAGATTGCAGGCTATGACGATAAATACCTGATGCATCTCGCTGAGCGCTACTTTCACTCTACGCACATGATCGTTCCGTTTGGTAAATAGTCACCATGACCCTCCTCGCCTCTCAACAACATCACTGCTGACATGTCTTCTTTTCACCGTCACCTTCCCAGTATCAAAAAGACGATTCAAGCAGCAGGTCTGCACAAAAAATAAAAAGGCCGACGCTCTGCTCCTCGTTCTATCCATGGGAGCCGTTAGCCAGCCTTCAATCCCAGCCGCGTATGCTAGAGCAAAGAATTGTGCCCATCTACTGGAGAGCCAGGGTCTGATCTCCATGCGACTACTGCAATCGGCCATTCTATTGGCCTATCACGAAATTAGCAACGCCATTTACCCAGCTGCATATCTGACCGTTGGTCACTGTGCTCGGCTGGGGCAGGCCATGGGTATTCACGACCGAAGAAACGTGCCCCAACTCTTCAAAAGCCCGAGTCAGTTTCTTCAATGTCTTGGCTTTCAGCTGCGCTGTAACGGGGATTTCTAACTGTAGCAGCTTCCTGGGTCGAAGTAGAGGAAATGCGACGGACCTGGTGGGCCGTTTTCATTCTAGATCGGTACGACCCTGCCGTCCTGCGAGTCATTCGTCCCCCATGTCTTGTGCTCACGATTTGCATCTTAGATTCGTTAATATTGGTCTTGATAACAGACCGTTTGCTTCGAGCCACGTCAAGCCAGAGGAGCTCTTGCCTGTGGAAGACGAATACTGGAATCGGGGGGTAAGGTGATGTCCACATACAGACTGGACTCACAGCTGACTCAAGACACCCAGGAACAAACAGTCACTCCATCATTAGCTGTAACGGCAGATATATCCCTTCGAGCCTCCACATTTGCCCGAACCTGCCAGGCTTCCGATTTGCTCTCCCGCGTTCTGTCCCACATCAACAACAATGCAGCAGCCGAGGATCGTAGCGCATATTACCGGGAAGCACTGCAGCTGCATAGCATCGTCTCCGCCCTTCACTTGTATCTTCTCCAAGAGGCCATGGCTCAAGATTCACCAGATCTTTCCTGCAGGGTCTCTGCGCTAGGTATCTGCTCCAGCGCCACCATCGCGCTGTACTACACTCACAGCTGCGCCGACTTTGACGACGTATCGGGGCCGGGCACTGCCGAGCAGCTGTCCATGCAAAAGGTGTCCATAGATGGGCTACACCAACTCGCGCCTGCTCGATCGCCGTTTGCTGCAAAACTGACAACGGTACTCCAGAGTGACGAAAAGGGCGTTGTGGTAGATCCCTTTGTAGCGTAGAGCTTGTATGCGATGACCAAGTTGTGTCTCTGGTCTGCCAATGAAAGTGGCAACCTCGAATATATGGACCATGTTAAGGTCTTTAAGACTGCTTTGGAGGTGATTGGGCAACAATTCAAAGTAGCATGTAAGTGGTCCCAATCCGCGTCAAAGTGTGTATCACATCAACGCCCCTAATGCCTTTATAATAGCTGACTACCTGGCCATATTGGACGGAGCTATGGCAAAAGTATCGCAACGATAAGCGCACTCTTCTCAATGATTTACCGCATCCATCTGAAGGAGTCCCATTTCGGAGAGTTGGGCCTCTGTCCACTCCCACAGCTTCGTCGCCAGCGCCGGGTCCTGCGCGTAGATGCTGGGCGAGCCAATCACCGCGTACGGGATCACATATGCGCCGGAATCGGATGTCGTGAAGTCATCGCTCGCAATGGCGAATAGAGACGATAGGGCTCCCTTATATTGCTCGTCCAAGATCCTGACGCAGCGCATGACGGGCGTCACGGCACGGAGGAGCAGGCTCGGTGCAGCGCCGGTGGCTTGCTTGTTGAGGTTTCTGCTTCAGAGTTAGCCATGGCTTCTGCTGCACATGCGTACATGCTCCTCGCGTGGCGAGCGGTATTCCTACGTGTTGATGTGGCCTGGATGAACGGCCGCCGTGCAGATGCCAGCCCCGGCGCCCCGGACGCGCCAGGCCCGTACTTTCGGTGCAGCTCCTTGGCGTGCAGGACGTTGGCGAGCTTGCTCTGGCCGTAGCGTATCATGGCGTTTCGCGACTCCAGGTCGAGGTCGTCAAAGGCGATGCCTCCCGGGGGTACGAAGCGCTCGTGACCGTTTGAGGTCACGTTGACCAGGCGGGTCATCTGCGCCGTCGCCGCGCCCGTCGCTTGCAGAAGCGGCAGGAGGTGATGCGTCAACAGCAAGTGCGCGATGTAGTTTGCCTGCAAAGCGCCAAGGCCAGCAACTCACAACATTGGCAGCCGGGTGTGGCCCGTTTGTGAGACACGACGCACCTAGAATTGGACTTCATAGCCGTCCTCCGTCGTGGAGAATGGAACGCCCATGATGCCCGCGTTGTTGATCAGCCCATGCAGCGCCGTCTCGGTCCTGCGCAGGTGCCTGGCTGCGGCCACCACGCTGACGAGGCTGGACAGGTCCAGCGGCAAGAAGCGCACGTCGGCGGAAGGCGTCGCGGCCTTGATCGCGGTGATGGCCTCGGAAGTCTTTACCTCGCTACGCGCGCCCACGTACACCCTGGCGCCGCGGGCGGCCAGGCCGGCCACTGTAGAGTATCCGCTATGAGACGGGCAAGGTCAGCAGTCGCTCGGGTTCGTTGAGGTTCGAGCGCGACAAGAACGGAGAACAACTCACATGCCAGCGTTTCCACCCGTCACCACGTAGGTCTTGCCACAGAGGCTGGGCAAGGAGTCCACGGTGAACTTCGAAGAGGGCATGGCTTTCGGTTGAGAATTGGCAATCGTTGTGCTGATGGTGGGCGATGTTGTTGAGGAAGGGAGTCGAATTAGCATGAGGGTCTGTCTGACACAATCATCCAAGGAACCTGTCCATCTCTATATACTCGTCGAAGAATAAAAAGGTGCAATGACACGGCATCTTTCGCGGGTATTACAAGCCCGTCGTCGTCAGCAACTTATTTTTACTTACAGGCGGCCGCGGCCCCACATTGTCCGCGTGTACCCACCCCGCTAGCGTCCGCATCTTGCCAGCGGCGCGGCCGGCCGCTTCACCGGCCGACTGTGACGATGGACCCGGCCCCCGGCTGCCCCCCTTGCCGCTGATGCTTATTTTTTACTTCCTTTTTTTTTTTCCTTTGTCTATCTTAATTCCATACATCCACTTTCGGACTTTTCGGGCTCGGACTGAATCTGGTAGAAAGAACGAAAACCACCCGAGGCCCCGAAGCACCAGGGAGGCCGAAGACGGCGGGCCTACCTCCTGGCTAGCGAGGCCTCGTTTATGAAGAACGCAGAACGAGGACAAGTCGTGGTTGAGTCAAAAAATGCCATTACGCTTTTCTAGTGGGGGGTATTTCCAGCCTGATGCAGACCAGTTGTGCTCCAACGTCTGTATATACAAAGCTGCAAAAGTCATGTATCAACCAAAACCATAGATGCGAAAAAGAAAAAAAAAAAAAAGTCTGAATATATCAGCAAACCCCGCACAGTAAGTCCTCAACCCCTTCTTTATATGCATGCAAATATGTCACGTGTACTACGATCAGCCCTACTCTGCCGGCTCGACCTGCGTGCTCGACGACGACCCCGTCGACGCCGCGTCCTTGTCGTCCTCGGCCACGTTGAGGATCGTCTTGAGCTCGTCCATCTCGCCGCTATGGTACATCATGTCGTAGAACAGCCCGTGGGCGTCGTACAGCGCGCGGGGGGAGCCAAACTCGACCACCCTGCCGGCGCTCATAACAACAACGCTGTCGTAGTCGATAATCGTACGCAGACGATGCGCGATCGTGACGAGCGTCCGCGCGCCACCACCGTCGGCGGCGGCGCTCGCCAGCTCGTCGCGCAGCACCTTTTGGATGCCCCGGTCCGTCTCGTAGTCCATGCTCGCCGTCGCCTCGTCGAGCAGCATCAGCTTGCTCTGGCGGATCAGCGCGCGGCAGAGCGAGAGTACCTGGCGCTGGCCGTGCGAAAAGTTCTCGCCCTGCGCGTCCACGTCCGTTTCGAGCGAGATGCCCTGCTTACGGTGGCCGTCGTCGAGGTCAGTGTCGGAGGAGTAGTCGCTGCCGGAGAAGGAGGCGATGCCGCGGCAGTTCTCCAGAGCTTTTTCGAGGCGCTCGTGGGGGAGCAGACCCGTGGGGTCGAGGTTGGAGGCGACGGTGCCGTTGAACAGCACAGCCTCTTGCGGGATGATGGTGAGGCCCTTGCGCAGACGGTCGCGCGGAACGTGGGTAATGTCCACGCCGTCGTAAAGGATCTGGCCTGAGACGATGTGTGTAAAGCGTAGCAGGGAGAGAACGAGCGTGCTCTTGCCGGAGCCGGTGCGGCCCACTACGGCGACACGCTCTCCCGCCTTGAAGTTGAGGTTGACATCGGTCAGAATGTTGGGACCGTCGGGTTCATACCGGATGGTCACGTTCCGGAATTCAATATCGCCTCCGCGCGGCCAGTTCTTGGGGATAGTCTTGGTCTCGTCATCAGCGTACCCGTCTTCGTCGGGATACGGGGCGTCGTGGGCATTTTCAGGCTCTAGCTTGACATATTCCTTGACACGGTGAAAGCTCTGGATCTCGACCTCGAGGTCGTTCATGGCGCGGACCAGCATCAGAATCGTCTGGTTCAGCCCGTTGGCATTGGTAAGGGAGAAACCCACCAAGCCAGCCCCAACGAGCCCGGCTTGGTTTATGGCGATGATGCCAGCCGAGAGAGCGACCAGAGACGTCACAAAGTCAACACGCACCGCCACCCAGCGGTTGCAGTTGTAGTTGGTCTCGGACGCCGCCGACCAGACTCGCAGCTTCGCGGCCAGCTCCTTGCCAAACTCCTTGCTCTTGCCTTCGCGTGCGCGGATGACGGCCAACCCCGCGAGCGTATCCGCAAACTGGGAGAAGACGGGCGACTGCGAGGACGAGGTCAGGCGCTTCAGGATGACGGCGGTGCGCGTGTACATCTCGCCAATGACCACGCCAAAGAGGCAGGTGAAGAAGGCCGGGATCATGAAGATGGGCATGATGGAGCTGATGGCGGCGATGCGGAAGAATAGCATCATGATGGCGTCGAGCGCGGAGCGGAGGAGCGAGCTGAGCATGCCGTCGATGGAGGCCATGTCGCCGGAGAAGCGGTTCGTGATGCGGCCGACAGGGATGGTCTTGAACCAGGACAGCGGGACGCTCATGATGGCGCGGATAAAGTCGTTGTGCAGCTTTCGGGCGGCGCGCCACGCACCCCACTCGAACATGACAATGATGAAGCCGAAGCTGATGAGCTCCAGAAAGGTAAAGGCGGCGTAGATGCCCATGTAGTAGGCAATGTCGACGTAGCCCTTTTTATTGTACGCTTCGACCCAGACGGAGAGCCAAAAGGTGCCTCCAAAGAAGAAGATGTTGCTCAGGAAGAGGCCGACAATGCACAGGATGCCGAAAATGGGACTGCCAAAGTAGCCCATGTATTCCACAAAAGTAAGTCTGCCAACCTTGCCAGAGGCCCGCATCTCCTGATTGACCAAGTCCCTGTTGGCAGAGCCATTGACGGGTTTACGGGTCGTGTCTTCCGCATCTCCGTTTCCGGTGAGTTCGGCTTCCATGGGAGTTTCTGTGTCGCCGTCTTCATCACCGTCGCCGCCGAGGACTTCGGCGATGGTGATGGGACGCCTGACGGCACCAATGTTGGCTTCCGCGTTGATCACGCGGCCCTTGTCGAGGGCGATGGCGTAATCGGCCTGCGAGGAGATCCAGGGAATCTGGGTAACTAGGACTGTGGTCCTACCCTTGAGTAGGTTGGAGCAGAATGCGCGCTTCCAGACACCCGCCGAAGTCTTGGCGTCGAGGGCGGAAAATATGTCGTCGAGGAGGATGAGAGAAGCACCGGAGTAGAGAGCTCGTGCGAGAGCGACGCGAGCCTTTTGGCCGCCGGACAGGGAGGTTCCATTCTCGCCAACAAGGGTCTTGTCCTTGAGCGGCAGTTCGTGAAGGTCGGTGAGCAGGCAGCAAGCCTCCAAGACGCGGTTGTATCGGATTCGGTCCATGGGGCTGCCAAACAGCACGTTGTTCTGAATAGTGTCGTTTTGGAGCCAGGCGGTCTGCGAGGCATAGGCAATATCAGAGGGGGCCGTCACAGCACCAGACTCCAGATACGTTTCACCCAGAATAGCCATGAGCAAAGTCGACTTTCCGCTGCCGCTTTGGCCAGTGACGACATTCAGCCCACCTTGGACAAAGTTGAGAGAGATGTTTTCAAGGCTGAAGGCGGCCTTCTTGTTACGGCGGAAGGAAGCGTTGATGATGCGAAGGGGCCCGACGGGGTACTCTACCAGCGGCACGGCGGTGGCGAAGAACTTGTCGAGACGTCCAAAGGCAACAATGGCGCCTGCAAAGGAGCGGCTGAGGGAGCTCGCCATCATGATGTTTCGGCGGATGTTCTTGACGAGGAAGACGGTGGTGAAGGCGGTCGAGGCGTCGAGGCGACGGTCGCCAACGCCGACGTAGAGGCCAAACATGACGAGGAGGGAGAAGAAGGGAAAGGCCTGCGTGACCTGGTTGATGACGGTCTGCAGCACAGCAATGTTCCAGAGTCCCTTTTGCTCCCTGGCTCGGGCGGCAATGATCTTGGCGGTGACGGCGTCTTCCCAGGCGAAGAACTTGATGGCGCGAATAGAGGCGAGGTATTCTGTGACGAGCGAGATTCGAGCGTCTTGCGTCTTGCGCACAACGATTTGCGTCTTGTACATGATTCTAGAAAGCCAAAAAGAAATGGGGGTGGCGAGGATGAGGACGGCAGTACCGACGAGGGAGACCCATCCGAGCATCTGGTAGAGACCGATGAGAGAAATGATTGTTCCGGCCGGAACGCCCACGAAGACCATCATGACGTCTCTGGCGCGAAAGATGGCGTCAACGTCGGCAGCCATGAGGTTGGCGAGGCGACCGGCGGAAGTACTCTTTTGTGTCTTGGGCGCGGTGTCCTTGCCGGGGTCGCCGCTGCGCTTCGAGCTCTGGAAAGGGTCGTCCTCGAGCTCCATGGATTCCAGGGCCTTGTGGTAGAGCTCCTGGGTCATGGCGGACTTGATGCGGACGATGAGGCGGGTCGAGGTGAAGACGTACTGCTGAAAGAGCAGGGAGCGGGTGAGAGGTCCGAGGAAGACCATGGCGAGCCAGACCCAGGGGCGGTAGGTGGCGACGGTCGGCAGGTCGAGGTAGTCGAGCAGCTTGAACATGCCAAAGGGGGCCACGTTCTCGACGGCGAAGGCGGAGCCGGCCCAAAAGGCCATGAGGGTCAGCTCGGTGCGCTGGAAGCGCAGGGACGTCAACATGGTGGAGCGGCTGAGTGCGCGGGCGCGTCGGATCTTGCGCAGCAGGTAGAGCGGCTCGTCGTACCAAGCCAGCTTGGGCACGGCCGAGGCGTCGAGGCGGCCGCGGGTGCCCTTCCAGACGACCGGGGTGAGCCACTCGTAGGAGCAGAAGTAGTTGAACCAGCTGACCGTCTCCTCGGGCGCGGGCTCCTGGTGCGGATCGTAGTCGGGGATGATGTCGTCGTGGTTGGAGGACAGCCGCGGCGGGAGCCACTCGGTCGGGGTAACGGCGGCGACCACCACGGCGGCGACGAGGGCGACGAGGGCGCCGCCGACGCCGCGATCGGAGGCGCAGTCGTAGTGGAGCTGCGCGCAAGGCAGGTACTCGGCCACGGTGAGGAGCGCGAGGGCGGCGAGCAGCAGCAGGTTAACGTGTTGGAGGACGTGGCGGCGCCATTGGAGCGCGAGGGAGAGGCGGACGAGGCCGAGGCCGAAGACGTAGGCGGCGAGCGCGGCGGTGGGCAGGTGCGCGCTGTTGCGGGCACTGGCCTGGAGCAGGAAGCCGAGCGCCGCGGCGCGGCACAGCTGGGAGACGATCTCGTAGGGCCACTTGACGGCCGAGGCCGGGTTCCGGGAGGTGATGACGGGGCGCGGCCGGCGGCGACGGAGGGCGACGGTGAAGGCGAGGGCAAAGAGGGAGAGGAGCAGCGCAACGGCCTGCAGACGGCCGGAGCGGGCAAAGTCGCTGGCTTGCTTGATCCATCGGAGGAGCGGCCGGGGAGGATACGCCTCGATGTCACTGCGGTTGGGGTGAGAAGAAGGCGCAGTTTAGCGACATGGTTTGAGAGAGAGGCCGCGGCAGCATTGAGCGCCGAGGGCGCAGTTTGGGAGAAATTGAAGCTCGCTCACTCACCTTGGGAGGACTGCCAGTGGACCGGGACGCAGGACGACGGGCATAAAGGGCGAAAAGGTGGACAGGCCGAGTCGGGTGAAGGGCTCCATGACGACGTCCATGGCGGGGGGACGTGTCTGAGCCAGCAGCAAAGGCCGGGCTCGATGCTTGCTCGGGGGGGGGAGAAGGGGAGCAAGAGGGAGGAGTTCCTTGATCTCTTGAAAGATTTGAAAAGAAGAAGATGGGATAAGATGAAGGCTTCGGAGGAGGGAACAAACGGAGACGACGAAATGATAAACGGGGAGGAAATTTCCGGGGGGCGCTAACCGTAGCCTGGAGTTAGGCTGCCTGTAGGCTGTACTGGTGCCGCCTAACGGGCAGCGGGCTAGAAGTTAGCGGCGGCCCATGGCCAAGTTACAGGCGACTACAGCTGAGGAAGTCCGCCAAGGGCCGCTAACAAGAGACCGCTAGAAAGACCTCTGGACGGATGAAGCAGCCGGGCTGCAGACAGGATCCATCATGGGACCCCACAACGGATTTCCAGCAGTTGTTGCTATTACAACATCGCTGAAGCAGTCGTCCATGGAGGTTGGCCTAAAATATCTCTAGGCAAGTTTCTCTGACAGGTTCTCCATTTGACGTCCCTCATCATCCCAGCCAAATTTTGCAACACACATGGGAATTTACTGTACATTCTTGACAGAGAACGGCAAACGCTGGATTATCTCAATCATCCTAACCCACCAGTAAGTGGCGGCGGGCGGGGGCGGGGATTCGCACGCCGAGTCCACCACCAGCATCGTTCCTTTCCCACTCACTCACTGCTCACTGCCCGCCCGTCCAACAAGCCTGATGGGAAGCGTACCCAGGTGTGCCAGAAGCATGTACATAGCATGCGCTGCAGCTGATGCACACGCGTAGTACTACTAATCCAGCCTCAACGCCTCTTACGGGAACAAATACCTTGTAAGCCATTGGCTGGCACTCCCACACCGGGCTATTCGGGATTGTCGCCCTTTTGATCAACAGCCACCCGACGCCTGCCACGATCCCGCAGATGTTGTAGCAAGGGCGGTGTTGATAACTTGGGCCGCAATACAGGACGGAGCTGTGGTTGCCGCCGAGGCGGCGCCGCACCAGTAGCACATGCACGGATTAGGCAGGTCCGGAGACCAACGGAGGACCGTCACGCCCTTCCAGATTCCCATGCAGAAGAGCCTGAGAATAGCTGTCTTACAAGTGGAAAAAAAAAAAGCAGCACGGCGGGCATGCCAACGCCTCCGGTCCTGTTTTTTTTTTCTACCCGCCACTGCCGCCGAACCAAAAGTAGACAGCACCAAAGTTCCCGCGGAGACACCACTAACTGACTGATCCAGCACCACTGACTGGCCCGTCCAGGGTACCCTATCCGGCCAGCGTACTGCACCCTCACGCCATCCGGCTCTACACATGGCAAAATATTCCCGAAATTTCAGACTTGTATACAGTATTATTATATTCATGACCATCGTACAGTAGTTGTTGTACAAAAGCCCTCGGCCTTTCCCATTACACTCCGCTCCTACTCCCTCCCTTATCTCGTCGGGCCGGGATCATGCGCCAAGCACACGGCCGTCGCGTAGTCGCCGTCGTGACTGATGGAAATCAACGCGCTCTCATCCTCCTCCGCGTCCTCCTCCGCCGCCCTGATCCTCGCCACCGGCGGGCCGCTGCCCAGCGTCTCCGACCGGGCGCCCTCGGCGCGCCTCTCGATGACCACGTCGTGAAGGGTGAGCCGCCTGTGCGCGTGCGCCTTGATGGCAGCTTCCTTGGCGGCGAACCTGTTATGCATGCACGATCAGTTCCAGTTCCATTCATCGGCCCGCCTGAGTCTCATCTGCAGCCAGCGGAGATGTGAAGACGAAAAGACTAGAGGAAAGCTTACCGTCCGGCCATGAACGCGGCCACCTTCCAACCCTCCGGGTCCCGCGTCGAGGGATCGCAGCCGCCGGCGCCGGTCAGGGGGAGCGTGCCGGCCAGGGATGCGAGCCGCGGCCGCTCCTCGCGCGCCAGGACGCGCTCGACGAAGCGCGTGGCCCGCGGCGTGGTCAGGATGTTGTAGATGCGTGAGATTTGGCAAATGTCGGTACCCACGTTGAGCGGCAGCGGGAACGCGCGCAGCGGCTTCATGACGTCGGTTGCTCCTTGCGATGCATTTGATTGTCAAGGCTTGAAACGACGGGGGACAGGGGTACTTGTATCGATTCTGACGAGGTTGTGCTCAGTCAATCACCGAGCCGATCGATGTTGTAAAAGTTCAGGGTGGTATTTGTTGGCACAGGCGGGTTGCATTTTAGCGCCAGCATCTGCAACTCGATCGACCCACTTGCACCAGACAGACAAAGCCGTAGCTATGTACGTACTAATTGTAGTCAAAAGCAAATCAATCAATTTATTGTCGAATAGGCATTACTCCTGGGAATAATATTGCAAGCAAGAAGAAGAACATAGTATGGGGAAAATCAAAAGCAAAATCCAAAGAAGAAAATTGAGACGAAAGTAACCCATTAATAACACATGACATGGTTTCCAGCGGTTTCCCGATATTTCGACATGTCAGCATTTCAACATTTCAGTACTGCGCTTGATAATCCAACTTGATAATCCATAGAATGGCTACTTTTGGTGAACCCAGCTCGAATCCAATCTGAGCAGGCTATTGTGGGATCTGGGGACATATATCTGCAAGCTCGCTCATGCGGACGAGCATCCCATCGTATCCGACAAGCTTCAGGTTGGCCATCATTCTTGAGACGCGGCCTACTCGTTGAGGAGAGGCGCGCGCTCGGCATCGGTGATCTCGGTGCGCTTCCTCCAGCGAATGTCGCGGCCGGTCCAGACAGGGACGGCGACGCCGAGGGTGGCCAGGAAGAGAATGGCCATGATGGTGAAGGCAAAGATCCACTGGAGGGCGACGATGTGGTGCGTGAACTGGGCCACGCCGATGGCGGCGGCAAGGACGGAGAGGGAGAAGCTCATCGTGTAGTCCTGTTGAGAGCATATACGTTAGCATGACAACGTTTCCTAGGTGCGGGTCGAGGGGAAGAAGGAAAAACTTGCATTGTAGACGCCGAGGAAGAACAGGCCAAAGGCGAGGAGGGACCAGATGAAGACGTTGGCAAAGACGCGGGCGACGAGGCTGTCCTGGTGCGGCACCATGATGGCGCCGTTCCAGTAGATGGCGACAAAGGTCCAGGCGAGCGGGCCGGAGACGACGGGCGCGTGGATGAAGCGCGGGTGCTTGTTGTGGCGGAAGTAGAGGGAGACGAGGTTGACGAGGTTGGCGACGAGGACGACCTCGGCCCAGTGGAAGTGGCGGCCGGCGAAGAGCCAGACGAAGAGCGCGTGCAGGACATTGTTGACGATGAAGTGGCTGCCGACGCTGGACGCGGCGTTGACGAGGTCGGCGTTGGCGGAGAAGAGATGGGCGACGTAGCCGAGCTGGAGGGCGAACAGGACAATCCTGAGAAGATGTTAGTGATTTGGTCATGATGAGAAGAGAGTGACGTGTAAGAGCTGGGGGAGAAGCGTGGGCGTCTGTCAAAGGCCCCGGGAGAGGAAGAGAGAAGGTGTAGAAAGGTGTCGGCGTCTGTCTGTCAGAAGCTCACCAGAAGATGGAGGCGATGATGGAGTTCATGGTAAAGGCGCTCCGGTGATGGTAGTTGATGGCCCAGATGTGGCCGCGGACCGTGTACCAGACGGAGACGACGACGGAGAGCAGCCAGGTGAGGAGGGTGAGGATCTTGTAGGTGGTGATGGCGCCGACCGAGTGCGACTCGCGCCGACTAAAGGGGTTGACTGGATTTGATGGTGAGCATTTGTTTCCATCATGACAGAGGTGATTGATGATGTTGGGTGTGGATGGGTGACATACAGCGGTTGAGGTTGGCCATTGTGGCGTGGCGCAGGCGAAGCTGTCTTGGGAGCTAGATGGGGTGAGGGTAGCTGTGAAGCGACGTAGGTAGGTAGGTAGGTAGGTTGGTGATGGTAACAGCGAGCACAATGGTGTTGTTGATGGTCGTTGCTTTGCGGTTGATGCAGGAATGAAGATTCGTGGCCAAGGAGAAAATAAGAATGAAGGAGGCAAAAAGAAAGCCGGTAGGAGAGGGAGAGGGACAGAGGGTGAGTGGGAGGGGGAGGACAAGGCCAAGCGTGAGTGAGGAGGTGGTGCAGATGCGGCTTGTTATTACTGGTGGTGTGAGTCTCGTCTCTGCGTGCGTCTGTAACTAGTACTAATGAATAGCTACTGGGGAAAATAATGGGAGCGAGTGGCACTGAGTGTGAGGGTGTCTTGTCTGTGTGTGGGAGGGAGCCGGATGAGGACTGATGATGGGTGAGGATGGATGGCCTGGAGCGTTCTTGTCTTGGGATGGATGACGTCGGACCCGCGAGCTTGGATCGGCAGCATCAACAGTAATTAGCAGGCGAGCCAGCCCAGCCCAATGAACTAGCTGGGAGTGAGTGAGACATGCATTTCGTGTTTCCTGCGTATTTCTCTGCGTATTTCTGTGCATTTATCCATTCCATCAAATGATTCGCAATGATTCTCATTTGCACGGATACATGCTGAGCAGTCAGGTAGAAGCCATCAAGGTTTCATTCATCACAGGCAGCCGGCGGCACTCACTCATCAACACCAGACACTACTACTATTATGAACCCCCCAGCATTATCATACCTACATATGTTAGGCAACCAGGTATGTATGTACATTGATCAGCCACAGACCGATATTTACCAGTACATTCTCCCACGGACGGCAAATGTCTGCAGATGGTCTCGGATCACACGCTAACAACCAAGGCCAGCTCTCTCAGCGCTGCGGGGTGCCCAGGTACTAACCATTCGCTAACAACGTTCGACATTTCATGAGGCATGAATCCATCCGTGATGCATGAATGGACTGACTGACCGACAAAGGCACAAGGGTACCGGATCCATCCCCATCTACTAGTTTATTCGGTTTTTATTTTATGTAGTTTTTTCTTCTTCCCATTTTCACTTCCCCGGACAAGAATCTCCTTTGCCACATACAATTGACATGGCAAACACCAATAATATCCCACCGCATGACATGTACAACGCACGCAGAGGGAGGGGCACCGTGCCACGGAGCAGGGCATGTTTCAAGCCACCTTGGTTGTCCTTTTTATTATTTTTTTTTCTTGTACCATCATGACTTCCCCTTTTTTTTTTTTTTTATAAAATCGATTATTCACGAATCCATGTTCTTACTTGTTTGCACAAATCCCCGGGTACGCATTCCTCCCCATCCGGGCCTCATGCAGCCACTCGCCGGCCCTCCCTCCCACATGCACATGCACATGCACATGCACAATGTACACGCGTTGCATCCCCATCGCCGATGCAAAGCGGTGACACCATTTATTTGCTCTGCGGCCTCCGAGGTATCATCAGTACCTTGCTTGCGCGCGTCTTGACTTGCCCGCTTGCCCGCTTGCCCGCTTGCCCGCTTGCCCGCTTGCCCGCTTGCTTGCTCGCCACCGGAATCCTTCCCCCACGTCAGGTTGACGTCTACCTCTCCCCACATCAAAAACCTTACTTGGTTATTTCCCACTGCGCAATCTGATACTTGATTTTTATTTCAGAAGCTCGACACGGCCAAAGTCGTTAGAAACACTAAATTCCTCCCCCCAGCCCATGCCCCATCCAGCAACTGAGCACGCCAGCACGCAACCAAACTTTCCATCCGTTTGTCTTGACGCCAGCCAGACAGCCACTCCCTTCTCTCTGTGTGTCTACACCCCCTCCTCATCCTCTACGCCTTCCGTCTCATCCCTTCTTTATTCTCCGACGCCCAGGCCGGCCTCCTTTCCCACCGCACTCTACTCACACTCTATCAACAGTCTGCCTACCTTCTACACACCCGCCAAACCTGTGGGGATGCACCAGCCGGTTGTTACCCCCGATCTGCTCCACCCGCCTCACACCCGTTCACCATCCAGTACTACCCTCCTCGCTCTCTACTAACCTCACTCATATTATGTACACCCACACACCACCTTCCATCTTATTACTACATACTAGCACCAGCCTACACAGAATCCAACACGGCACATCAAAATCCTCGTCTATTCTATAAGCCCAAATTGCAAGTAACAAAAGAAACTAATTACAATTTTATACAATAATCACACCCTCTCCTCTTCTCTCTCTCACCTCACTCACCCTTCACTCACCCGTCTGCCATCAGCTGCTCTCCCTCATCCAAAATCTCCGTCACGCTCCGAACATTCTCAACCAGACTGCGTCCCAGGCCACCCAGCAGCAGCTTCTCCGCGTTCGCTGGCAGCCCCAGGTACGTCGGCGGCTCACGCTCCGGCAGGTTGTGCACCCACCCCACAAACTCTTCCAGCCTCGTCCCCGACGGCACCGTCAGGCCCCCGTCCGGCCCGTCCACCAACTTGTGGTCCACCTCGTACGCCGCTGGCGTCAGCATCTGGTGCACCAGCTGTCGCAGAAGGCCAAAGTCGCCTTCGTCATCCACCTTGCCGCCGTACGTCTCCGTTACCAGGTAGCAAATCATGTCCCATGGGATATTCTGCGGCGCAATGTTGGTACGGTTGCCCGCCACAGTGTCCAGCCAAGTGTCGATAATAAACGCAGAGCATTCGTAGTCGCTGTCGTTGAACTCCCAGAAACCCTTCCACCCAAGAGTCGGCGCATACCGCAGCCGCTCCTGCACCACCGCATGCAGGAACGAGATGAGGAGATACAGACGCGCTCTCTCCACGGGGCTCTTGCCAGCCCGTGTCGACAGCGACGACATCGAGTCCTTCATGTTGGCGCGAACACCCGCAGGCTGCTCGTACATGAGCACCCGCGAGGCGCGCAGCAGGTTGACAGGAATCCTGGGGCTCGACTCCATCGACAGGAACAGTCGGAACTCCTTGTGCGGGTTCAGCGACTCCATGCGCTTCTCCAAACTCTGCAGCCACGTCGGCGCCAGGTGAACATTCTTGACAAGAACCCATGATCCAGTCTCTGCCGCGCTCGTGATGGCCTTGTCCGCGCTCGCCAGTCCTTCGTTGGAACCCATCGCAATGTTGGTGCACTTGACCTTGACTCTCTCCACCAGGTTGTCCACCTTGTAACTAGCATCGAATCCAGGCGTAGAAACAAGAGCAACAGGCAGCGTCGCAGACACTTGCATCGCCGTGTCCTTGAGATCCTCCACAATATCAAACGTCTCGGCTCCAAACACTTGCGCAACGAAACGCTCCGCAGCAGGCACGAAGCGGTCCATTCTGAAGCACTTGACGAGCAGCAGCGCAAGTAGAGCCTGGTCCATGGAATTTGCACTGTCGCTCCAAATTTTGGGGACAGCATTTTCGCCAAGCTCTTCCGTGAAGAACCTGTCCCAGTCTGACTCCTCGACTGCATCGATAACCTCCTTCAGTGCCCCATTCTTCCTCGCCTCGATAAAGGTCTCATCTCTCGCGTCAGGGTTCGAAGACAGATCGCGTCCTTCAAATCGCTTGTCCAGGACATTGTCGAGCAGAGACTTGTCCATCTTGTACGGCGTTGCTTGCGCAAGCAGGAGAGCTAGTGCAACACGGTCCTTCTGCAGTAGCCCGAGTGCCGTGCGCTTGAAGGTATTGACAAACAAGTCCTTGACAATGACGTCCCGGCGTTCGTTGTGATTTGTCACATTGGCCAGGTTGTTGTTGTTGTGCAGAACGGACTGGAAAATGTCCAAAAAGTACTGCAGCGAGAACTGGTAGAAGTGGTTGAGGTAATGGAGGTTCTCGAGCACAGCAAAAACCGCACTGCAGGCTCGGGCAACCACGCCGTATTGTTGCGTAATTTCCTCCACTTCGGCCATGACGCCTTCCGTGTTGCTCATCTTGGCAGAAATCTCGGCAGCTTCTCTCTTGAGCGTCTCTAGAGTCTCAATGACGTTGTCGTCGTCCAAAATGTTGCCACGCGACTCGTTGAGGGCTTGCAAAAGTTGCTTCTCCAGCTGTCGTAGATGGACCTTGAACTCGCCCTGCAGCTTGATGAGGTTGGATCGCCTCTCATCAACGTCAGGACGCTCCGACTTGAGAACGTCGTTGAGCGACTGCGTTTGCAAACTGCTTTGCGTGACGGTAAAATTGACAAATGTCGTACGACTGCAAATATCAGGCGCAAAGGTTGCTGATGGGTCTCTGGTAGAAAGATACAGTTTGAACGCTGGCGAGAAATCAATCTCCTGCTTGCCCAGTTGAATGAGGACACGGCCACCGGTGCGTTGATATTCCTTGTTGAGAACGTGGTTCAAGATGGGGTCAAGATGCTCAGCGTCCTGGATCAATATGGGGTTGCCGAAACGAAGCGAAGATTCAAGTTGCTTCGTAAACGTGTCATCCAGAAAGCTGGTCACCGTCAAGCGACGATCTTTACACTCCTTCTGCAAGAATTCCGTGACTCTGCCAGAGGGATCAATGATCAGCGGGTAGCGGTTGAAGCGCTTGAGAATGATGGCATTTTCCGTGCAAAGGTCATCCACTGGCAGTGAGTTCTCTTGCCAGCCTAAGCGCTCATCCGCACTTGACAGGTACTCGGTAACGGGATTAGGTGACTTGTACCGGATACCGGAGAGGTAGAGCTGGTGTAGCCAGTCATCCATCATGGACTTTCTGAACTGCTGGTCGTACAGCCCACTGTACGCAAGGAACGCAGCGGCAACCAGGACGTCACCGACCAAGGTACTAATCTGTGTCTCAAAAGACTTGCTTCCTTCCTCCCATCGGGTGCGTTCAGAGGAAAGGCTGTCCAGCAGGCGGACACTGCGGTCAACCTTGAACTGAACCTTGGACATTTCCGCCTTGATCGCTTGCGTCTCGCTAATGAGTGCAGCATATTCGGTCTTGTAAGTGTTGATGCTGGACTCAAGTTCTGCAATGTTGTTCTCAACGGCCTTGGCGTTGGCCTTGGTTTGCAGCGCCTGCTCTTCAAGTTGGGTAACTTCCTCCTTCAGAGGACCAACACGGTCCAGAATGTCCGAGTAGTTTACCTGAGCAGCTACCCACTGAACAAGGGGACCGCATGCCTTGGATGCGCGGTTGACTTTTTCAAAGGTAAACTCGGGAATAGACAAAAATTCGTTGCGCATCTTGTTCCGTAGCGCCTTGGTCATCTGCTTGGCATTGTCGAACATGAGAATGCTTGCAATAAAGTCGTCCTTGCGCACAATGGCTTGAACGGCCTTCCATTCGGTGATGCGGTGACCAAGCAGCGTGCAGACGGCATCGAGCGCCAGTCTGACACCCTGCGGCGGGTTACCCATGGATCTGACTTCTGTTAGGTGCTGACGCTTGATGTTGCTGACACTGGCCCTGGCCTCTTCGACGGCAGGCTCAGCCTTGTCAAGATCTTCCAATACAACCTTCCTCCGCGAGGCCACTTCAGCCTCCTGCTTCTCCAAAGAAGCCTGAATCTCCAACGACGTGTTCTTCCTCTGCTCTGCCTCACGCTGGTCAGCAACCATGCGCTGCAGCTTCTCGTTCGCCTCCGCATCCTTCTGCTCGAGCTGGGCTTTCTTTTCAGCCAGGCTGACGCGAAGATCGCGCACCTTGTCGACAGTGTCTCTAAGCTTCTCGAGACCAACATTCAGATGGCGTTGCTGTTCCTCAAGATCCTCACGCTTCTCCGTATACAACTTAACATATTGGCCCACGAAGTCCAAGAAATGACGCGGGGTGAGGAAGGTGATTTTCTTCTGTTGCTTGTACAACTTCTCGTTATATCTCGCCAGCGAGTAGTGGATATGCACCATGGAGTTGATAATGGTCTCGCGGTGAGAAGGTGGTAGGTTGAGGCCACGGTACGCAACGGGCACAGTATCAGGTGCAGACCAACTACTCTTATCCAGATCAATAGACTGGGTAAGTTCGTGGCCGACCTGGAAGAGTGCTTGGTCGGACCAGTCGCCGAACCAGTTGAGCACACAACGATTGAACAAGGCGGGACTTGTCGCAGCCTTGGAGGAGAGTCCATCCTCGGGTGGGTTCATAGTGAAGACAACATGCAGGTTGTTGACAATTTGCTGAGTGAACCACTTATACAGTTCTTCCGGAGAGTCCAGGTGCAGGTTCTGGCGTTGCGCACCTTCCTTGCAAGCAGTCATGAGAGCAGCATACTCGTCCCCTTCGAAGAGACCAGGGACTTCGGCGTTGGCAAGCAAGGTGTTCATGCGCTCCAAGAAACCAGAGTCCAAAACGTTTGACTCATCCATGATGAAGCAAATCTTTTCACCCTTGCAACCGCAGCGACGCAAGACCTCACGTAAATCGTCGTCAAAGTCTTCCGCGGAGTACTTGCCGTGCACCTTGATCTGGAACACCTTGAGGCCATTCATCCAGGCGACGAAGCGCGAGAGCGTAGTCTTGCCAGAGCCACTGACACCAATGAGAATCAAGTGGCCCTGGGGCTGGCGGAATACACGATCAATGCGTAACACGTGCTCCAGCACATCGTTGAAGAGAATGAGGGGAACGTCGACTTCTTCTTCGCAGAAAGTCTTGAGGCGTGCCTTGACAAATTCTCGCAGCTGCTCGCGATCGACGGGAATGTAATTCTTGGACAGCCAGTTGGAGAACAGGATTGGGCCTCCAAGAGCCTTTTCCTCATTTATGGTAGGAAAGTACTGGAGAGCAATCCTCTGAACTGACTCCTCCGTCCACTTGCGCTCCTCTTCAGCCACGAGACGATCCTGGAATAGGCGCAGAGCTTCATGGGCCCAGATGCGCACAAGACCTTCAATGGACAGTGTCTCAAGCGGCTTAATGGCTTCGTAGACACCACGCACCCAGCGTGTGAGTTCACGGGGACTGTATACGTAATGAGGCTGAATCTGGCGGGTGAAGCGTTTCTGTGACTCAAGGTAAAAGCGGACCATGGATTGCGTGAGAGGCTCGGCGTATCCACGAAGAGCAGGAATTATCTTGAGCACAGCCGAGTTGAATGTGCCGTAAATCTGGTTAAGAGACAGCTCACCGGGGTAGTCAACCATGATGAGGGGAGCGTGGCGAAGGAATCTGGCGCCCATGGGCGTTCTGCCGGCATCGGTAGGCGGGTTGCAGGCACCAACGAACTGTATCCGATCCAGAGTAACCCATGACTTATCCGAGGTGCGCCAGAATCCGTTGTGCTCAACAAGCTGGCGGAGGAAAGAAATGGCACGCTGAGTTCCGTACTTGTCAGGCGCGGGCAGGTTGATCTCATCGCAGAAGACAACAAGCCAGCGTCCGATCTGCGTCGGCGAGAGCATCACGCCATTCAGGGTCTTCTTGTACTCGCAGTATTGCTCAAAGGTCTTGATCAGAAGGTCGGGAGTAGTGGCACTGGAAAAGTTGAGTCCGACGACTTCCATGTTGGGCAACTTGCGAAGGGCGCTGAACAGCGTCATTGTTTTCCCGGAACCGGGAGGACCGCACAGTAGGAGCGGCTTGTGCTCGGCCAACCAAGAGTACAAAATGTCTTCGTGGCGCACAGTATCCAGCGTAGGAATGACAACGTCTGTTTGGATGATGGAGTGGGTGTTGACCTCGATAGATGGCACTTGAGTCTGCCAAGAGTTCCACTCCGCCTTGGGCAGATTCACGTCGAAGTCGATTAAAGAGCTGGAGCCGTCGAGGGGCGGTGATCCAAAGTTGGCGAAAGTACAAATCTCGTCACCAAAAGCTTTACGATCATCAAGAGGGCAGTCACCAGTGAACGCCCAAACAAGAGCAAGCAGCAGTCTCTTGGGAAGGAAGGCCTCAATCTGCTCCAGCTCAAGAGGAAAGTCGGAGTGTTGGCTATTGTACTCGATCATGTCGCGGACAGCCTTGTTCAGGAGAGAGAAGAGGGTAGTAAGAACACGAGCAACGGTGAAATCCATAATATGGTTGTACTTTTCAGACTTTTCGAGGGCTTGCGCGACAAAGTTGTCACCCTCCAGATAGCCCTGGAGAAGATCTGCAGCCTGGCTCTGCACAGCGAGCGTTTTAGCAGCGCTCTGACCAGTGGCGACACTGTCCTCATCGAGATCCTCAAAGGGCACGTTGCGCAGCGACTCAAGATAGTTCGTGATGACCATGTTGGGTGAGACAGTTTCCTCGCTGAACCAAACCATACCACAACGAGAGACAGTAGCCAGAGTGGCGTACTTGAGGGTCTCAACTTCAAACATGATGCGGACGTTTGCTGGCAGATTCAGACGCTCACCATTAGGTAGGGTGAGCAGTTTGTTGTCATCGAGGACACTGTTCAGGTTTTCAACCCATTCAGGATCGACATCACCATCAAATACGATCCAGTGACGCTTGGAATCTTCACCACGCAAGTTGTCGACAATCTTTCTCAGAATACTCGTAAAGAGACCGTCAGTCCACTCGCGAGTCGTGGAGTCGAGGTTACCATAAAGAGCTTCCTTGGACATAACCTTGGAGTCAATGACGTGAGAAACACCTTCAATGCATTCGACGCGCTGGAGGGCATCGAGTAGCAGCCTCCAAGCTGCCGACTTGCCGCTTCCAGAGTTTCCAACCATCATAACACCATGATGAATGTTTTGAATCTGGTAGAGCTGGAGAACCTTGGTCATCCAAATATCAGTGACAACCAAGTGTCTCTCGGCCGCAATAGCACGAATAGCCTCCTCGAGAGCATGCAAATTCGCCGGCACATATTCAACGCCGGGGAAGCATTCGCCCTCAATCTTTGTCATGATATCTACATCAGATTTGATGAGCTTGGGAGCGATAGTCTCGCGGACACTCTGCACGATAATTTCAGGCTCGACGACTTCTTCAGTGCCGAGCTGGCTGTCGGTGATGCGAGCACGCTTGAGACCGCCAGAACTGACCAGAACACTCTTGAGTGCACGTAGACCAAAATCGTAATGCGCCTGTTTGGAGAGCTGCTTAGAGCACATGTCAAAGAACGGCACAGCCTGCTTGGAAAGTTTCTTAGCTTGGTTGAAGCCCTGAGAGTACAGCATGACTTCGGCAATGAGTTCCTTGTCGGGCTTGGACATCGCAACACTGCGGAAGAGCTTCTTCAAGTTGTCGGGCAGGTTGGAACGACCCGCATAGCCAGGGTTCATGGTGATGAAGATGCCAGTGTTCTCGTTGACGCGCAGCTGGCGTCCAATAAGGTCAATCTGGGAGTCATCACCCTCGCCGCCGCGCTTCAAACCAAGCTGAATGTTTTGAATTTGTTGCGAGACAGCAGAGAGGATACGCTCTTCGAGGCGGTTGAACTCGTCAAAACAGCCCCAGGCACCGACTTGGCAGATACCGAGGAAGATGCGACCCATTGCCTGAAAATCGAAAGTGTCATCACAGCAGAAGACGAGGGTGAATCTACCGAGCTGCAAACCGAGCGCCTTGACAGATTCGGTTTTGCCAGTACCAGCAGGCCCGTAAGGGGAACCACCCAGACGTTGACAAAGAGCCTGTGTGAGAGTCAAGAAGCAACGATCTGTCAAAGGCGTGCGTACGAGGCGGTCCGGGACACCGAGATACTCAAAGCCGTAGTTGAGTTTAGCATTGGCCATCTTAATGTGCAGACGGTCAATGGCAGGACCAGGACCCTGAGACGAGTAGGCGTAGCGCATCTGCAGCTGCCAGAGGTAGTGCGTGGGGGAATCAGCCTTGGCAGTAACTAGCTTCTCAATCACGTCTCGTTGGTGGACGCATTCAGTAATCATTTGTTCGCACTTCTTGCGGAGAATAACAGGCAACTCCTCCAGAACTGTGTCAGCGAGTACACGCAGAATCTGAACCTCTCGTTCGAACAGAACCTGGAGACTCTGGCCGCCGTTGGCAAGAGACTCTTCCACAGCAGTGGTCCAGGCAGCCTGCGAAGCGAGAACCACGATCTGACTGGGAAATGCTTCCATGTAGTCGCGAAGCGCCGCAGTGTCAATGGTGCTGGACTGGAAGATGGGGGTGTACTGTTCCACAGCCTCTGAAAGGAGTTCAGCGAGGCTGGTTTTCATGCCACTCTCGAGTAAAGCAAGCCAGTCGTTGATACGCGGTGTTTGCGCCAAGGAAATCTCCTTCTTCAGCTTGACAACTTCGCCTTCTTTCGAGGTGAATCCGGAAATGATCGTCTCGTCATCCATAACGAGACCAGAAAGGCCTGCAAACATCTTCTTGAAGTGCTTGGCAATACGGAGAGTGTCGTTACTGTTGCCAATCATTTCAAGAAGATCCTCATCACCAACAAAGTAGAAACGCGGGAAAGATACACGTTCCTTCTCAAGGTATTCACCAAGGGCCTTCTGGATCTTGTTCAACATCTCAGCCAGACGTTCGAGAGACTTTTGGGCGTTGGGGATATTTAGGACATCGAGCACATAGGGCGTCTTGTTGGCCTTCTTCATGACAGCCAAGAACTCGCTGTTGATATTTTGGAAGCGACCCGACTCAATAGGGAGCAGATGCTTGATATCGGCATTGCCGGTGAAGACGCCCTCGAGGTACACCCACTGGCGCTGTACATCGATCCAGACATCAAACAAGACGTGAACTCGGTTGAGCTTGTCTTCCCAGGAGACGGCCTCCTCCTCAAATTCCTTGTAATAGGGCGAGTGCTTCATAGCCTGCAGAGAGTTCAAATTTTCACTGCACTTGGCAAACAGGTCGTCCCAACCGCGAATCAGTCTGCATTTATTCTGGTAGTTGACCATTTCGAGCGCGTAGTTTTGCCAAGTCTCGCGGACCTGCTTCAGAAATTCTTCCAGGGCCATTTCACCTTGGGCTTGGGCGATGATGTCCTTGACGATGGCTTCAGTAGCAACCAGATTCAGGTCCCAGACATCACCAAGCGTCATAGAGCTAGGGGAGAAGCGTTTCTGCGGTTTAATCTGCTTGTAGATCTTGTGCCAATGACGCTCGCGGATGGCATCAGACTTGAGGTCGGAGAGAATAGGGTTGACTTTGAGAAACCCACGGAGAATGCCCTGGACATGTTCAAATGCAGCGTACTGGCGCATTCTGCTGGGCATCTCCTTGGTGCTCTTGATAAGATCGTCTACCTTGGAGCGAATCTTGCGAGGCTGTACAGCTGTCCAAAGGATGTCTCGAGTTTCGTTCAAGTTGGCCCAGATTGTGGAGAGGTTGGACCAGACAGACTGGAAGTCACGCACTTCTTCCAATGTTGCCTCAAGAGAATCGTCTGCGGATCCGGGCAAGTCCAGTGCTTCCTTGGCCTTGATGACTTGCTGTAGGTCTTCCTGAATAGCAGAAATACGAGTCTCGAAGCCACTCAGGGTCGCAGAAGCAACATCGGGTTGGATCGTACCAGAGACAGGCTTGTCTTCATTCCATTGCGCCACAATTTCAGCAATGCGTCCGCTAACAAGCTTGTCCTGGGCGATAATGTTGGCTCGCATCGCGTCCGACTGCTCCTCCATCACACGAGATTTCTTCTCAAGAATCTCCTTGAGCGCCTCCCACTGGCTGTCGATTTGCTCAATATGCAGCCAGTCATTGGGGAAGTGATAACGCTGGCGGACAAGCGTAGACTGGCCTTGGCGAAACATGTCAATCTCAGGCGCCCACAGCTTCACGTTTCTCTTGCAGGTCTGTACAGCGGTGATGAACTGGACAGCCTGGGCCGTGGACGATGTATCAGAGCTCTGGCCCTCAAGACTCTTGCGAGCCTTTTCAATGTCGGCGTTGACTTCACGCATGCGAGTTCCGAGGCGACCAGCAAATTTGATTAGAATTTCCTGCTGCCACTGATCGTACTTGGCGTTGACTTTCGTTTGCACTTGGTCGTAATCAATGGTGAGGTGACCAAAGGAGCGGCTGACCTCTTGGGTGTCAAAGGTGGTGCGAACTTTTCGGATGTCTTGCAAGCACTCCAGCCAGCGGGGGAGATGGTCACCAAGCATGTCATAAACCTGTTCAGACTGGAGATCCCAGAGAGACTGGAATTGCAGCCACTTGTCGACGTAGGCACTGATTTCTTGCAGCTTTTTCTCGACAGAGACGTAGACGCGTTTAAGTGTGTCGGCACACTCGGTGGGCAGATCAGTAAAGCGAGGCTCGTCAGTAACGGTTGTATTGAGGCTCATTTGGTAACGAGCAGCTTTGATCTTGCGCAGGTTGCACACAATGCCGAGCCACTCATGCAAGTGCAAGAACCAGCTGGCTCTGGCGTGCTCCATTGGAGGATCCAGATAGATGACTTGGTTGCGCATGGCCACTTCCAGAACAAGGCGCTTCATGGTCGGGCCTGCAGGCTTAGATTCCGCTTCAGAGATTGGTTTGCGGCGGGTGCCTTCGGGAGTCTCGTCTTCAAATGCAGTGATCCATGATTGAATAGCGATGTGCAGACGGTCAAGCAGGGCAGCCTGGATTTTCTTGTTCAGATCTCGCACCCAGAATTCAAGGTTGACATATTGTTCCAGATTGAGCTGATCGACTGCAGCCTGAATAGTATCAAGCCTCGACTGAAAGGCAGAAGATTCGTAGTCGCACGAGCTGAGCTCCTTCAGCGCCTGCTCAACAGTGGTGTGGATGTAGCCCAGAGCAACGGCCTTGGTTTGCAGCACAGACACTGCCGCTGCGAGTCCACGAATAAACATGCCGTGTTTGCTTTCTGTGTTCTTCGACAAGCCGTAGTCGTTGGCGCCAGGGAGGAGTGTGCGGGCATGTCTCTGGTCGGTGTAAAAAAGTTCATGTGAGTTGATGAAAGACTCCCATCGCAAAGGAACACCATCAGCAATGAGCTTGTAGACGTCGTTGCGATAACCGTTCAACAGAACAGCCTCCTCGCCCATGGTAGATATTTGACGAAGAGTTTGGGATAGAGTTCTTACACTCTCCATGAGACTGACGGCGTAGGGATAAACGCGCTTGGCATCTTTGGAGACAGTAGTGACGGCGTGAGGAACAGAGTAGGACTGCCATGTCAGGTTACGAGTCTCCTTGAACAGTGTAATAATCTGAGGATCGAAGTTGACAGCAAGCTCGAGAATACCGCCGGCAGATCGCACACGCGCAATATCAAAAAGTTGGCCCGAGATGGAAATCTTGCGCCGACCGACGTCGGCAAGCCAAGCCTCGTAGATACGGGCGGTATCAAGCTTGTGCTTGAAGAGCTCGCTTTCTTCCTGGAGCTTGTGGCCCTCGGCGTGGAGAGTCCAGTCAGGTCCAAGAACAGCCTCAACCTTGCGCATGTAACCGTCCAGCTGAAATTCAATCTGTCGGGCCCAAATAATTGCACCTGAGACGGGAGGCAAATCACGGAGCTGGGCCATTGCATGAGCTTCCGAGTGGCCATACTGTTGCTTGAATCGTTCATGAAGACCGTTGATGGCCTGCTTGACGTGATCCATGAGCTGGTTTTGGTATTCCTGGATGGCACCACGAATTTTTGGGCGCACAAAAAGCGCGTTGAACTTGGAAAAGACGCGAAACATTTCATTGGCGGTCTTGGCAGTCGCGAGGCGATCACGAAGGCGCGCAATGATGGAGTTTTCTACTCTTGTCGTGCGCTCATTGTAGAGGTTCTCTGCCAGTACCCAACGCTCCTTGCCTTGCTCGCTGACGTCCAAGAGGTCAACATTTTGCAGGGCTTCCCAAGCTTGTTGGACCTCTTCGACGGCATCAACGTCGCCCATCTCCTCCATCACAACGCCATTTGTCGCAGTCGTCTCCGCAGTCCCAGAAATTGTAGCGTCGGGCCCAAGGACATTGACTATGGTGCGCTGAAGCTGTTCGTGGTTGTCACGGAAGGTGCTAACATACTTTATGCGTGCCTCAAGTTCAGAATGCTTCTTGTTAATCTTGATGGGGATAAACTTTTCGTTTCTGCGGCGAGTCACTTCACGGGCCGTGTTGGTGAAGTCTTTGACGTTGTCTTCCCAAGCTTCGAAGATGTCATCACATGTGCGCATAATAGTCTGAAATTGCTGATAGTCGAGGTTGACAAATTCCGTGCCTGGGAGCAGTCGGTGAAGCACATCATCCAAATCGGCAGAGATAGCTTCGACCAGCGGCAGTGCTCTACGGATCGGATAGGGACAAACTCTCAGTTTCTTTTGAAGATGACCTAGAATTTGGGCAATAGCTTCCTGAACCTTGGGTAGAGATGTCGCGGACAGTAGCTCGTCCAAGGGAAAATCTCGCATGAGCATGTTGTACTTTTGTACCTTGTCCATAGCTTCCTTGAGGCCGGTATCCGCGGTGAAACTGACAGTCGCCTGGAAGCGCTTGGCATTCTTGAGAATTTCGAGGGTTAACAGAACGCCCTCGCTGCGAAGCTGCCCCTCGATGCCTTCCAGAGCTGACTCCATGGACAGCCAAAAATTGACCTCTTGGCTTGCGGTGCTAAACTCTTGATTGGTGCCAGATGATGCATCTTTTGTCATCTTCGTGACACCCTGGATAGACTTGATCCATGTGTTGACATTAGTCTGCAAGCGGTTGAGGAAAGTGCTGTCTTGAAGCAGTGTCGGTGGTATAGAATCGATGGTAGGTTGGCTGTGGCGAGACTCGGCTTCTTCAAGGGCGTTCTGGACAATGGAGTGGAAAGTCAAGGATATCTCCGGGATGTCGACGTTTTGCTGTAAGTGAAGCAGGCTGATCTCCAGATCGTTGAGCCTCTTCTTAGTGACAGGAATACCAGTCTTTGCATCGATGTCCGCACGGCCACGCAGACCGTTGGCGGCTAGCTGGCTCTTGGTGTTTGCGTCAAAGTACGGTACCAAAGCATGGTGCACCTGCGAGTGCAGCACCTCCCATGGAGAGATGCCGGTACCCTGCTCTCCAACAGCAGCGTTGAGTGCAGCAGGTCCAGGCAAGTTCGTGATGAATATTTGGGATGTAAGGGATCGAGTCGGATCAATGGTCTGCGGCGACTTCAGTAGGACGAGAGAGGCAACGGTCGTGGCAGACGACAAGATTTCGGTGGTAAGCGTATAGTGGAATGATGAAGGGGCTGTTTACAGATCGAAAGTTAGCAATAGGCACATATCCTAGCGTTAGGTAGCTTCTCGAAGCTGAATTCAGAATTGCATACCGACACCATCGCTTCCAGCGTCTGCCGCAGAAGACGCAGCAACGTCCTTTTGAATGTAGAGCACGTTTTGGTTGTCGTTGGCAAATCGCGTGCAGCGAGCGACCGTCTCGGCATGCCACGAGCTGCTCAGCAGGCTACCTGGCTGCTCAAGTTCCTCCTTGGTCGCACCAAGCGCGACCTGGCAGACGGCGACGAGGTGGTCCAGCACGCGCTCTGGCTCGATGGTCGGGAAAGGGGTAGGCGACGCGAGGCCGTTGGAAGCAAGCCCCGACACCGGTGGTGACGAGATCTCCATGGCGGCCTATTAGGGTAAAGGGGTTGCCGCAACAAGAGGGAGGGGGCAGGTCCTGGCGCGATAGGCGGCGGAGTGTCTATGTCGAAGATCGAAGCGTCAAACGGACCATATCAAGTGCGGCTTGTATCGCAGCGTATCACCGTTGAAGTCCAAGAGTAGAGCGTGTCAAATTCCGGCAAAGTAGTGAGTAAGCTTTGCAGGCTCTGGTGCGAGCGAGGGAAATATCTTGCTGGTGTCGGCAAGCAAAGTCTGGAAGCTTGCGCTGCGCAGAAAATCTCAGGGGTGTTGTAAACGAAACTGGGGGTATCGGCGCCGCGACTGGGGCAGCAAACGGCAGGAACGAGAAGAAAGAGAAAAACGGCAAACTGTTCTATACACAGGTCCAGGCCTATAAGGAAAAAGGCCAGTTTGCAGCTATCAAGAAGGTCAAGTATTAGAAGAAAGTAGGGTGTTTGCACAATGCCAGGGTTCAGTAGCAGGAAATGGAGGTGAGGTGTTGGCGTTGGCTGTTTGGGTTGGCTAAGTCAAAGGCAGGTACTCCAAACTAGGCAGTAAGTAGATGAAGAACTGAGGTACCTAGCGTGGCCATACCCGTGCCAGACCCCATTCTTGGGCTGCGGCAAGGTACGCGACGTGTACCTTAGGTAAGGTAGTTAGCAGTGGGGGCGCGCCTTTGATGCAGAGCTCGGGGAACTGTGGCTTGACCAGTTAGGCAACAAAGCAACCACCAGAGCATGCGCCACATACCATCATCAACATGAGGACGCATCACGACTGCTATATGCTTTATAGCGGGCCAGAGCCTTCACAGCAAAATACATTTGAAGTGAAATACTTAGCTTAGGAGCCTTGACAAAAATCGTCATACTAATCAAATGCTGTTCATAGAGAAACCCAAACCTTGCCTGGCCATCCGGCCTCCTAATGCCCATCCCCATCTCTTACCAAACATGAACCTGTAGCCTCCCTAGGCGCATCTCACAGTAAAAATGTATAATACCTATAGAAAGACCCAGAACCCAATGCCAAGAACTCCGCCTGGCTAAGCCTAGCCAACATGAAGAAAAGGATACACAAGAAGTTCGATCAGATGTCCGTATACCGTATAAACCCAACTGTTTCCGTAGTAGCGCTCGTTTCAAACAGGTCCGTCCTCCCTGCTACTCTGCGATCTTCGGCCGTTTATCACAACTCAGGGTGCTACATTGCTTCCGCTAGCACCTCCCTGCTCCTGCCCAGCCAGTCTCTGGCGCTGAACCATGACTCTTTCGTTGCAGATGTCAATGAACATTTCGAATTTTTCAATCAGTTGCTCCTTTTCTTTGAGTTTGGTCTGGAGCGCATCAATCTCTTTTTGCTTCTCCTCTTCCATCTTTTTCATGTCATCGCGGGCCTTTGACAGCTCCCGCCGCAGATCAGCGCGAATTCGGTCCTCAGGAGACTGCGCCGTCTTTGTATATATCGCCGGTCGGTTTTCAGCAATGCCGGAAGCCACCTTGGTCGGGTTACGGTTGATAGCCGCTCGTGCATTGTAGATGTCTCTCGGGAGCAGGTGGCATTCAGGATTCTCAGTTTGCAGAATTTGTAAGGTTTCCGGTACACCGGCCCCTGTTGTTGCTTTACAGTTAGTACGAGTCTGTCGATGAAGTGTGGTGACAAGCCTACCGTTTTCTTTGAGTCTCTTTACTTCCGCGACCATTTTGCTATCCAGTTTCCTAGCAGCAGGGTGATCAGAGGGACCTTCACTAGGTCCATGGTTGTGCGTCAGATGTTGCGGGTTGGGTCGGTAACGAATAGTCCACTGTGTGCGCTGCTCGATCGCAAAGAAGCCAAAGGGGCAGTCACATTTGCGAGATGAAGTCTTACGCTTGCGGAATTCGGGGCTGACGCGGCTCGGCGGCTTTCCAGCTCTGTCACACACAAAAAGTACTTTCTTCAGCCCGGGTACAGTCTTCTTTGAGCGGCCAATGACAATAGCATAGCCGACAGAGGTGCAGTAGCGAAGAACTGCTTTTTGCACAGCTTCTAGTGTGGGATAACTGCCACCTTCAGGCGGCGGCGACATCATCTCGCCCATAGGTTGAGACGGCACAAACGAGGGGTCGTTGCGAAGCTTAGCGTCCAATGCATTAGAACCCTCCGGTGCTCCCTGGCCGTCCATTTCGAGATCATCGACGGCATGATCCCCTTGTTGTTGCGGGAGTTGAGCTGGAGGGGCCTGGGGAGTAACATGAGTCTGCTGTGCCTGAGGGGTACGGCTCTTTGCCTGGTGCTGCAAAGATTGCTGTTGACTCGGGGGAATCGGTTGCTGTTGTTGCTGCTGCTGCTGAGGTGTCGGCTGCTTCTGCGGTTGAGGCTGCGGAGTGCGCTGTTGCGGCGGGGGTTGGGGTTGGGGTTGTTGCTTCTGCTGAACTTGCTGTTGCTGCTGGGCTTGCTGGTGTTGAGCTTGTTGCTGTTGAGCCTGCTGTTGCTGTTGAGCCTGCTGTTGCTGATGAGCCTGCTGCTGCTGTTGTGCATGCTGTTGTTGCTGTTGCTGCTGAGCCTGTTGTTGTTGCTGTTGTTGTTGAGCCTGCTGCTGCTGCTGCTGCTGCTGCTGCTGCTGCTGTTGCTGTTGCTGATGCTGCTGCTGGAGCGATTGATGGGGTTGGTGTAGCGGATGACTTTGATGAGCCGGATGTTGGTGAGTTGGGTGCGCAGGATGATGGTGGGATTGGTGAGGCTGGTGCTGATGGGATTGTTGCGCTTGGTGGCTCTGTTGACTATGGTGAGCTGTCAGAGGGTGGGTGGGATGGCCAGGGTGCTGGTGTTGCTGCTGGTGCTGCGGATGCTGTTGGTGCTGGCCTTGCTGCTGGTGGCCCTGATGTCCTGGATGTTGTTGTTGGTGATGAGGTTGCTGCTGGTGGTGAGAAAGGATTGGGTCGTGCTGAATTGACTGGTTCATGGAGCCTGGGAAGACCATTGGCGGTGGATTCGACTGGGACATTTGCTGGCGAGACGGGGCAGCGCGCTGGCGCTGTGCGCCGAGGGTATTGGAGACATGCGAGGGAGCGCGCGGAGGTCCATTGGAAAGATTGGTATTTATGCCACTCGGGGTAAAGATCTGTTGATAAGTAGTCTGATGTTGCGGCTGCTGCGGTGTGTAGGCATGAGACTGTGGCTGGTAGGGCGAGGGTACAGGCGACTGCTTATTTGGCTGATTCGGGCGGGATGGTTGAAAGGCGGTGTTGCGACGGAGGCCAGCCTGGGAGAAATTCAAGGCGCCATGCGGGTTGGAGCCGGGCGGCCCCAGTGCCGACATTTTCACGCACGTAGGGGTGTTGCGAGCGGGAGATGTGTCGATGAGGATGAGCAAGTGCGACGCGACGGGCTAGATGACGGCGTGACCCTCAGGTCGAGAGGGCTGTTTTTTTTGTGCTGGAAGCGAGCTTATGTGTCACGGGACGGCAGGAGCCAGTGGCGACCTGGCGATATTCGGGTGAGGTGGAAAGAGAAAAAAAAAGCAAGCGCCAGCGACGAAAAAAACGTAACGACGGATTGTAGCAACACGATGCAAATGATGATGGATTTGTTGTGCTGGTGCCGGCTTGGTCGAGGAAGGCGCTCGGGCAGACCGCGTTGCGTTGGCGGGGACAGAGTAGGCAGGCAAGCCCAGGCGAGGGATTTCGTAAACAACCTGGGTGGCGGACAAAAGGCGGTGCAACGAGAAACGGCCGGTCGGGTGGGCGGGCGGAGGAGGCGAAGCTCAGCGAAAACGACGAGCAATGCTTGCCCTCGAGCCAACACGGGAATATATTCAGAGAAGTATCGGCAAGATAGCTCGTCGAAGGAAAAGAGAAAAAACCCTGGACTTTTTTTTCTTGGGGGTGTCGATAAATTGGATGGATGGGAGGTAGAGGCGTGGAGGTGCAGCGCGTGCCGACAGGAGGAGGTGTGGGAAAAGGGAGGAGTGAAAGGGAGAAGGGAAAGAGGAGGGGAGGGGAGGGAAAGGGTAAAAAAAAGAACAGAGAAGAGCGAGAGGGAGCGGGTGAGAGGGTGGGCGTGTAGTAGACGACAGCAAATGGGAGTCCTGGTACGGAGACGGATACCAGGTAAGATTATTATTATGAAAGAGGCGCACGGAGCAGGAGCAGGGGGGCGCAGCTGCACAGAGCAGCGGCTGAGCCTGTGACAGGCGGGACAGCAGCTGGGGCAGGTTATTACAGCACTCATCACCACTACTACCTATGTATGTAGGTATGTACTAACGTTAATGTAGCAAACGCTGCGAGCCTCCCTCTATTCATACTAAAACACTATCATCAGTGAAACAGACACTCTGGCCCGTTTGCCACTCAACGTTCTTTCTGCTCCTATAGTAATTGACTTTCTCCCCTCCCTCTGCCTCCTCTACCAGTATCCTCCGCCACCGTTTGTCTCGCCTCGGCGCCAATCTGTCGACAACGCCATCTTTTCCCTCCCAGGCCCACCGCTGCAAGACAACCTCCTCCCAGCCTAGCCCAGGCTCGCCTCTCAATTCAAGGTGTGCGGCAGGCTGGCTGGCTGGCTCCTGCCAACCTATTTGTAGGCACGGGAAGCTGTGCCACGTACGGAGTACCCTCTCACCGACTCTCACACGGTGCAGTCCCGACCGGGCTGATGCTGTGCAGGTTGCGCGACCGAGCGGCTGCAAAAGTCCATGGCAGCTGCACGTCGGCACACATGTACAGTTCTGTACGGTGTCTGGACAACACGATAGCTACCAGTAGGAAAAAGGTGCGCTGGTTCAGCCAATCCCCTGGTCGCAGATCCCACCACAAAAAAATGTATTTCACAATCACCCGGGATTTACTGGTTACGGCCCCCAACTCAAGGCATGCACAGAGCAGGCGTTCAAAATCCGTGACAGTCGGTCTTTCCAACCCTGGAAAGCAACCCCTTCACGTTGGATAGTGTCAAACTGACCAACTCAACAACCATCCGAAATCTTCAACGCTGTTTGTACCCTGGTTAGCGGTTATCCCTCGAGTCGCGGCAACCAAGGGCGGTCGAGTGTGCAGAGCTTGCTTCTTCGTGCCGCCACCCCTTCACGGTCGCACATGTCACAAGCATTCAGCCAGTAAATGGGCTGGAGTATGGTACTATTCCAAGGATTTTGTTTGGAACGTCAATTATTCCGCCAGCGTTTACAAAAACTGGTTACGTGTCTCTACCTGGCGCGACTCAATTAGCATGACCGCCAGCTGCCGCATGATCCTGCAACAGACTACCGAGACAGTGACGGATTTAAGCCACCCTGCTGGGTCCCTTTCCAGCCCGCAGTTGTGTAGAATAGCCTTCTCGTGGTCTGGTGTCCCAAGTGCGCGCCCTCCAAGTTCATCCTGCCTGTGCCTGGAGCGTGTCTCTGTTGGTGGTTACCTCGCACCACCCTCCTCTCCCTACCCGGTACCGATGACTGGGTCGAGATCGGGCTACCGTCCTATCGTGCCATCCGCCTCGCCTACAAAGTCGAGAAAGGAAGTGTACCTGTGCGTCCGTTATCGTGCCTTTTATATACGCCGGCAGCTTGCATCCATGATAAACTGTTCCTGCAACTGTCGCACGCGACTGCGCCATAGTGCGGGCGAGCTTGGTTGTAGAATGCTACACGCCTCTAGCTTCTGCTCAGCCTAATAAGCTTCCGAGATGGCGCCTACTGCTGTGTTGACGCATTAGCCCATGTCAGGACACTGCACTGCAGGAGAAGAAAAGACTGGCCATGTGCCATTAGTCACAATACCCGGGCGGTTTCAGCAATTGCTTTCCTCGATAAAAACGACGTTGCCAGCTGGTCCATCTCATCCATCACGTCAACTCACGCCTCCTGGTTGCCATACTGTACGCCTCTATCCACAGAGGGTCCAGTTAACCACTCCCCGCCAAACACCCACCATTTGTCTGTGGGGCCACACTGTTCAGCCCAACACGCCCCCCCTCCCCAGGCTGCCATTGCCAGTTGCCAGTAATAGTCCCTACCCTGGTGAGGAGAAGGGGGGAGAAGGGGGGAGAAGGGGGGCTCATTGCCTCGACTGTCTGCAATCCGTACGTTAAACTCTAGCATCAAAGAGAAGCCACTCACCGAAAGCCCACCGTCAGAATATCTGGTATCTGCATGTCTCAACACGCCTTATATATCTATCGGTCCTGGGCATCTTGTCCCGGCACTGCCGAGAAGCCACCACCACCACCACATCTCTGCATGTCCCATCACACATCACACATGCAAATCCACTCCTCTCCCGGATGAACCCATGGCCCCTGTACCCAGTACATCACGTCGCTGCCTGAGACATCGCTCGTGTTTTTCTTTTAGTTAATGTACAGCATAATTTGCTATAGTACAAGACTCGTCTTACTTCTATTATACAAAACCAAGAGGGAAAAAAAAAAAGGAAAAGAGAAGAAGCCAAAAACTGCACACGCTCGGCCATGTAGATGATGAAATCAACGCATTGTCCCATGTCTCCAAGAACAAAGAAAAGGCCAAGGAAAAAAATGACAACGAAAGACGGAATACAAACGAACATGAATGATTGAACAGTTGCCTCGAGCAACCACCAACGTTGACCACCACCCCTGCCCCCAGGTGGCTGGCTAGATCGCCTCGCTCGCCTTGTCCTGCTTAGGACTGTTGGCAATGACCTGGCGTAGCACCTTTAGCTTCTCTTCCGTCACACGAATCGCCTCCTCCACCTCACGAGCGTCCATTCGTGACTCGCGTATCCTCTCCTGCATCGTACGCGGCTCAAGTGCGCGTTTCCTGACGCCGTGGCTGTCCGAGTCCACTTGTCCCAGACCTGTCCGCTCCTCGAGCCACTCCCATAGTTCGCTTTCCTCTCTCCGCCACATCTCCTCGTACGCTGCCAGCCTGAAGGGACCGTACATGTCCATCAGCTCGCCTCGCCCGCCTGCACCTCCACCGAATCCGCCCGCCGGCTTACTCGGTGAGAAACCGAATCCAAACCAAGACGCAACGAGCAGTCCCACGAGAAGTCCGTACATGACGTTGCCCGTCAGGATCGGCTTAAGAATATCCAATATTGGCTCGAGTATTCCACGAATAGGTTCCAACGGCCCCCAGCTGGTCTTGGATGCCTCAATCTTCTTGGCTGAAACATCCGAGCCTTCATTGGCTGTCAGGCTGGCCCGGCCCTTCTTGCCCTTCTTTTTACCCTTGCCATTCGTGAGCGTATTGGACCGACCTCTAGTCGTTACCGCTGCTTTCGCCGACGCGAACAGCTCCTCGCAGAATTTGGCCTGGCCATCATTCACGTTCTTCTCAATCGGGCCTTTGATCCAGCTCTTGCCGGTCCACTCCGTCGTGTAGTTGACCTGAATCCTCGTTGCGTTGTTCTCCGCCCACGTAAAACAATACCTGGTTTTGACTGTGAAGAGAGTGCCTGAGGGGACTTCGGGAGTCCGCGTCGATAGGACCAGCGTGATGGATTTCTCAAAATCAAGGCTCTCCAGATTTTCCGTAACGATACATTTCGTCTGCTTGGGTCCCAGCGAAGCATACAGGGGCTTGATATATGTCCATGTCCTCGTATTGTTGTCCATGGTCAGCCCCTTCTTCTCGTCAACCGTTACTTCAAGACATTTTTGGTCTTCCGACAGCCATTTGGTCATCCACGTCGCCGATGCGGAACCAAAGAGCAAACTGTAGACTTTTCCTAGTGGGGCGGGTATGATGTCGTCGCCGACAGTCTTGTCGTAGTGTGTACCGCTGTCGGTGCACTCTGTCGGTGCGTGTGTTGCTGGACCTGGGAAGTCGCCGCCAGGTGACGGCGAGGTTGGAGCGTCCTTGGCGCTTTCCCCCGATGCGCCATTAAGCGTAGTCATTGCAGAAACTTTCCGACTCACGGCCTTGTCGTTGTCCACATCTGCGTTGGCACTGACCTCAGTCAGCTGCGAGTCGACGAAAGCGCCGTCCTCCTCCTCGTCGTAGAATTCGTCGTCGTCGTCGCTGCCATCTTCCGACTCGGAGCCTAAGGGAGACTCATTCTCCAAGCCAAGGCCCTGGGGCTCATCTTCCACCTTTTCTGTCTTGTCGCCACCTGTTCCCTCGAGCTGGACGCCGTTGAGGGAGCTCTTGAGTGTAGGGTGGCCCAGCTTCCATATGTTGACAATCAAGTCGTAGGTGGCGTCTCTGCTCGTGAAACTTGCGAAAATGTGCTTGGCGTGTAGGGTTGAAATCATCAAGCCGTTTTTGAAGACTAATGCTGTGCTTCGCTTCTCGACTGATACAATCTCATCAAAGCTCATGACTAGCGTCGTTGTCCAACCAAGAATGTTGCTGCTGAAACAAAGATGACCTTCGGAAACATAGAGACGACCGTGGGCTAAAATCTCTCGCTGCAAGGCGCAGCTGTAGTCCTCAATCAGATAGTCGTCGTCGGGAACGCTCTTGAAAAATGAGTGAAAGTCGCGGTTTCTCTTCTTGCTAGCAATGGCAAAGCCGGTGAGCTTGGGAGCACCCAAGGTCGGTGTTGACTGCAGTGGTACGCCCACAGGAACACCGATGGTTGCACCGGTAGTCACGGAGCTGCCTCTCTTCCTACGCGGCTTCACTGCACTTCGGACGCTTGAGCTTCTGTTGGGGCCAGCGAGATCGGTCTGTGATTGTACGAAATCATCGTCGTTGGCGGATTCAATGGCCGATCGGGGCCTGCTTACGGGCTCGTCACTTGGTAGCTCCGAATGGGGTTCGACCGGCGCCGACTCGGATCTGGCTCGTGTATCGACAACATCCGGGAACCTAGCACTGGCGGGACTGGCGACGTTGCTGGGAGCATCAGACAGGCCGAGTTGGCTGAGACTCAGCTCCCCGGCACCAAGTGTCTGGATTGCTGAGCTGCGTTGCATGGCCCGTCCATGCGACTGAACCATCTCATCTTTATTCTGCTGGGAAGTGACACTGCTATCGTCCTCTAGCTGGTCAACGGCTTCAACACTTAGGGATTTGAAGCTTGCCGTTTTGTTCTTTTGTCCGCCCATGCTAATGCCGGTACCTGGGATATTGTTACTCAAAGTCGTCGCTGCACTTTGTGCAGCAGATATGACAGAAGAGAAGAAGCCAGTTGCACTTGGTGTTATGCTACCGCTCTCTGCCTCCGCGCCTGGTGTCAGTGGCGCCGATGTTATGTTGGACAGCTTGCTCGGCCCAATGGCAGCGCCTCCGGACTTGCTTCTCCTATGAATATTCATGTTTTGCGTGGGTGACCCGGTTTCGGCAGGGCTCCTGGTCGCAACGCCAGTGGAGCGCTTCTCTGGTGAAGAGGTTAGAGCCTGGCCGAAACCGAGGCCAGCTTCGGTCGGCGTGGGTGGCGTGTTGACAATGACGGGGCCGGGCTTGTCGCTGTTGGGAGGAGTCCGCGGGACGTCGACGTCAACGCTGGGGGTCTTGCCCCGAGTTTCCTGGTCGGGGGCAGCTAGCCTGGCAGGCGCCGGCAGGTCGGGAAACTTGACTGACGAGACAGTGTCGGGGGTGTCTGCCTTGTCGTTCTTGCTACCCCTCCGCCAGGGGCTGCGGCTGTTTCGCGACGAGGGCCGAATCTTGGGCGGCGAATCGAGGTGAGCGGCCTGAACGGCGGGTGAGGAAGTCGTGAGATAGCCAACCAGGGACGGGTGGTTGGAGGGCACGGGCCGAACTGGTCGCGACGAAGATGACGGGCGTGGACTGCCAGGACGGTTAGGGTGTACGGCAAGGATATCGGGACGACCGGGAACACGGATTGGCGCTGATGGGTAGTACAAGAAGGAGAGGACTGGGAGGCAATGGAAGGAGGGATGTGTTTGAGGAGCGGTGCTTTCAGTTGGTAGGTAATAGTCTGAGACGTTGGTTTGCCTGTGTCGGAGCTGGCGTAATCAGAGAGCGAGCAGTCCGAGCAGCGAGGCTGAGGCGGGGATTGGATTTTGGTGCAATACCTAGGGATTTGGATTTGTTCGACGCCGGCCTTGGCTACTTACATCCATCGCATCCAGCTAGGGCAGACTGGGCCACTACCTTAGCAGCTTACCTACTAGGTCGGAGGTAGTAATAACGGCGCCACGTCACAGGAAGCAAGTTCCTGTCCCAAGCCAAAAACTTCCAGATGCAGAGTGAGGGCAACACGAGGCGCGTAGGTAGGCAGGTAGGCAGGCAGAAGGTATTGAAGTAGAAAAGTAGAGCGACTTACGGTTCTCCACTGCGATTCGCATCCGCGCTTGACTCGTAGGATGCAAAGCTCCCATCATCAGCCTCGTCCGTAAACTCGCGCTCATCGTTGTGGTCGTCGACGTACAGCGACAGGTTGCTGCTGGATGATGGTCGCTGGTCCTTTCTCGTCGCATCGTCGGCTGAATCCCCGTCGGGAGACTTGCTCTTCTTGCTTCGTTGCTTGCGGCGCGCTGACAGCGACTTGGGCAAGAGCTTGCCCAGTCCGTTTTGGCTCTCCATACCTTGGAGCGCGCCTTGTAGGCGTATATGGGATACGGGATATGAAATGTTCGGAAGAGAGGAGAGGGAGTTTGCCCGTTCGAGTCTCCTCTAGCTCGGCGTTGCAGAAATGGCGACCATTGCCTCCTAGCAAGGGTAGTGGCTGTCGCTCTTGCGTTTGTTGGTAGCCCCTGCTGTCCATTTTTATCCGCCATCACGGTGGGGAGAAACTCCCTGAGTCCATTACCATTTCATGTAGTATGAGTTAGTTAGTGTCTGCTAATCCTTGGGTACAACCAGAGAAATTCCTGGCGAAAGTTTCCTGTGTAGGCCAATTCAAAACGCCAGGAACAACGACAATTTCAAGCATCGGGCTCTTCAAGCGGCAAATAGCAGTTATACCATTCATAAAACCCGTCACCATATAAGCCGCACAGAATACACCTGTCTGCAGCTTCCTCTTAAGTCGTGCCGTCATCATGTGTTAGTAGGTACCTATGTACATTGTAGGTACTAAGTTGCCAAGTACCCACACCGTACGCCTGCCATCTTGTCTCCTCTTTATAACTACTGCGTCCTACCTTACCTAGGATTTTACTACCGATATATATAGCGGTGGAGAGAAGAGATATAGAAGATATAAGAATATCACAGAGTATGAAATATGAAAAGCAAGAAAGACAAGAAGGATAAGGAATGTACGAAATATTATGAAGGTACAAAATACATAGGTACTCGGGTACCCGTACATACATAGGTAAGGCCGTCAGGTGATTGACGACTCAACTGCCAGCTACCTAGGTATGTAGGTAGGTACCTACATACATACCTATTAACCTCACCTGTTACCTTACCTACATAGTTACAAGCAATAGTTACCCCTGTATTCGCAACCACCAAAAATCCCCCACCGGTTGACAAAGCCGAGCCTACGTGCACCTTGCCAACACATGTTTCTTCCCTTGCCAACACATGTTTCTTCCCTTTTTCGAGTCCCTTTCAGGTTGATGCAGCACCATGAATGTGAGTCTGTTTTGTGATTTGCCCATCTTGCAAGGCCTTATCTAACAAGAGTACGGATAGAACATCGAGCCATGGGAGTGCCGGGATAGGCAACACCAGACAGAAGAGTTGTACAATGCACCGCTGCATCGATCCAACCGCGCACTCGCCCAGGAGAACCTGCGACTCAAGAAGCTACTTCGGCAGCACAGAATTTCCTGGTCCTCCATATCACGGAATCACTTGTCTACAGTACGGCCTAGGCGCCTCAGGACCCGATCATCCAATGTGGGCAGCGATACAGAAAAACTTCGACTACCACCCGAGATTTTGGTCCGCGTTCTTGAGTTCGCCATGACCAGCCCCCACCCAATCCTTGATCCGCTGTCACCACTCGTACCGGACACTCTATCGAATAGAGAAAAGAAAAGAAAAAACCAGATCGCCATCCACTTCCTGGCTACTTGCAAGGCCATGCACGCGGAGGGCACGAGATATTTATGGCGGTGTAACCATTTTGTCTTCACCTCTCCTCAGTCACTCCGAGCCTTTGGCGAGTTAAAGGCTGAATTCCGGGTCTCTATTCAAAGCATTACGTTGCGTGTCATTGCGCGGTACTACGATGATGTGCACCGCCAGCACACGATCAGAGCTAGGCGCAGTTTGCACCTAGAAAAGGATCATGTAGTCCCGGTTTATAAACGTCCTCGCGAGTCTCCTCTTGTTCGCGGGGGCTTCCGATGCTACACTTGGAATCAGGTTGTGGACTTCCTCACTGCGCTACGTGCTCCATACGATGCCGCCATTCGTAAAGAGGCAAAGCCACCCCCAAGGCTCCTCCCAAATTTGACGACTCTTCGTTTGGATCTGGTCAACTTTTTCCAGGAGCTCGTTCCTCGCCCAGGCCCTGAGCTACATGCGATCGCCTCGCATGAGCTAGGATGTACGCTTAACGAGTTGCAGGTGACCGGCATGCCGACATGTGATGTGGGAGAGAAAGCATCAGTCGAATTGGGCGGGATGCTCAAAGATGCGGGTCTTTACCTTGATGCAAGTGCTCTTTTTCTTGCACATAAGAAATACTTGACGGAGCAACCTGACGTCGGCACGTGGTGGCCGAGGCTTGTCCGCGCATGGGGAGGACTGCCAACCCCAACCGTTGACACGATGCTGGATGGAGGCTATGACCACTTACTGATGGCCGACTGGCATCTGTCGATGCTGGGGATCCTTCCGGCGGCCCCCGAGATAACGGGGCCAGCATCATCACCACGAACGATTTGGAAGAGTGTGCCCATTTCGCCATATTCAAGCGAGCGGAGTCCGTTGGAGTTTTCTAGAATCACCGGCCTCGTGGGGTTCGACCCAGACTCGGGAGCGGACACAGATTCGACAACGGACAGCACAGACTCAGAAATGGACAGCATAGATTCAGAAATTGACGACATAGACTCAGAAATGGACAGCACAGACTCGGAATCGGACAGCGATGTCTGCCCTGGCTGCGGTGAATCGCACCACGGAATATCATCCATAGACTATTTGATGGAGGATGGAGAATCTAGTGAGGACGACGATAATAGCGACTCGTCTGATTCAGAAGAGCAAATGTGAGGACTCAGTCAGTGTGCATCCGGAAAATTAATCACTTCAGAATGATTTGCGTGATGTAATTTTACTTTCAAAATATCTTTTATGTCTCTTAGTTATACCTCTTATATTTATAATCCTGCTTACTATCCTTACACATCTAAAAACACGTGCTTCTTGAATCGCAGTAGATGCAAATTTTAAGAGAGACAAGGTACCTGCAGTTAAAAGTTCCGTACGGGTTTGGTACCTACTGTAAGATAGTAACTATTTTGACAGATGCTGTTGAACACTCATGTATAATGCGTCTTCGAACCGCTTTCTAGGAAGGCAATGAGGGGATGTTGATTCGCTCCGAAGAGTCTTTATTTCTTGTGTTCATACTTTTCACATTAAAAACTAATTATCTAGATAGCAGATCTCGTTCCCGCGCTTTGGTATACTTAGTCTAGATATCAGTTGGAGAGGCCCGCTGTGTAGCCTAATCGTGATACCAACGTCATGTTTATCGCCGAGGCATAAAGCCCTAGCTAACTAATTGCTACCCAAGCTATTGTTTTCCGTATTCATCCTTCCATATTCTATCCCATTTCTCCTTATCTATGGCGAAGTGGCGCACAAAGTCGTTCTCGAGCTCATGCGCTCTTCGGCCCAGCAGGACAAGACTGTGAAGCGGTGGACCAAATTCGTCGTCTTGGGAGCATAGCTCTTCCAAAGTTCCTGCGATGAACTTTTCGGTCTTTCCGCCGACACGCGCCGCGCCAATTGCGAGCGAATCGCGGGTGTAGACACCCTCTTTGCGCCCCTCCTCTACCTCGATCATCTGTTGGGCGCATTGTCCCACTGTCATGTAGCGAGGAGGCTCAAAGATCATGCGGCCGCGTGCCAAGTTTTCCCAGCTCTGCTCCTTGACCTTGATGTCGACCAAAACGAGCGTGTGCAGACCGATTTGGCGGTTTTCCTTTACTCTGTCGTAGAATGAAGACGGCCTCCAGTTGTCAGTGAAGAACACCATCGACACTGTCTGACCAAAGTTGTATAGCTGAAGACCACAGGCGCCGATGCCAGACAGGATGGATGCGTTCGGAACAGTTCGTACAGGTATATTCAGTTCGCGCGCACGGAGAACGAGGTCGGTATGAGTCGTTGCACTGCTACTGTTAGCACGGGAGCTCATTGGGGGACAATATAGCTTACCCAAAGGGATCTCCAACGACTAGGAATGCGACATCCTCCTCTTGAGCATTGCGCAGAATCTCGTCGCTGTTGGACTCGACCATTTCACGGTCCGCAATGGTAATAGAGCGCTCATAATATTTTTCCTGCTCAAGTCAGAAAGCGTCGTCCATGATGTGGCCGCATGTAGCCGCTAGACGTACCAGAACCGCCTGGTCAACAAGCAGAATGCTAGTATATGCCTCGAGATAGACGCGCGAGGCCTTCTTGACAACCTCTAGCCCCTTGACAGTAATGTCCGTCTCGTCAGACAGCCCAAGGCCAACCAGGTACAGCATCTTCGCGCGCGATCAATTCCAACAATTTTTTTGTTGATGTCTAAATGCCCCGCCGCGGGGCAGACAAGTTGAAGAAACTTGGGAAGCGCGCTAGCGCCGACGGATGTTCGTTTTACTGGGTCGTGCGAAACTGGAGCCTTGACTTGTCCGGATTGTCCACCTGCATATCCATTGCGACAACCTCGACAAGACTCTAATCAGCGACATGTCGAATCCTAAGAATGGCAGCGCCTATGGCGCACCGGCTGGCGACACCGATTTCCGAAAGACGTGGGATCTCGATGAGTACGCGGAAAAGGCCAAGCAGCGCGAGGCCAAGGAAAAGGAAGAGGCCAAGGCAAGGTACGAGGCCAAGCTGGCCGGCAAGAAGTACTACAAACCCATGACGGGCGATGAGACATACACTTCTGCGCGCCGAAATGTCATGGACTTTACCGGTCAGGTGGGCAAGACGCAGCTGGTCGGTGCCGGCGCGGGTGTCGGGAAACGCGGTCGTGGCGCAGGATTCTACTGCGAGGCTTGCGATTTGACATTCAAGGACAATCTTCAGGTGCGCCTTTGTCTCCTCTCATATCTGCCACTGATGCTAATGACGGTCGACAGTTTGTTGAGCATCTCAACACCACACAACATCTGTTGAATTCCGGCCAGACGACCGAAGTCAAACGCGCCACAGTGGAGGAGGTGCGAGACCGAATTACGTTTTATGCAAAGAGACGGGAAGAGCTGGAGCGAGAAAAGGTCACAAGCCTTCAAGAGCGACTCCGAATACGGGAAGAGGAGAACGAAAAGGAGGCAGAAGAGAGGAGGAAGAAGCGCCGCGACGAAGCAGAGAAGAAGAGACTGGAAAAGGAAGAGGCAGCCAAGGTGAAGGTTGAATACGGGGAGGATGTACGAATAGAAGGCGAACATGACGAGGACGATATGATGGCGCAGATGGGGTTTACTGGGTTTGGCACATCGAAGAAATGAAAGCTGGGGATGCATTTTGGCGCAATGTTTTGCATATACTACGATACCCCGATACTGTTCTTGAGTATCGACAGGAGCATACAGCAGCTGTATTTTTGGCTCGATATTTTGTACGCAGTTCTACTCCGGTGAAACACGAAATTTATCATTGCACCCGGTTCAAGTCGTTTGCAGCCACGCTGTATGGTCAGTGGCAAGAGGGCTTCCTAGTATTGAGTACAACAATAACGATGACTGAGCCTCGGAGCTCGAAGCAGGCACAAAGAATCCGAGCTACAGTTTAAGCTTTCAGCGTTTGTACCATTCGCCACAAGGTGCAACTACCTACGACCTGGAGAGGTCGGTAGCTATGTACAGTACATACGTTGGGAGACCGAAGACGCCGGCGATTCCCCACCAACCTCAACTGTGCCCCGCGCCAGAGACCTTCTAAAGAAAAAAGCAATTCTACGCAGTACTGCACACCTTGATCCCAAGCTGCGAGCGGACGACGACAGGGAACTCGCATACGCATCCGAACGCATTACATTACCTGCCAAAAAAGAATTCATACCTGCACAGAATATCGCACGGCATGGCGGGACCGTCTTCCGCCGCCGCGTCCCTGCTCCGGCGCCAGCTGAAGGAGATGCAGACCGGCAAGGACATCCCCGGGATATCGTGTGGCCTCGTCAACGACAACAACATGTTTGAGTGGGAGGTCATGCTCATGATCAGCGACGACTGTCAATACTACGGAGGTGCGTCGTCCTATAGAGGCAGGCTATCTCTCTCTCGCCGTCGCTCCTACCCCCGCCTTAGGAGGCAACTTTCGCGCGCGCCTCGTCTTCCCGCCCAACTACCCGCACATGCCGCCGTCCCTGACCTTCCAGGACCCGATCCCCTTCCACCCCAACATCTACGCCGACGGCAAGCTGTGCATCTCCATCCTGCACCCGCCCGAGGAGGACCAGTACGGGTACGAGGCCGCGTCGGAGCGCTGGAGCCCCGTCCAGTCCCCCGAGACGATCCTGCTCAGCACCATCAGCCTCTTCCACGGGCCCAACGACGAGAGCCCGGCCAACGTCGAGGCCGCGCGCCTGCTGCGCGAGGAGAAGGAGGGCAAGCACAAGGACTTTCGCCGACGGTGCCGCAGGTGCGTGCGGGACAGCCTGGGCGAGGACTGATAAAGGCAGCCGGCGGCGCGTGAAACTCTGACGGGGCCGCGGGAGGGCAGAGGATGACGACACGGGCTCTTGGACTTTTTGGACTGGATCAAAGACAGGCCTGGCGTTTTACTGTGTTGGGGTTTGTTTTTATAGAGATGGGTGCCGCTAGCTTGGCAAGTCTATAAGCGTGCCTGCTTACTTCTTTTGCATAATGGCAATTACGGCCAGAGCGGGTAGAGCGAGTAACTACTTAATTTGAATTCATTTATTAACTATGGTTTCTACATGTGTTCTACTCCTCCTTACCGAGACCAACAACGGGAGCAACAACGCGGTCCCATTCTTCGTCCCAGCGTAGGGCGCCCTCCCTGATGGCTCCCTTTTTTAGGTTGGCAAGTTCCTTGGCACCATCACTGGCTAGCAGGCGGTTGAAGAGCACGACGAGCTCTGGCGCAGTCTCGAAGCCGCAGCCGTTGACGCCCTCCTTGACGAGCTCACCAAAGCTCTCAAACTTGGAGTAGGCCGCCACGGGTAGGCCGGCGCCAAACATGTCGACGACCTTCATGGGCAAGTCGACGCCGGACGAGGACTTGTGCAGGGAGATGCCGAGATCTGCCGCAGCCAGAAGCTGCGCGTAGTCACGGTTGGACAGCCATGCAGAGACGACCTTGATTCCGGGGAGCTGCCCGCCGTCTGTAAGCTCCTTGATCTTGTCGAGGTATATTTTTCTTTGGGGGCCCTTGCCCGTGATGATGGCCAGGATGGGCGAGGCGGGCTCGCTCTCATCGTCCACCTCGCGGGGCCCGGCGTAGGCGACGAGGGCGCTGAGGAGGATGCCAAAGTCCTCGTCGGCCGTCCACGAGGTGCTACTGACGATCAGACGGACGTTCCCGTCGAGGATATCCTGGGCCTGGTCCTGGGTCTCGGGGATGCGCAGGAGGACCTCCTCGCGCTCCTTGCGCGAGGTGATGGGCTGGAAGATGGCGGCCGGGCGGTCGTGCAGCGTGCGGACGGGCTTGCCGAGTCCGAACTTGCCCGCGGCATCCAGCTGCCTGGCCATGGCGTCGGTGACGGCGAGGTTGACGTTGCAGAGACGGCGGCCAAAGAAGAACTCATACCAGCGGTAGAGAGGGACGAGGGGTGAGTAGAGCTTGCCTTTCTGGGCGAGGATGGTGTGGCCGTAGTTGTGCCAGTCGATGATAACTTTGCTTCCGCGCAACCAGGCGACGAATAGCGCCACGTGGAAGGTCGGGATCGAAGGAGGGTTCTGGTCTGGTTAGAGGAAGGTATGTAAGACTAGGAACAGAACTTGGCCACCGTACCTGGATGATGATCCATTCAGCAGCGGGTGCCGTGTACATCATTGTGGAGAAGAGAGTCCAGAATTGATGGATGACCTTGCCAGGAAGCTGGATAATGAAGCTCAAGTTACCCCAAGCGAGCCATTCGGGCAGAGGATCAAGAGGATAGAGCGTAGCATTGGGGTTGCCGATGAGCTCAGGATGGCGGGCCGTTTCTATGAATCAGTCAATTAGCCGTCCTTGGTTGACAAATCGGAGTGGAAATGCAGCGAACCTTTGAAGGCGATAATGTCGACCTTCTTCCCGTGCTTGGCAACACTGATGGCATGGTACTGCATGCGTGGGCTGCGTCCAATGTCGCCGAGGACGATGATCTGGACGTGGTTGTCCTTGGGGTCCGGGGCGGGCCGGTACTTTGCGGGCCAGGCGCTGCGCAAGCCGCGGCCGACGTAGAGGAGGAAGCGGTAGCCGTAGTTGACGAGGAACACGAAGAGGCCGCCCGCGATGACGGACAAGATGAAGGGGATGATCATGGCGGGCGGGCGGTTGGGTTGTTGGGCCCGCAGGCGGTTGTTCCTCTTCGTCGAGGGTGAGGCGATGTGGCAGTTGGGCGTTTGGTGTTTGGTAATATAATAAAGTGAATTGGCGTGGTGTTTTGGTGGAGAGCTTGGCCAGCCGCTGAAAGGCGCTGAAACAAGCGTGGTCGGTGGCTGTTGATCGCTAAAGATCCCTGGGGCCAATTCCGCCTTGCCCTGCTTCGCCTGCAACCGGAATTGTTCCTCACAACAATGAAGAGAGCAATTGGAATTGCTGCAAAACTGCCAAGCGATGACCTTTTTATGTATTAATACTGCCCTCTTTTACAGCCCTTCTTTTCCCGTCCACGCGACTCTCTGCACCACCGACAAAGGGGCACGCCACTGCGCGTCGAAGGGCTTGTCGCCTGCCACTTTGGGGTAAGCCGAGAGACTCTATTTTGACGCCTGCTGGGGTTTGGCGCCTCGCGCCCTGAGATTGAGGTGAATAGGCTGGCCGGACGAGCTTCTGTGAGGGGCGGCCCGTTGGACCTTTTGCAATTGGGCAACGAACGAGGCGCCTTGGCCGTGGCAGCACCGGCGCGACACGCCAGCCAGATCCAAGCATGGGCCTCGCGAGCTGGTATTTTGGTGGACAAGTAAGTTGGTGAGAGAGGATTGGCGACGATTGGGGACCTGGGAAATGTGGAAGACAGCTTGTCCAAGCCGCAGTTGATGTTGGGGATCAGGTTAGGCGTGCTAGTTGGCTAACTATCATCAGTATAGATTGAGAACAGCAATGCGGACTTAAACCCAATGCAACCAGAGCCCGTTACCATGCTCCGTCCTTGTTGCAATTTTGTTTGTTTACACACTTGTGCTTTTGGTTTAGGTGGTGAGTTGATGAAAGCACAGATGAAGGGAAACAAAACAGATCAAGGAACCATCGGGGTTCTTGGGCTAACTCTAAACTGCTCAGCATGTCTCGGACAAGTACTGTACGTATCATGATCTGTTAGTTCCTCGCGGACAATGAATAGCTACTGGTTGCTGTAACTGCACAGCCTAGCAGTATGGGGTTCCTGACTAGCACCAAGACAGACTCTGGCGGACAGATTGGCCCTGGCAGGGATCTCATATCTGACATACGAAGACCGAATGGGGTTCTCAGTGGTCCATTGAATAACGTCGACAAGGTATTTCTTTACTGGTACCTCCCCAGTGACCTCGCGTGTCCTTTGGCCTGTTGTGCATGGCCTGTTGTGCATGGCCTGCATTGTTCGGTGCGGCGCAAGTTGCAGTCTGGGAAAAAGTTTAAATTTTCCTAATTGCACATTGTCCTGCTTCAGCTCTACTGCGCTGATAACTGAGCGCCAAGGCCGAAAACAATAAAGTTTTACCTAGCTAGGTAGGTAGATATGTAGGTGTCGTATTGGAGGCAGCCAGCCGGCCTTCTGTAGAGTCGCAGCGCCGTCCAAGGCTGTATCACTGCATCTCTCTTTTACTTGTTAGAATTCAATTTGTATTTCCCCTTCTGTTATTAGAACCAAGTCTCTCTTGAAACTGCTACTGACTCACTTGGACGGCTATTGAATCTGATCGTCTTGGGTTCTCAGGACGACGACTGGCCTTCCCCACGTGCGCCGCCGCCCGCCCCTCCTCCTCCTCCCGCACTGGGTTGCATTCAACCTACTGCCAACCTAGCAACTAGCAGTTAACCTTGCCCCCTATTTCTTGTGCGCTGCTCGTCGTCTCCCAGAGCAGATCTCGTGTCACTTTCCTTCTCTGCCTCTTCCGAAAACACGGCATCTCGCTCCGGACCGCACGCGTCAAACGCATCACAGCACCCCCTTCTCATTCCGACACTTTATGCGGATTGGCACCGACAAACAGCGCTGAATTCGTCGGCGGAACCGCCAACGAAAGCGACCGACCCGCTTTTGGTCGCGACAACCAGGACAGCGGTGCCTCTGCTGCTTTTGCCTTTTCGACTCGGTCCAGCACTATGGCTACTCCTTACACACTTCCCTCGTCCGCCTTACCTCATGCTCACCAGAAACACATGCATTCAAACGCTCAATCGCAGTCGGCGTCGCTGAGTGCCGCCTGGAGGGCCGGCTCGACCGACAGCCTGGTCCCCTCCATCGACGAGCACCAGCACGATGGCCCCGACGACTACTCTCATCTGCGCAAGCCGTCGCATTCGCACTCAAAACTGCACTCGCACTCTCACTCGCACTCTCATTCTCATTCTCATTCCCACGCTCAAAATGACCGCACCGGATCATTCGCCTCCCATCGTAACTCAAGTCTCGCCAAAGATCGCCCGCGGCCCGCTTCCCTCGCCGTCATCGACGGCTGGACACACGAAAAGACGACGAGCGGCAAGAGCATCATAGCCCACGACGGCGAGCTGACGTCCGCCACGCCCTACTCACCTCCCCGAGAAATGCACAACACCTTGCAAAGCCTACCATACGACGCCAATGCTGAGCGCTCCATGTTCACCGCGGCTCTGCTCCCATATACCGCCAAGTTTCCCATAATTCATGCCATCATGACGGAAAAGGACTCGAGGAGAATATTCTATTTCATGATGTGTGTTCCAAAACATCATTGACCTGCCTCGATGCACTAGCTAACCGCCCACAGACTCAATTTCAGTTTCATGACCGTCCAAGCCTTTTATGGCTATGTTACCGACTCACTAGGCCTCCTGAGCGATAGTATCCATATGTTTTTCGACTGCGTTGCCCTACTAGTTGGCCTCTTGGCCGCAGTCATGAGCAAGTGGCCCCCAAGCCAAAGATTTCCTTACGGGTTTGGCAAGATCGAAACGCTCAGTGGCTTTGCCAACGGCATCCTACTGATGTAAGTTCTGCACTTTGGTAACTGCGTGTGCGGGTGGTGACGTGATGCTAACAACCTCAGGCTTTTGAGTTTGGAAATTGCCTTCGAGGCCTTTGAGCGACTTTGGGAGGGCACCAAGACGAAACGACTGGGCGAGCTTTTTATTGTTAGCTCTCTGGGCTTGGCCATCAACCTCGTTGGCATGATGGCTTTCGGCCACCACCACCACCATGGCCATGGCCACAGCCACTCTCATTCCCATTCACATGCACAGGACCACGGACATGGCCAGAGCCACGGCCACGATCACAGTCATTCACACTCACACGACATGTCTGAGGCCAAGCCCAGCGGAGGATGCGGCTCCCACGAGAATGAAAATATGCACGGAATTTATCTACACATTCTGGCCGATACCCTGGGTAGTGTTTCTGTCATTGTTTCCACAGTGCTGACCAGCTTCTGGGGATGGGCCGGCTGGGACCCTCTTGCTTCATGCTTTATCGCCGTGCTCATCTTCCTCTCTTCGCAACCGCTCGTAATTTCGTCGGCGAAACGTCTGTTACTCAGCAATCCGGAGGATACGGAATATAACCTACGCAATTTCCTCGGCGGCATCCTCCAGCAACGCGGTGTCGTGGGCTACTCGGCGCCCAAATTTTGGAAAGACGATAGATCATGGGGCGACGAGGGTGACAAGCTCGTCGGCGTCGTCCACGTCACCATTGGGTTCGGCTACGCTTTCGATGATGTTCGCGACCGCGTGCGCCAGTACCTGCTCAAGGAAGGCATCGACGCTGTCGTGCAGGTTGAGCGTGAGGGAGACAACTCATGCTGGTGCTCGCGCGAGCGCGCGTTAACGCAACCTCACACGCCCAAGTCGTATTAGAGGACGCCTATGACGTGTATGCACGCCGTCGGCATCCAGCCGTGGGCGAGTGTTGTTTGGACGGTAGCACCGCAATTGGAGACGGGCATTTTGGACGGTCACTTTTTGGGTGGCCTTGTTTTGGATTCGGACCGGCTGGTCTGACCTGAGAGTCTACAGCAAAGTAAAGCATAGAATGTTGGATATCGTCATCTGCGCGGCGTAACGGCGGTTCTGTATTATAGCGTGGCAAAAGCCACAGAGGGCTGGCTTGAAGCTTGGATCATCCTCTTGTTACATATTCAAAATCACAAAACACGAGTGTGACAACGCGTTAGCTGCTTCTGAGCGGCTACTGTTAGAGTGTAGGACATGCAGCAGTGAATGCGTGCTTTGGTACTAAAGCCTGCAGATGGCGCCATTCTTTCGCGTTGACGCGCAGGCCTGTGTTCGATAATACGCGTCGTTTGTCGTAGGTAAGCCAGTTCCTTTGGTAAGATTGCGTCTGAGATCAAGCAAGAACTTCCAGAGGTGGGAAATGAGATAAAACTACCAGTATGGTGCTGAGCCGTATACGGGGGGACGTGGAGTAATTTGAAGATGGGGCATCGTACGAAGGACATTGCAGAGCGGCTGGTCTACATTGCCAGCAAGCTGGCGCTTGATCAGTGACGTGGATGCCACGTGGCTGTGTATGAGGAACTCGAAGACACTCGATCACAGCCCGGTTACTCTCTTGTTCTCTTGGACGGGGTGTGGGGTACACACATATGCTTATTAGAAGGGTGGGATATAGAATGCGAGTCAGCTTGGTCAAGGACGTTACGAGCAGGATTTTCGGGAAGAATACTAGGAGCAGATGGCTTTGCCAGTTCTGACAGAAATTTTTCGCTTTTTTCTGACATTTATGCGTGTAAAAAAGTCAATTGATCCCATCTCTGATAAGGCTAGAAAATAGTCGCGGCAATCCCTAGTAGGGTCGAGATATGGGATGGCGCTAATTTTACGCCACACTTGTGGAAGCTCCTTTTGTATGAAGAAATCAAGCCACGACAAGCCACGCAGGACGGGGGCTCATCATCCATCTGTCATGCAGATGCCCTTTCCACTTCGACTCTTTCAACCAGCCTTGTACTTTCTAGCCCTGCATTTTATCCAGTTCGTATCTGCTAGCAGCATCTTCTTTTCATTCTTGTACTGCATTATACTCGGGCTCTCCCGCGACCACATTTCTCCAACAAGCCGTCACATCCCACCATCACGGAGCAAGCTTGCCTAGGCCCTGGTCACACATACCAAGACATAACTCCAGCCTGACATCCAGGGGCCGCATCCGACATCAACTCTCTTCCTTTCTGCCCGTCGACGAACATAGAACGTGGAAACGACAATATACGATTGCGTATGGCTGAACTATAGACTGCCTAGTGTGCTATCCTGATAGCACCACACACCGCACAAAACGTCCACCCGCCCACCTAGCGACCAGCGCGGATCGAAGCGAGGCGCAAAGCCGTTACCGCCGGACACCATGGCAGGCGACGACAAGGATCAAGTCTTGTCTGCTGGCAGCACACCCGAGAAGCACGACACAAGCGTTGAGGCCGTCGAGGAAACCTCCCCGACGACCGACAGCCGCGACGAGAAGTCCCCGAACGCCAACGCCAACGATGCACCGCCTCCGACCACGACCACCACAGCCGCTGTCCCAGTCCCCGCCGCCGAGATCAAGGCCGTCCTCGCGCCCATCGCGCCCGCCTCGCCTGCCCCGGGTAGTGTCCACAGCGGCAGCAGCGGCGCTGCCTCCGACTTCACGCCCCTGGTCACCGTCGTCGGTTTCCACCACGCACGCGGGCCCGAGGTCGAGTCCTGGTTTGGCGCCGACGAGGCCGCGCCCGACCCGGCCGCCGACTACAACTGGCACCTGCTGCCCTTCATGGCCCTCAGTGACGGCGCCCACGCCTCCGAGGAGGACTTCTCCTACTTCACCCTCCTGCGGCCCGCAACCCCCACCAAGCCCGCCTGCTCGCTGTTCGGCCTCTCCTGCACCCGCCAGCTCGACTCGGCTGCCCTCCTTAACCGATCCGCCGACGTGACGCGCTCCACGGTCCAGAAGGCCGTCGTCGTCATCGCCGATAGCCCCCACTTCTTCGGCGTCCTCCGCGAGCGCCTCGGCATGGTCACCCACGCCTGGTTCGCCCAGCGCGACTTCACCGACGTTGAGATTCTCCGCCGCTTCCAGGAGAGCCTCGCCGACGAAAAGGCCCGCGGCGACCTGACCGACACGGGCAGCAGGGACCAGTACCTCGGCATGAGTCTGCGAGAGCTGATTCACGAATACAAGTGGCAAACCCTGGTCCTCCTCAAGTGCTGTCTGTTGCAACCAAAGGTACGAGAAACATTAGCATATTGCTCTTGTCATGTATTGATGTTAATCAAATCTGTATGTAGATGCTCTTCTTCGGCTCGCGATGTGACAAGCTCTGCATGATTCAGTTTGCCCTCATCTCGCTCATACCTGGCCTGATACGGAACCTACAAGACTGCGCCGACCCGGAGCTCAACGCTTACGAGGAGAAGCTGGCTCCTTCTACTAGCCTGCAGAGCAGCAACCGCTCCTCACTGCTGCAATTCATGGGCCTGCCGCTGCAAATATTTGGCAAGGGCGCCATATTTGGACCATACACCCCTCTACAGCAGCTTGACATGCTTGCCGACGTCGGCACCAAATCATATCTCGTAGGAAGCACAAACTCTCTGCTTTTGCAGCAAAGGGACAGATACAGCGACATTCTCATCAACCTTGACGAGGGCACCGTCAATATCACATCACCCTCTCTTAAGGCTGCGTTGGCCTTGACAGCAGCCGACCGCAGATGGATCGACTCGCTGACGCACCAGATTAATGAAACGTGGGATGAGACCAACCCCAGCCGTCCCAAGACCCTCCAGTATGCCGGCAGCGAAGAGTACATTCGTTCGCAATTCGAGTCATATATCCTCGGCCTCATCTCCTCCGTCAAGTTTCATAACTTCCTAGCTCAGCAAGGAGACGTGACCAAAGGCTCCTTCACTAGCGAGGAGGACCCCGCCGTCGATTTTGGCCTTGAATGGATCGCCGCCTGGCAAAGGACCGAAAATTACCGTATCTGGGAAGCTCACACCGACGCCAACCTCTTTGCTGTCTCGGAGCCTAAGCACCCCTGCGCCGGCGGCTTGACCATTGACGATGTTCAGCGCCGCATCGCCGACCAGGTCAAGGACTTGCACCTAGACGAGCGTCTCGCCCAGGGACGCGAGATGCTCGGCCGCAACCTGGCTGCCGGCCGCGAAAAGGCCTCATCCATGTTCAGCAAGCTCTACAGCGATATGGAGTACTTGCGCGAATCTCAGCGCCGCAGGGCCGACGAGGCCGCCGCCGCCGTGGCGTCAAGCGACAAGTACGCCAGTGGCACCGGCAACGCACCGTCCGTGGCGTCGCCGACGTTCGCCGTCGACATGACCAAGGCTCAGGCCACTATGCAGTCCGTCGGCACAAAGGCCGGCGCGTACATGTCGAGCTGGGCCTCATGGGCCGGCGAGAAGCGCAAGAACAACTCCTGGGCCGCCAACTGGCGCAACAGCAAGAGCGGCCAGCCAAAGAACAACGGTGGCGGCCCCTCCACGCCCACGAGCCCCATCGACAAGGACTACCAGATGATCAGCGCCCCCGGCTCCAGAGCCCCTTCGACGGACGACAGCCGTCGCGCCAGCGCTACCACGCGCCCGCTCACCCAACAGAGCTTTAGCGAGAGCATCCTCTCCCGCGCGAGCAGCTCCTTTGACAGGCCCCTGACCGGCGAATCTGTCGTCGACCGCGACGACCGCGACACCCTCGGCGTCACCACCATCTCGTCCACCGCGTCCGAGGACACTGCCTCGTCGGTGGACCCCGCCGTGGATAAGAAGATCGGGGCGGGCGCTGGCGGTGGCAAGCAGGACGGCTTCCAGACAGAAGAGCTCGTCGGTAGCAACGGAACGAGCAAGAAGAGCGCGTCGCAGGAATCGACAAAGACGCCACCCACGCCTGTGGCGCTGACGCCGCCGGCGACGGGTGCAGATGGGCCCGATAACGCAAAGACAGCAGCGGCCGGGGCTGATGAGACAAAGTAGAGGAGAGCAAAGCCGGACCTCGAAGATGAAGGGGGGGGGGGCAACTATACAGGATACGAAGGACATGAATGAATCAGGAAGTAGTGCAAGGATGAATATACACACAACAGCAAAGACATAACCAATAGCGTTTCAATTTTCTTTCGGTTGCCGACTGGTCTCTGTTTCTGGTGACCCCGCCTCCTCTAGAAAGAGATGTATGGATTGTGATTCTTATTTTCTTGTATCTCATGTTCTTTTTTCCCTCCCGCCGCTTTGTAACTGCTTTTCTTTCACAATGCCTAGCCTAACTCTTCCCGTGAACCCCAAGCCCGTTTATTTTCATGTCATGCCCAGAGATGAAGAAAAGAAAACACGAAGAAGAAGCGAAACTAAGTAAGACAACCCCAAATTCACAAAGGAGTAAGAACAAAAGGCAAAGAAAAAGGGTGACCAAAAATGAACAATAGGAAAGGTGTGATTTGCATTTCTTTCTCTCCTCTTGAACCAATCGACTGTAGAGTTGGTCCAGTATGCAGGTTGCCCAGCCCCATGATAAGACAAAAAGAACATCAACTATGCAAGATAACCAAGTTCATCACCCTCTAGACGCTCTAGATACTCCTTGTCCAGCAGAATCTCTATGCACTTCTTGATGTCTGCAACCTTCGGGACAAAGCGTGTGCGGATCTGGTTAATGGTCTCGCCGACCAGCTGCGAGTGCTTCATCTTCTTCCGCGCCTTCATGATTCGGACAATCGCAGACTACAACTGTTAGTAAACGTGGGCCAGTCAAGAAAGATCAATCCTTCCTACCTGTAATAGAAGCTTTCTGTCTTCCTCAATGGTCTTGTTGGTCTCAGCCTCCTCCTGCTTGGCCTCCTTCACGCCTCCTAAATTAAGATTCACACGGATCTTTTTGCTCTTGAAGTCGTAGTTCAGTTTGAATGTTTTGCCAGGCCCGGGCTTTTCGCCATCGGCAACAATAAGCACCTTGGCTTTGAGGATGACGGCAAGTGCTTGGTCAAGAACCTCAGCGCTCAGTGCGGTTGCGCTAAGAATATCTTCGTAGGCGTAGGCATCGTTTTCGTTGAAGAGAAGCAGAATAGCCATTTGATAGACAGAGACCTGGAAGGTAAATGGTGTTTTACTGCTCTTGCAGTATCCCGTCCTGATCTCACCCTTGCATAGGTGCCATAACCAGGTAAGCTTCCGACCATCGTGCTTGTGCTTGTAGAACCGAGTGAACTTTTCGATTTCACTACTGATTTCCGTAGGAGGCTGGAAATTTGTGCTCGGCGCTTGCAGCGGCCAGAAGCCAGTACCCAAGATGGAAAATGACGAATCCATTGTCTTTTGGCTGTCGATCCCGTCCAGATGCTCACGGAACTCTTTGTTAAGATCCTTGGAAATTTGCATATCCTGAAACATGCGTTGCAGCTTATTGGTATACTCGAACCCGCAGGCCTCCTTGAGCTTGCTGATCATGCTGGTCTCGGCATCATCCGAAGACGAGTTGGCATGAACTAGACGTCTTGCCAACATGCGAGAGTAAAACTTTTGAAAGACATCTTTGTCTTCGATGTATTTGAAAACTGTCATAATCTGCGTCAGAGTCCGCTCAAGCTCAGCTTCTTCGATGCTGGTGCTGCTCTTGCGCAGCAGCACGTCAGTATACTTTGCAAGAAGCTCCGGAGACTTATTAGATCCCGACTTGCACACTTCGTTTCGGTTAACGAATTCGCGGCAAGCGTTGTCAAGAGCCCGAGTGAATTCCGGTTCGTCTTTGAACGCGTTCTTGACCAGTGACTGATACTTAGTGTGAATTTCTAGTAGCGCGTCGACGTACACCTTGGGTTCCAGTTTATCGCCGTCGGCCGATTGAATCTTTTGCACGGCAGCCAACCCAGCTCTTCGCACATGGTTCTCGAACTTGATTCGTAGGGGGTCGAGACCGTTGGGGATGCGGGCTAGCAAGTTGTACATGCGAGCCATATCTTCCTCGCGGTCGTTGTCCTGCAGAACCTGGAATTCATCGCGCAAAAGGTTGGCATGATCGGCAATCAAAGCTTGATTGCAAGCCTTCTTGAGAGGAATGGCGATATCCTGGTGCAGGTACATGTTGACACGCTCCTCTTCCTCGAGCAGGCGAGCCTCGGCCTTCTTCATGTACTCGATAATGCTATTCTCAGCAACAAATTGTTTTGATTCGGCTTGGTAAAACTCCTTGGTAGCGTCGAGGAAAGGCTTTTCGAAGTGAAATCTGTACACGTCGAGAGTGGATTTCGCAGGATCGGCTTCGTCAAGCCCCAAGGACACATAGGAATCGACAACTTGTTTGATCTGACCATACTCAATCGTCTCCCCATTTCGTTGTTTTTCGACAAGCTTGAGAACAGCATCCATCACCTTGGTAGAAACCTTAGTAAACAGCACGGTTCGCCATGTGACGAGATGCAGCGTGTAAACGTCGTATATGTTTTTCTTTCCCTCATCGACCTCGCGTTTAACCCAATGACGATTGAGATAACGAAACAGATGATGGATGTACTTGCCAGCAATAGTGTACCGGCCCCATTCTCTAATGTAATAGGCGAGGAGTGCCTCTTCGGTGTGTAATTTCGACTCTTCGTACAGCCCGTCCAGGTGTGTCGTGAGGTAGCCGATGAGCTTGTTGTACAGCTCTTCGCCGAGCAGATGAGCTGGGACGGATATTAGCATGAGTGTCGACGGCACGGGATGGAGGACGTAACGAACCGCCTCTATGCGAAGACTGCATAGCCGGACCGGATATGCCGACCGCTTTCTGCGAGGTACAAAAGTTGTGAACGGCCCTGAGCCAGTTAGCAGGGACAATAAGAATTTGTAAACTTCAGACACCCACGTATAAACGCCCATATACAACTGCATATCAATACCCTGCTCTAGATCGTTCATCACGCGGTTTATACCGAGCACGAGGTAACGCCACCTAAGACGAGTTAGCAACAGAAAGGCGCAGGACGGCAGTGAACGGCGACATACGTAGCCCCTATATCTTCCCTGTTAGGAATCGCGGGCATCGAGCTCGGCGTCGCAGTTCTGGCCGCCATGATGGACAACGGTGATGGGCGACTGCGTTGGCTGTTGGCGGGGCGTTGTCGGGTGGTGAGAGATGCTCGCAGCTGGTGACTGTCGGTGCGCGTGGTTGAGAGACTGAGGGAGCTCGCGCAGCTCGGTCAAAAAAGCTTGAAGCAGGAAGAAAGTGGCTCGTGATGCTGTAGTGACCTGGTGCTGCTTGCACCGAGGGCGGTTGTGCCAACACGATGAAAGGGTAGCGGCGGGGAGGTGGCGCAAACGCGACGACAGGCTGGGCTGGGCAAGAGACCGGCTTGCACTTGGTTGATGAGCGTGAGAAGGGCAGGTAAGAATTTTATTGGGGATATTCAATGGTAAGAGTCGGCAGGAGACTGCCCCGTCCGTGAGCGTGCCTTTGAAGACACAAAACGGAGGACAAGGAACAAAGCGATGGTGATGGCGGGTCAGATGGGCAAGAAGAGTCGAAGGTGACGAGATGGCAGTTGATAGGTGGTGCTAAGGATTATTACCTTTAGGCAGTCAGCCTAGCTTGGTGCGGGTTCAGGCAGGCAGCCACAGGCGCTTGGAGCAGTGACTCTAGCGGCTCCATTGACTGCCGCTACCTCCCGTCCTACTCCCTACCTTGGAGCCTGCTATTTGCCTGTATGAAGCTGGCTATTTTGCCTCTTTTCACCGCCCATTCCAGCCTTGGAGCTCATGTCTACCTCGTAGAGTAGCGAGTAGCTGGAGAATCATGACATGATCATTTGTCGTTTCCGCTCTACCGCTGATATCTACACCTAAACAATTCAACTGGGCACCTGATATAATCCCGTAGCAAACCCGCCACCGATTGTGGTTTTTAAAGCAATCAATCCCGCTTAATCCAATAACGCCATAACCACACCCCTATCCATGTATTATACGTGGCTGTCGTCCTCGCGGCCACCCAGCTTCTCTATCACTCGAAAAACGTTGACCGACAGGTTCATGGTCCATGCAAGCAAACCAATCACCATAAGTGCTGCTAGTCCATTAGCTAGCCGTCGTATCGGATCTATACTGAGGTCGTGGTATAGAAGTGCTTCAAACGCGAGCGCCGTGCTGGCCGATTTGAAGATGATGAAAAAGAGGTCGAGCAAAATGAGAGACATTTTATCCACGGCTGGTCGCAGACCTAGAGGCTTGCCCGTGTATTCGTCCCATATCATATAGGTCGAGTATGGGATTGCCACTGTGTCGACCGCAACGGCGAAGATGGACTGAGTGCTCTCCGCACCATTGCGGCCTCCCACGACTTCTAGCCTGTATATGCGGGCAGCAATCCCTAAGGCAATAATCGATGTAATGATGACAATAAGTCGGAAAATTAGAGGAGAAAGCGAATGGTTGAGCGCCATCCTCCACAATCGCTTCCAGACGCCGAGGGCTCGTCCACGCCGCGTTTGTCGCGGCCGGCTCATGTCCAAATCTAAAGCAGGCTTACGGTTGAAGTTTGGGTATAAATCATCCAAGTATTCTGGTGCCACCACTTGAGATACCTCGTTTCGTGGCCGACCCCAAGTAGATGATTTTATAAAGTCCTGCCATGTCGGCTGAGGGTGCCAGGGAGATAGGTTGTGCCCAGCAACAATGACGGGCTCTGCAGTCCGCAGGTGATCCCATTTGCGCCCTCCCATCGAAGCTCTGCCATGGCGCAAAAAGTGTGGTATACGCGCCCGGGCTTTTCGTGGCGGGCCAAGTGTGACGTCTTCGATGTCTACGTATCCATCGCGGGATACGCGCCGCCGCGGTTCCTGTGGCACGGAATTGGGTTGTGGCGCAACGGCGCGAGGGGGGGCACTCGGTTCGTGAGGATTGTTGTAGTTCTCCTGGTAGGAATCGATCCATGCTACGAAGAGTCAGCTCGATGTCAAAATGACCTGTTGGTGGTGTTTGGCAACTAGGGCTGGCGGGGGACTTACGTGGAAGTGATCTTGGCGGCCGTAACCTCAGCGGCGTCTGAAAAGACGCTTTAGATGCCGAATTGGGAGGAGCCGATCCTCTAGAAGTGCCCTTGGGCACGTCCGATCGTATAGGAGAGTTTGAAGACATTGCGTTGCTTGGGCTCACACAGCGTCGGAGTGAACGGGAGCGCTGCTAGGAGCGCGAGCATTTATGCGCAAGGAGGAAACGGCGAAAAGGCAACCATGGTCTTGAATAGACTATAATGGGATGGGTAGTATTTGGGGAGAAAATCAGACTCGGGGCGATGGCTGCGAATAGCTCTGCCCACGTTGGGGGTCAGGCGCTCATGGAAACGCAGGAGTGAGTCTGGTCGTCTTTGCGCGTGGTGTTGAGATGGAAGGCACTCGGCGATTTCTAGCTGAGAAGGAGTTTAGTAGGAGCTACTGGTAAGTACCTTAGGTAGTTTTAGGCCTACACAAACCTTGGGAGGCACTAATCTGCTACATACATAGCTTGTACAGGACCTATGTATGTACATAGGTACTAAGGTGCGTAACCTACGTTAGTACCTGGTAAGTATGAGGAGGTCTCCCATGTTCTGGCCGGTCAGTAAACTTACTGCAAAGAAAACTTGTAAAAGAAATGATAAATGTTTCGCTAGTTTAATCTATTACCCGTCGCTTATTTATTACCATCTTCTATATTCTTAATAAAATATCCATTATTAAGCCAATAAAATGGTGCATTGATTGTCGTGTCTCCATCGATCCAGCGCTGCTTCGAAGACGCGGTGTTGATTTCGGCAGCTTCTGTTATCGGGATATGTTATTAGGCCATCCCTTGTCTATTGTTTTTTGGTAGCACCGTTTGGTATCTCAAAAGTCATGTTATAGTTTACATGTGGAAAGAACACATGGGGTTCTTTCCAAGTGGCTCCTCAGTTATGCAGGCACTTTCTGCTCAGAAGGATTTCACAATAAATCCTCCCCTTATTCTTTTCATTTAGATATATTTAATTTGACCCTTGTCTTCATCGTTCCACTTGGCTTTTTTCCCCCTGATCACATACATGCTGTACATACAGTACCTCTGGCAGCTCGACGGCCAGCCACTGTAACTGCATTGGTGACGGACCATGCAGCTCCACAGGTTTCTCTGGCGCGTGTCGCGTTTGCCCAGGTATCCAGGATACCCAGGTAGCTCCTGCATCTACAGCGTCCGCCACTACCAAGCTTCGTCCGTGTCCTCGGAACGCCCATCTTCTCAATGCACCAGCTTTGCTACATATAAAGTGCTTGCTGGGCTCATCTCCAATCCCTTCCCGACACAAAGCATTCGCATTCGACATGCCACCGCCATCCGCAACAGAGCGGAACCGAATGAAGGCGTTTGTAGAACAAACTGGCAACCATCGACAAGGCTCGCCTCAGAAGAATCGGCGCGGCGACCAAAGCCCGGATACGGCATTTACCGAAAACCTCGAGAGTCTCAACATAATACAGGCTAGCAGCCAATATGCCAAGGCCCAAGACAACGCGTTATACGAGAATACACGACCAGCTTCAGCCCAGAGTGGCGATGGCCGTCCTGCGCATTTTGGTCACCTCTTCACCGGGTCCGAACTGTCGGAGGGATTTATGAGGTCTGGTCGCTCTACGCCGACGAGTCAATCCAATAGAAGGGTACCAGTCAAGCATGTGTCAAAGGCACCACCATACAGACAGGAATCGAAAAAACCATCGCGAATTACCCACGGTGGAGCCTGCAGCGTACCGACAGTCGCAGTTGGAAATAATTTCCGCTTGATTATGACAGAATCGCATCAAAACAACGTTGCCGACATGAAGGATGGATTTTCGGCGGCTGGGATAACCCATAACACGAGATACCCCCAAAGCCCCGTGCGAAACAGCAATCGATACCACAACCGTCACGATAACCCCCCTATGGTTCAAACAAATCCTTCTCGTAAGCGCGAATCATTGATGCCAGCACCTCAAGTAGAGGAAGAGGCCCGGGGCCGGACGCAAAGTCGAGCGAGATTTGATGTCCCGTCACCAGGCTTTGCTGATAGTGAGGATGGCGCCCGATCAGTGAACGACAACGATGACCTTCAGATGACACCACGAGGCAAGCATTTGCCGATGCGGAATAGGGTACATTATGCACACTCACCAGCTAAGCAGCCCGGGGACCGAAAGAGGCGTCGCAAGAGCTTGGACTACGACGACCAGGCACTTAACACAATGGAATATAAAGAGCTTCTAGAGCAGCCGTTTGACTTTGACCCCACGACAGCGACGCCATCGGGCAACCCCGGCGGACACAGTGGTGATGACAACCAGAGGCTGGCGCAGATGCGACATATGGGAAGCGCGGAGCAGCGAAAATTCTTTGGGGACATGTCGGTGGAAGAGTGGGAATCAGCGGGAAATTGGTTTTCAGAGCAATTTACCGGCATTATGCGAAGACTGACGGCGGCGCGGCAATCAAAACGGCATATTGTGGATAGCTTTGAGCTCGAGGCTGCTGCACGCGAGGCAGAAGTCAGACAGCGGTCAGATAAGATTGACGAGAAGCTTGAAAAAATGCGCGAGGATGGCATGAAGGTTGTCGGAGGTCGCAGCTGATTGGGGATGCTTGTAAAACAGAACATTGTGCTGGGTGTGTTACGAGCAATGAGCTACGATGTATGATGATATGACAGAGACAGCTATGCTGCCAGATGAGGGGCAATTTGCTAAGCTTGTACATATAAAGGTAATGGAGAAGAGGCTTCTGAAGAGTGCTGTCACGTCTGCACCACGTGCTTGACACATCGATCACGGCCTAATACCATGCGTAGCTGGCAGCCGGGGCGATTGGCAAATATGCCCGATCGAATGCCATCGGTATACAACTCGTATGCGGGATAATAACCATCGACAAATTCAATGACCTGATCCTTCGTCATGCCGGCGTTGGGGTCGCCCAGCGTTTGGCGGAGGTGGTCCTCCTGCTCGGCGCGCCAGGCGTAGACAAACTGGGTGTCCTCGGCGTCGATGTGCACGAAGACGTCTAATAGGTCCGTCAGGGCGTCGTAAGCGCGCAAGTTGCCGTTGACCAGCAGCAGGTGCTCGAGCGCGTGCTGGCGGAGCGTGCGGCTGCCCGGCGCGTCCCGGCGCCGCCCGACCTCTTCGTCCGGCAGGGCGCGGAAGCCGACGGACCAGCCCTCGAGGATCAGCACGTCGACGCGCGGCGGCTGCTCAACGGGCAGCCAGGCGGACTCGGGGCGGCGGTCGCCGCGGCCGTGGAAGGCGGCCTTGTCGTACTGCGGGATGGCGGCCGGCCGGCCGCGGATGAGCTCCGTGAAGACACGGACGGCGAGGGCTACGTCATGAGTGCCTGTGGGGGACGGTTTTCTTACTCAGTCTTGGCGGCAGGGCGACTTGCGTGTGGTGGTTCTTCGTACCTGGCTCGCCGCGGTGCTGGACGAGGGCGTTGTCTGGGTGGCGCGCGGCGAGGGCGGCCTGCTCGTGGCGGGGTAGGTAGAAGTCGTCGATGCTGCAGACGACGGCGCGGACGCGCTCGGCGGCGAGGGCAGCGGTCAGGGCGGCGACGAGGGTGGTCTTGCCGGCGCCCTGGATGCCGTTGAGGCCGACGACGAGCGGGGGTGGAGAGGGCACGGCGGCGGTGGAGGCATGGTCGGGGTCTGGTGGTTGGTGATGGCGGGCCCGGTGCGCGGCGAGGTGCTCGAGGATAAAGGGCACGCAAATTGGGGCCTTGTCATCCACAAAGGGAGGCGGCATTCCGGGCTATCTTGGTTTTGAGCCGCGCGCAGGTGATATCTGGGCGGTTTGAGGTTGACGACTCAACGACATGGTGTGGTGGGGTGATGAGGTAGCGTTTTGGATATAGGCGACTTGGTAGCCGGGCCCGGAATTGTGGGGTAATGCCGATGGAAGGCGATTGGTAGCGACTGGAAACACGACAAACAGGGAGGAAGGAGTTGATGATTTTTGCGGGGGAGAAGTGATGGCTGTTTTCTCTGAATGGATTGGACGGTATCGGAATGACGGGATCTGGGGAAGAAGGGAAAGAGGGAGGAATAACGGGTAATGACGACGGTGTGTCGGGAAAGGAATTAAAATCAAATAACTAAAATATGCATAATATGAGGACGGCGGAATTTCCCAATATGGGCGCAGTTTGCTATTCTCCGGTCAGGTGCATGGCTAGGTAGGCTGGTTGCCGGTCTGTACTGGTAATAAGCGACACATGTAAAAAGCGCTACCTGGCAACCCCAACTCTAGGTAACTTAAGTACGGATTACGGATACAGGCCGTACGGCAACCCCAACGGTATTGTTGCCACAGACTCAGGCTGGAGGATGTGCTGATGATGTAACCTGGGCTCATTGGCCCGGGGTTTTCGTGGGCGGGCGGAGCTTTCGTTGGCTGGGCTGGGGTAAGAGGACAACGGAAGGTCGGATGCTCGCATGGCAGCGGTATTTTTTACTTTATTTCTATTCTCTAAAAGAATGTGTAATAGAAATTTAACCAGTAGATTACATACATCAAAACCCCCTCATGCATCTACGTGCAACCTGTCACGGACGCATGCTCATGGTCGACTCGTAGCATGTGAATACAGCTCCCCCAAAGGCCGCTAGGAACAGCGCCCCCGAACCGGAATGGGCGCCCCACAGCAGTCAGTTCTCCCCTCGGTACCCGCTTCAACCTTGTGAACCGAGGCTTTCGCTGGCTCTCTGGCTCTCTCTCTGTCTCGCTGGGTTTCGCTGGCTGGCAATGTCGCACGCCAAAAAGCTTCCGCATTCGCCTATGTTTGCTTTAAGAAGCCCCCGCGACCTCTCACATTCTCCCTTCCCGATCGCCGAATCTTTTTCTCTCTTCCCTCTTCTTCCTTTCCTGCTATCTACCTGCCTTTATCCTTGATACCCATTCCTCCCCGTTTGTCTCTTGTGGTCCATCTTGACTGATCCCCTCCAAGAGAACAGAACTGGACGTCCTCATCACATCCTCCTCCCTTCCTCACACCCAAAATCCCATTACATCATGTCTGAGCAGCTGAGATACGACGGCCAGGTCGTCGTCGTTACCGGCGCCGGCGGTGGCCTCGGCAAGGCCTACGCCCTCTTCTACGCCTCCCGCGGCGCCAGTGTCGTCGTCAACGACCTCGGCGGCTCCTTTACTGGCGAGGGTAACTCTGCCAAGGTACGTTTCATTTTGCTTTTGCACAATTCGTCTTCTGCTGCTGGCCCGCGCGAAAATCTTCGGGGACCCGGTTCGTTGCGCCACAGCGCCCGCACTTCGCAACCGGGTCACCTCGGGAGACTCCCACCCGATTTGCGACGGCCAACAAAGAAAACACCCCCCACGCCGCCCTCACGGCTAACTCGCTTATTCTTTTAGGCTGCCGATCTCGTCGTCGAGGAGATCAAGGCCGCCGGCGGCAAGGCCGTCTCCAACTACGACTCGGTCGAGTTTGGCGACAAGATCATCGACACGGCCATCCAGGCCTACGGCCGCGTCGATGTCGTCATCAACAATGCCGGCATCCTCCGCGACACCAGCTTCAAGAACCTCAAGGACCAGGACTGGGACCTCATCATGCGCGTCCACGTCTACGGCGCCTACAAGGTCACCCGCGCCGCCTGGCCGCACTTCCGCAAGCAAAAGTACGGTCGCGTCATCAACACCGCCTCGGCCGCCGGCCTCTACGGCAACTTTGGTCAGACCAACTACTCGGCCGCCAAGCTCGCCCTCGTCGGCTTCACCGAGACTCTTGCCAAGGAGGGCTACAAGTACAACATTCTCTGCAACGTGATTGCTCCCATTGGTATGTCCGGCCTGTCCTTTTTCCCCCTCCTGATGACGAGAACCTGCCTGCTAACAACCCCGGTTCTCAGCTGCGTCTCGCCTCACCAGCACCGTCTTCCCGCCCGAGCTCCTTGAGGCCCTCAAGCCGGAATTCGTCGTGCCTGTCGTCGGCGTCCTCACCCACAAGAGCAACACCGGCGACACCGGCGGCATCTACGAGGTCGGCGGTGGCTTCGCCGCCAAGCTGCGCTGGCAGCGTGCCGAGGGCCTGCTGCTCAAGCCCGACGCCTCGTACACGGCCAGCGCCATCATCAAGAACTGGGACAAGGTCGTTGACTTCTCCAAAAACTCGACCTTCCCCGCCGAGCCCAACAACTTCATCGACCTCTCCGAGCGCTCCGCCCAGCTGCCGCCCAGCGAGCAGGGCGAAAAGATTGACTACACCGGCAAGGTCGTCCTCATCACCGGTGCTGGCGCCGGCATCGGCCGCGCCTACGCCTTGGCGTTTTCCAAGGCCGGCGCCTCGCTAGTCATCAACGACCTTGTCAACCCCGACTCGGTCGTCGAGGAGATCAAGAAGGCTGGTGGCAAGGCTGTTGGCGTCAAGGCGTCGGCCGAGGACGGCGAGGCCTGTGTCAAGGCTGCCATTGATGCTTTCGGCCGCATCGACGTTGTTGTCAACAACGCCGGTATTCTCCGTGACAAGGCCTTCACCAACATGGACGACAGCCTGTGGAACCCCGTCTTCAACGTCCACCTGCGTGGTACCTACAAGGTGACCAAGGCCGCTTGGCCCTACTTCCTCAAGCAGAAGTACGGCCGTGTCATCAACACCACCTCCACCAGTGGTATCTACGGCAACTTTGGCCAGGCCAACTACTCCGCTGCTGTACGTTCTTCTTTAATTACCTGCAAAGTTGCCAATGAGCCCCTAGAAAAAAAAACTAATAATTCCTAGAAATGCGGTATCCTCGGCTTCTCCCGTGCCCTTGCCATCGAAGGCGCCAAGTACAACATCTTTGTCAACACCATCGCCCCCAACGCCGGCACCGCCATGACCAAGTCCGTCTTCACGCCCGAGATGCTCGAGTCCTTTAAGCCCGACTACATCGCGCCCCTCATCCTCGCCCTCTGCAGCGACGTCTGCCCCGACCCTACCGGCGGCCTCTACGAGGTCGGCAGTGGCTGGGCCGGCAAGACCCGCTGGCAGCAGGCCGGCGGCCACGGCTTCCCCGTTGACGTCGCCCTGACCCCCGAGGAGGTCCTCAAGAACTGGAAGGCCATCACCGACTTCGAGGACGGCCGCGCCGAGAACCCCGAGCGCACCACCGACTCCTTTGGCAAGATCATGGGCAACCTGGAGAACAAGGCCGGCAGCAGCAAGGTATGAGTTTGATCTTTTCCCTTTTTGTAGAAAATGTCCTATACGAATTTAGAATGAACATCAACACACTTGTATTTTACCATCACCACTACATCTCAACGTTTCGCATGTGAGGCATGTATGTTTTCTGATCGTATGCTAATACGTTTTTTTGTGCGAGTAATAGGGTGCCAGCGCTGCTCCCGCCAACGAGTTCCTCGCTGCCATCGACGAGGCCCTCAAGACCGAGGGCGCCCCCACGCCCTTCAAGTACGAGGAGCGCGACACCCTGCTCTACAACATTGGCGTCGGTGCCAAGGCCACTGAGCTCGACTACGTCTTGTAAGCCTATCCATTGACCACGAAGAGGGAAAAAAAAGAAAAAGAAAGCAAAAGCGCCTGTGCTAACATCTCCGTTCTCAGCGAGGGCGCCGAAAACTTCCAGCTGCTGCCCACCTACGGCGTCATCCCCGCCATGGCCGCCGACGTCGGCTTCTCCTACGACAAGATCGTGCCCAACTTCAATCCGATGACGCTGCTCCACGGCGAGCAATACCTCGAGGTGCGCAAGTTCCCGCTGCCGACCAGCGCCAACCTCGTGTCCAAGGGCCGGCTGCTCGAGGCCGTCGACAAGGGCAAGGCCGCCGTCGTCAAGACGGGCGTCACCACCACCATCGCCGAGACGGGCGAGGAGGTCTTCTACAACGAGATGACCGTCTTCCTGCGCGGTGCGGGCGGCTTTGACGGCCAGAAGAAGCCGGCCGACCGCGGCGCCGCCACCGCGGCCAACGTCCCGCCCAAGCGCGCCCCGGACCACGTCCATGAGGAGTATGTGCACCCGGACCAGGCCGCCATCTACCGCCTGAGCGGCGACTACAAGTACGTTTTCTTGACACGACCCCAACTTCTCTACTCGCTTGGGACTGACAGCTCTGTGAAATAGCCCCCTGCACATCGACCCCTCGTTCGCCAAGATGGGCGGCTTCAAGAAGCCCATCCTGCACGGCCTCTGCTCCTTTGGCATCGCCGGCAAGGCCATCTACGACAAGTACGTTCTCTCTCTGGACTTGGCAGCCCTGCCCTTACACCTATCCCGTACTAACCAACGCCCCAGGTTCGGCCCCATCAAGAACATCAAGGTCCGCTTCGCCGGCACCGTCGACCCCGGCCAGACCGTCATCACGGAGATGTGGAAGGAGGGCAACAAGGTCATCTTCACCTCCAAGGTCAAGGAGACGGGCAAGCCCTCCATTGCCGGCGCCGCCGCCGAGCTCATCTCTGCCGACAAGAGCAAGATTTAAAGGAAAAAAACAACTACAAAACAACAAAAACAGACTACATGATGTCATGGTTGGATCTCATCTGATATCAGGAGGGACAAGCATCCGGTCACCTCCTGGTGTATTATAGAAATTGGAGGGACTTGGTTTTTCATTTGTCTGGTCATGTATGATTTCACCCAAGAGCTAGTAACGAGTCTTGATTTCATTCTTCACATTAAGATTGTGGCTTCTTTTTGCTTCGTGACCCATCAACGACGCCGTCATCTAAAAAGACAAAAGCGAGAAGCATCAGCCACGGCTTGTCTTTATACATAGACCTGCGCTGTATCAATTTCTGCGCTTGTTCACATCGCTGTGGAAGTCCTGCCCGTTTCCCAACCCATACATACCGCTCTCACCCGCCATAGACCGCCAACTTTGCCCTTCTCACACTAGTCTTAGCAAATTGCGCCATTGGTTTGCGATCTCATCAATGTCGCCTCCTAGACAAAAGACGCAAACAAAAAACTCCTGCATGCGCCGACGCGTGCAAAATAGATGATAATGAACAACAAGAAAATGAAAACAAATACAATGCTTGCTAATGATTATGCCTCAGCGTGTGAGCCTCGGATGTTGTGAATTAGAGTATAGAGTAGAGTGGGGAGCAGGGATCAGGGATCAGGGAGAGCAGCGCTCAAAGAGGGCGTTCGTTGACCGTCCAGCGGCGCTTAGTGTGGCTCATGTCGCGAAACTTATCCGCGTCGCTTGGCGGTGTCGGGCGGCCCCAAAGTCCGCCGAGGCCGCCGCCCAGGGGCGTAGCAATGACCTCCTCGGGCGGCCCAATCACGTCATTGTTGTCCAGGCTCGTCTGCAGCTTGATGGGCCCGGCAAACATGGGAGTCCCCGGCGTCACCGATCCGGGCGAGTCGACCGCGCCAAAGTTGCCAAACGGCGACGGCGCGTGCACGGGACCGCCCGACGACGTGCTGTAGCTGGGGAAGGACGGGAAGTCGGACGCAAACATCGACAGCTTCTTCTCCTCCGCCGCTGCTGGCGGTGGCGCCGCGCTGAAGCTACCAAAGTTGGGCAGGACCGCGTCAAAGGGGTTCGAGTCCTCGTCTAGGTTGTCGTCCATGAGCCGGAGAGAAGACGGTGCCGGCGCCCAGAGGCCGGTGGAGTTGCTGTTCGAGCTCGGGGGACGTCCAGCCTTGACCTCGTTGTTCAGGCTCGAGCTGCTGCTGTTGCTTCTCGTGCTCTTGCTGCGAGCGGCAATAATGTTGCCCGCGCCGTTGAAGGCGCTCCGGATCGACTTTTGTGACGACTCTCGGCGCGCCATCTTCTCGACCGCGGCACTAGCGGTAGGGGCGTCTGCCATGGGGAAGGCATCGCTGTTGTAAGTGAATGGGCTGATGACTGCACCGCTGCCGTTGCTAAACGTTGATGTGCGGCCACGCGCGTGAGGATTCCAGGCGTTGTTTGCCGAGGCAGATCTTGCGGAGCTGGGCGTGGAGGCAGTAGAGTGTAGATGCTCCGTGGTAGCAGATGTTCTTATCTCGTACAGATCGTCGACGGCGACCAGGGACTGGGCCTCGGCTTCCTTGGTAAGCTCGTCGCGCAGTCGCTCGTAGTCAACCAGAGGCCGTCGCTGGGCCATGGTAATAGAGGCGATACTGACGTCCATAAGCACGGGTTGGTGAGTGATGGCGCCCATCAGAGCATTGCAGCCCGCGCCGTGCGATACGAGAACCAGGACAGTCTCGATTTCTTCATCGTCGGTGGCGTCGAGCGTGTGGTCTCCGTCCGAGTTCATAGTCGTGACCATTTCTGCGGCATTGTCGGTGTTGGCGTACCAGTTGACCATTTTCCGCAGTCCTTTCCTAAAACGCTTGTGCATGGAAATCCACTCCTCTCCGAGCTGGCCGCCATCGCCAAAGTCAAGCGGCTCACGCATAGAGTCCCATTGGAAGTCTACACTGACACAAGTATCCCTGGCGTGGGCCACAATACCCTCAGGTATGCTGCCAGCACCGGGAACCGGGGGACTGGGCCTCGGGGGGACGTAGCCCTTTTTGGGAGTCGTGGTGCTGGGCAGCGCAGAAGCTAAGGACGCGACGCCAAGAATGGGACTGCCGTTGTCCTCGGCGGGGGATTGAGGCGCGTCGATGGGGCGTAGCTTAGGTGACTGCCATAGCTTTTGTGTGGGCGGGGGAGGCGGTGGTGGCTCGTCGAAGCTGTAGAAGCTGTAGTCTTCGCGACGTAGGAGTTCGGCTTTGGCACCGCCCAGCATGAGCGCAGGCCCAGGCGGCGGGGTGATCATTTCAAAGTATTCCGGAGAGAGCCATTCGCCGAGGAAGGAGTCTATACGGAGTACGGCAGTCTTCAGCTTGTTGGTCTGACCCTTGGCGGCATGGGGAGGGACGATAATGTCGGAGGGTTTGTACATGGATTCGGCCGGGAGCTGAGCGAGGCCGGAGCTGATACCGACGGAGGTCTGGACACATCGGAGGAAAGGAGAGGTATGAATAACGATTCTGAATCTTCTGCGCTTGAAACCGGGCTTGGCCTCGTTCTTAACCTCGTGCTCGAGCTTGGCCTGTTCGAGGATACCGCCGATGTAGTTGCCGACTTGTCGAGCTTGCTGCAGACCAGAGAAGGTTAGGGGAGGGTCGTAGGGGGTGGGAGATGTGAGGTGCCATTTCTTGTCTGCGGCATCGAGGCGGTTTCCATGTCTGTAGACGGCTGGTTAGAAGGGGAGCGGTGCGCGGGGAGCGGCTAGAGGCAGGCTGGAGCAGAACGCACCGGACGACAAAGATGTGTGAGGGTGGTGCGACCATGATTCCAAACTGGAAGCAAGTGCGCCAAGGATGAGTTGGCCGTTGGCTGCTAGAATTGCTGAAATAGTTGGGCGATAGAGTAATGAGGTCGATGGTATACGGAGTAGCGTTCGTTGCAGGCGAGCGGGTTTATGTTGTGAGCTGCCTCCGAGACAGACTAGCGGCGCAGGATGGCCGGAGCTCAAAGAGGTCGTCGAGCAAGCAAAGGTTGCGCAGCGAGGAGCACAAGCCTATGAGAGATGGTGTAGCTGGTGAGAAGCTTCGAATGCCGTTCCTGCGGCAGTCTGGTGAGCGGACGTGCGCAAGCTATGACGATGCAGCGAGGCGATGAAGAAGAGTTCTGCCGGGTCGAGTTGGGGTGGGTGGATGATGGGTGATGGATGGATGGATGGATGGTGGCGTGCAGCGCAGGCAAACGAGGTGGTGGTGGCTTCGGCTTGTCGGGGAACGGAGTTGGAGAACAGAACAAACACCGGCGTTGTTTTGATGGGATGGAGGCTAATGAGAAGCTGGGAGGTGTGGGATGATAACAAAGAGGCAACGGCAATAAACAATAGAAGGATGGAAGAAGGGAGGGGGGAGGCCACGAGGGAACAAAAAACGTTTCACGAGGGGAGGCGGCGGGAATGACTGCGACAGTGAGGGGAGCAAGCAAATAGTGAAGAATTATTGGTATATTATGTATTATTTATGACGGCCTTGTTTTTGAATTAACCATTTGTCTGGATAGTTGTACCACTAGCCGGCTCCGGTGATGGGACTTGTCCAGCTTCTTCCTATCCGATTACGAAGGACCTCGTTCTCTGTAAGCAGGCGTCAAAAAAGTATTGCGTATCCGCATGTGACACTTGGATTTTTAATTGCAGCTTTCCCCTCTTCATCCATTGTCGCCATCAATTTATCTGGGCCGCTCCATCGGCTCCCCAGTTAATTCTCCATACCTTGACTTGGATTTGCTAGGAATCGCCCACCACCAAGCCAAGCAAACCGACTAGTTAGACACGTCTATCTACCAGTAGTTACAAAAACAAAGAGCTTGCCTTGTGACATGAAAAAAAGCCCAGGAAAAACAGCGAATCCATCCTCCTTACTTGATCCTCTGCAACACGTGGACTCGTGCATTTCTGCCGTTGGATTCGCCCTAGCCGCTCCCCGTGACTATGCGTTGGCAAACTATATTTTTCCAAGACAGACCCTGAAAAAAAGTAGCAAAATATTGAGCCTATTACGTAGCAGTCGCGCCATCGTCCCGCATGTGTTTGCTATGCTATAATATTGCAGGGGATGCGCGCATATAACCATTACTCGAATGAACCTCGTTTGCGGATGTCCCGCATAGAACTACACGATGAGTACATACATAGATATATATGACCATATACTCTATCGACATGGCACCGGCATGCACATCTCAATTTTGCGGAACAGATGTGGTTACATCGATTTAAAGGTGTAGTCAATCGGTTGTAATTAATAGTCAACAGAAGACGATATGAAAATAACTGCAAAATAAAATATGCCCTAAACGTCATGCCAGGTATACGCAACTCCTACCCGTGAACCATTATTTCCAGAAAAGTCACCCAAAATGCACTTGATCATTCCTCTTTTTGTCTCTTTTTCACTTCCTCATTGCCTCCGGTCCGGATTCTCCTCCGGGTTTGCCGCCGCGTCTTTTGCCCAATCCTGCTGCCGCGGCACCGGGCTCTCCATTTCCACCGCATCGCGCACGTCCGGCTTGTACCCCAACTTCTTCGTCTGCGAGCCATCCATCGTCGGAGACAACGGCGGACTGTTCATCGTCGCCGCCACCTCGTTGGCGTGCAGCTCCTGCGGCGGCAGCTCGGCCCAGCCGCCGTGGTGCGGATGCGGCGGCGGCGGGCTGCCGCTCCCGTCGTGCACCGAAGAAAAGTACGTGAACTGGCTCTGACGATTCGGGTCGTAGGGCGTCTGGCTGACGCCGTCCCACTGCTGGCTGACGCTGCCGTCAAACTGGCTCTGCGTCATGGCGGGCGAGTACATGGGGGCGTTGGGGTAGCCCCCGCCGCCGCCGGGGGTACTCTGGGCCGCGGCGAGGCTCTCGGCCCGGCGGGCGGCGTCGGCGGTGGCGGCGGCCTTCCTCTTGAAGAAGAACCAGATGAGGCCGATGATGATGCCGATGCCGGCGACACCGCCGACGGCTATGCCCGCAATCGCGCCGGTGCCAAGGTCGGAGCTGCCGTCGGTGCCACGGTCGCTCGAGGGCGAGGCGGCCGAGGTTCCGCTGGAGCCGGGCTTGGTGTTGTCGCTCACGCTGTATTGCTGGATGTTCGTGTACGCTTTGCAGTCGGGCGAGGGGAAGGCCAGCGGGCAGCTCTCGTGGAAGCAGATGGAGGGGAGCGAGTTGTTCTGAGGGGGTGCACACTTGTTGTTGTACTTGTTGTTCATGAAGGTGTCGAGCGTGCTGGCGTCGCTCTCGCTGAAGCCGTGGTACTTGCTGGATAGGGAGAGTTGGCGGATAAAGTAGGAAATCTGGGTCTGGGTGAGGTTCATAAACTGGTGGACGTAGGCCGGCATGAGTGTCTTGTACTCCTCGTTGAGAAACTCCTCGGCCTTGGTACAGCCAAAGATGCGGCCAAAGGCGACGTACCAGTGCGTAAAGAGGGTGCTAGACAAGCATGTTAACGCTGTACATAACAGGCGGACAAGCAGGTGGGGGACCGTGACATACTACTGGTTGGTGCCTTTCGCGATCTCAGCCGTCGCGGTTTTGTTGTCGAGGAAGTCTCTCAAAGGTTTCATGCCACCGCCATCCGTCCAGTTCATGGCCGCGGCATTGCCGTTGAAAGCCGACGTCTTGTCTAATACGCGAGGGTTAGCATCTGTGGGCAGTGCAGGCCCGTCGATGATGGTGAATATCTCTTACGGCTCCCATCGAAATGCCATCCTAGAAAGATGGCTTCGCCTTTGTATGAGCCACTTCCGAAGATGCCGCTGTCGTTTTTGTTCTCGCCACCAGCTTTTAGCAGTTCGTCCCCGCCGGCGTATGCCAGCGCGACGATCTTGGTCATGAGCTTCAGCTGAGTCGTCTTGTTATTCTCGCCATAGTTCTCCTTGGCGTAGTAGTCGCAGATGGGCGTCCCATCAGGGCGACCGGCTGATACAGCTGGCTGGACCGCCGCGGCCAACAGCAGCGCCGCCGTGGAGAGGAGCATTCCGAGAATGATGCGACTTCTGGTGGAGGGAGAAGGCGGGCGATCTCTCTATATCTCTCTCTGCACGACTTCAAGTCTCGAAAGCCCTGTTGCTGGAGGGGTAAGAGCGATAAAGAGAAACACAGTACGGGTGTGCTGGGTATGGCTGGGTATATGTATGAACCCCCATTTGCTCCCTACGGAGTACACTGCATGCATGCAGGTAAGTACCAGTAGACACAAGTTAGGTAAGGTAGGCCCGAAGCAACAAGAATGAACTCCCCATGTTCAGCGCCACTCCATGCGCGCTGCAGCAAAGCAAACCGGGGGGGGGGGGAAACCCTTACGCAGACAGACACGCAGGTATCCTTCCTTCTCCGCAGCAACAAGAGAAAAAGAAGAAAAAAAAGAGGACTAGGAAAATATTCTTGGCCCCTGTCTCGTCGGCCGGCCCCTGGAAAAGGCTCTGATCAGCGAGCTACAGCGCTGAACCAAAAGTGAGGCTCTCTCATTATTCACGTTGGCTGCCACTTTGGGCAGCAGACGGGGGAGCGAAACTGGAGACGACCAACCAGGCTGACAACCCGGGCTGAGCTGAACGGATACTTCCCTGTAGATTGGTTACAGCGGACCGGCCATTGGATTCACCGATGAAATACGGAAAAGAACCCTGCCGGATGTGCTAGGGCTCGTTCACGAGGCAAGGCTTCTCGCCAATCGCTTGACCAGGTTGGCAAGAATCCAGAGTCCAGAGTCCAGACGCAGCGAGGTGGATATGACCTGCAGTGACTGCAGAATGCGCTGGCCTGCTTGTCTCACCCAGCCGGATGTTTGTCGGTATTGAGTAACTCTGTATTTTTAGCCGAGACCGTGGCATTCATTGCTCCCCTGACAAGAATCCTGGCCGCCTTCCAGGCCCAGGTCAATTAATACCGGGCATCATTATACACACGCTGTACTCCGCATTCCGTATAGTTTATCCGTCGGTTTACTCTTAGAGCATCTCTCTTTTTCATGCCCGCAACTTGGTACCTACAGCCCAAGATTCCTTTCACAACGCATGAGACCGAAATGCGACACCGAGGAAGAGGTTGTTGCAGTCGACCTCCCTTTCCGCCCAGACCGCATGCACCGCACCCAAGACACCCCCTTACGACCACACCATCATCATGGTTGAAATTGTTGATTGCCAAGCTCTGGAAAGGCTGCGGGTGGAAATTTGGTGAGGGATGTCAGCCCGCAGACAGCCTCGTTAGCTAGCTACTGGTAGGGTGGCCCCGGTGGCTACGAAAGACGGGACGACGGGCACAAAATGATGGATCTTCAGCTGTCGATCATTTTTTTTTACCGAGCCTCGTGGGATTCTCTCAAAATCGTCTTACAGGTAGGTGCTCGAAATTCCGCTCCTTGAGGAAAGATATCCGTAGAAAATGCCGGGTCAAGCTTACAACGGATCATAAACATATGCACCTTTCCGCCCTGTGATGATCCTTGAGACCGCTTCCGTAATGAACTGATACATCGTAGTTACTATTAATCTCGTTTAAACGAAGCGATGGCATTGCTCAAGGATGCCAGACCTGATGCACCCCGACAGCCATCGCATGGCCGCAGTTCTTGGCACCGCGCACTCCGAGAGGGCAGGAACAATAATTCGTAACATGTTCAGATATAAGATGCGACCTGGCGCAGCCACAACACACAGCCGACAAAGGTTCCTCCTTATTTATGAATTATGCATGCGTGGCTGGGTCCTGGATGTCGCCGCTCTTGGGGCCCAATGTGCTACAATGGCTGAGTTCCTGGCGAGGCATACTCGATAGCTGTGCTACTGTAACCGCCCCTCCTTGTCCTCTATTTAGACCAGTCTCTTATTTTTGGGGTCGTTATTTCATAGCTTCTTGAATACGGAGCATGAAAGTCGGAAATATGAGAGTCGCCAAGGTCACACAAAGCTCGACGGTGTGTTTCGAACTCTGCTTGCCTGCCGGCATACGAATGAATACGTAGCAGATATCCATTGTTCATCAACTGGGAGAGAGCCTCAGTATTCCTACCGAAACCAGTGATTCTGGGGCTGGCAGTAGTGGTCTAAGAAAATATTGCGCCGTCACTGCTAAGGGGACGGGCCGCCTGTTGCGCACCCATACACACTGGTGATGTTTTTAAAGTTGCACGCTGCTAACAGTGCTCCTTTGGGTCATCTAATAAGGATCTCGGCATCTGCCAGGTACCAAGTAAGCGATGAAGCATTATTTCCGGAAAAGTCAATGCAGACCTCACGATTGGCGCTGTGCTGTTAAGTTTAGTTTAGTTAGCACTGGCGGCGCGAGCCTTCAGCCAAGATCCCCCTCTCCACACATTTGTAAGCTGGTTCAACGACCACTTACTTCATCACGGTCGCCACAGACCTCGACACCCCTGAACAAGACCAATTCCAAACCCCCATCAACCGACATTTCACAGCGCCGCCCCTCCGACTGCGATCCTCCTTACCGTCTCCAGAGTCCCCTCCAACGAACTCGATAACGCGCGATGAAGTGGGAGGCGGGGCTGCAGGCCATCCTGGCCTCGCTCCTACTCGCCAGCGGCGCCCTCGGCGAGCACACCAGCAACTGGGCCGTCCTCGTCTGCACCTCGCGCTTCTGGTTCAACTACCGGCACCTGGCCAACGTGCTCTCCATCTACCGCACCGTCAAGCGGCTCGGCATCCCGGACTCGCAGATCATCCTGATGCTGCCCGACGACATGGCCTGCAACCCGCGCAACGCCTTCCCCGGCACCGTCTACAGCAACTCGGACCGCGCCGTCGACCTGTACGGCGACAACATCGAGGTCGACTACCGCGGCTACGAGGTGACGGTCGAGAGCTTCATCCGCCTGCTGACGGACCGTGTCGGCGAGGAGATGCCCCGCTCCAAGCGCCTGCTCACCGACGAGCGCAGCAACATCCTCGTCTACATGACGGGCCACGGCGGCAACGAGTTCCTCAAGTTCCAGGACGCCGAGGAGATTGGCGCGTTTGACCTGGCGCACGCGTTTGAGCAGATGTGGGAGAAGAAGAGGTGAGTTTCTTTTTTTTTTTCTTTCTTTTTTTTACCTTCTTTTTGCCAAAAGTTCCGCTTCCGCCTGCCCTGCAACCTCTTCTGTCTCGCTGCTGACTAGTTTCATCAGATACCACGAAATCCTTTTCATGATCGACACCTGCCAGGCCAACACTATGTACAGCCGCCTCTACTCGCCCAACATCATCGCTACCGGCTCCTCCGAGCTCGATGAGTCCTCGTACTCGCACCACGCCGACAACGACGTCGGCGTCGCCGTCATCGACCGCTACACCTACTACAACCTCGAGTTCCTCGAGTCGCAGGTCCGCGACATGAACAGCCAGAAGACGGTCGGCGAGCTCTTCGACAGCTACGACTTTGACAAGATCCACTCCAACGCCGGCGTCCGCTACGACCTGTTCCCCGGCGGCGCCGACGGCGCCCGCGGCCGCCTCATCACCGACTTCTTCGGCAACATCCAAAAGGTCGAGGTCGACCGCGCGCCGCGGCAGGACGGTGCTGCCCTCGAGGAGGAGCTCGAGGGCCTCAGCAGGACGATTGCGCTGCTGCGCGCCAAGGAGGCTGAGCAGGTTGCGGCGAGGCGCGCCAACGACTCCGCGGCGGCGGCGTCCGCCGTGCCGGTCAGCGCGCCTCCCGCGGATGTCGTCCGCGGTGGTCAGGCGCGAAAGGTCCAGGGCGCGACGGCGCTGACGACGGAGAACTGGCTCACGCGCAAGGCCATTGGCGCCACGGCGCTGGTGGGCTGCGTTGCGCTATGGGGGCTGGGTGCCTTGTTGGAAAAGTAGGGAAGGGTGTGACGACTCTTTTTGTAATATAGCACGATGCATTCATTATAAAGCAACAAGGCCTTGTTGCACTGGGACGGCGGGCGTTGCACTGTTTGGAAGATTTCTTTGTCATTCATATATTATACTTGGTTGGTCTTTTTGGGGAATTACACAATCAACTTTTTACACGTTTCAAAATAGGTCCCGCCCATGAACTGTGCGCTGGTGGCATGCATTCGCACTCAAGCCTCCTTTTCATATTCATGTCTCACCTTGAATGCAGCCGGTCCCTCCGGCATGTCCTGCCTTCCCAGCGGCGTAATGTCCAGCAGCGCAAACGTCGCCGACACCCTCTCCACGCCCCTCCCGTACGTCGAGTACGTGTGAAACACGCGCCCCTCCTCGTCCTTCCAGAAGACGCTGAAGCCAAAGTACTCGCCCGTGTACGGCCTGCGCCCCAGCGCCGCGACCTCGGCCCTGCTGCGGAAGTTGAGCAGGCTGCCCGGCGTGCCCGCGTACGCGCCCGCGCTGCCCTGGTCGACCGAGACGTGGAAGTCGCGGTTGAACGCGTTGTCCGGGTCGGCCGCGGTCGAGTACCAGGGAAACGTGTCCGTCCAGCCGCACCGCTCTTGGTAGGCGGCGAGGCGGGCGGGCGGCGCGCGCGAGACGCAGGCGAGCTGGGTGCGGCGGGAGCGCAGGTGGCGCGCGTCGGGGAGGGACTCGGCGACGTGGGTGCAGCCGCGGCAGACGTCACGGCCCTCGTCGTCGTCGCCGGGGGCGAACATGAAGTGGTAGACGATGAGCTGGTCCATGCCGTCGAAGAGGTCGCTGAGCGAGAGGGGGGCGACGGCGGCGGCGGAGGAGGTGGTGGCGGGGAGGAAGGAGTAGGGCTTGTCGATGCGGACCATGGGGAGCTCGCGCCGGGCGGCGCTGAGGTCGTCGGCGGCGCGCATGAGTTTCTTTTCCTTTTCGAGGAGCACTTTGCTGGCCTCGATCCAGTCCTGCTGGTTTACGATCTAAGTGAGGGAGAAGAGCATGTTAGGTTCCGGGGTTCCTGGTGGTGCAAGCCAGGCCTTGAGTGTTGTGCTCACTTGTGGAGACATTGCGACGTCGTTCAGTGACGTCGTTCAGTGAATTTATCGGCGAAGCTGGATGGTGAAAGCACGACTGGTGTGGTTTCGGAGGGATGACAACGACTTGTTGGTGGTGGGCAAGCAAGTCTATTTAGAAGCAAGGGTTGTCATCGCGTTGTAGACGCATCAGAGTCTGGAGGGGAACCCCATGAGATTTCAGATGGACTACGTATTTTTAACAGAATTCTGTTTCGTCTTTATATCGGCGGAAACTTGCCGTAAGCCATGTCGTCGGAAAGTGACCGTGAACCGTTTCGTCGGAAACTGGCCGTGAAGCGTATTCACGGGCTGGCTGGACACGGAAGCAGCCACCATCCGAATGCGGCAGTCTTGGGCGTTCATCCATCACATTGCCACGCACCACCTAAATAACAAACGAATAAGAGTTACGGGTTACTGGTGTTTTCTTCAACAGGCTTGAAGCCAGGGGTGCTGCGTGTATGCGCGAATGGAGGTGTTATGAACGTGGCAAACTGCCGATCTGGGTGAGAGTCGCCGACTTGACAGCAAGCCAGGCAGCAGGGCGAGCTACAGAGCTGTGCGAGGGTACGAGGGCATGCTGAATGAACGCTGAACAAAAAGACCCAGAGAAATATTTTGAAAATTCACGGACGCATACGCGGCAATCGTATCAATGTATCCATCCGCACGGAGCACGGATAACACGCCATTGATCGGAGATGAAGGAACATGATATCGTGTCGCCTTTGCGAACCACAGGAGAGCTGCCAGCGGCGTTCGGTTGGCCTCACGACCCGCAGCGCCTGGGGCCGCGTACTTTGTAACTAAAAAGGTAATATTGGCATTGAACGAGGCGAGGCAGCAGCTGGTTCTGCGAGCTCCCAGCCTGATCACTTTTAGCAGCCTGGGCAGTTAGCAGTATTTATTCATCGATACGAACACCGCAGCTTGGCGCGCACCTCTTCAAACCTGCCGTCCCGAGCTGCATGAAGCGCTTCGCTTCACCATCCGACGACCTGCATACGCCCTCTGCCTCTGCCTGACCTGCGACGACAATCAGCTGAAACAGACAAAGGAATAACTGGAAAAAAAAAATGCGAGCCCTTGTTGCTGTCCGAATATAGTATGGATACAACTGTATAACCCTTGAGTCAGCCCGACCAGCTGGACGCCACTTGACCAAGTGGCCTGGCCTGGCCTTGGGCAGCCCCAGCTAGCTCAACCTAGCTATCACAGCCCTACCAAAAAGACCCGTAAAAAGGCCCTCTTGGAATGCTCAGCCGCTCGAGTCTAAATTGCTTATTACGGCGCATGGATCAAGTTTTTGAATCCATCTTGAAGCCTTGGGGGGTCGCGGTAATAAAAAAAAAAAGTGTGTGTCAGTGGCAGTGGCGCATTTGGCACCCCCTTGGTGGACAGCTTGGTCAAAACCAGACTTGAAAGACCTGAAAGAAGAAAAAAAGGGACCAGACGCCCACTTCAGTTTGTTCAAGCAAACGCATTCCTCATTCCTCTCGTTTGCATCATCAATTTCTTTACCTTTCTTTTTCCTCGAGTTCGTTCATTATCCGTCATCGTCTTCCGGGGGCAATACCGCAATACCGCAACCATGAGCGAGCAACAACATCAGCAGCAGCAACCTCAGCAGCTGTACACACAGCAGCAACCTCAGCAGCAGCAGCCTCAGCAGCTGTACACACAGCAGCAGCAGCCAGCATCGCCCGCCCACGTCTACCAGCCGCCTGCCCACAGCCCGGATGCCATTCAACCGCAGGTCGAAAGCCATCAGGTCCTGCCTCCCAGCTACGACCAGGCCAAGCTGCCGCCTCAACAAGGCGTGCCCATGCAGGCTCCTGGCGGAGGAGGCCCCGGTCCCGCGACCGTCGTGCCGCTTCACATGCTCAGCGACGTCCCGCAGCCCATCGACTGCCCCTTCTGCCACCGTCGCACCATGACCGAGGTTCGCAAGGAGGGCAGCTCCATGCAAATGTACGAAGCATTCCCAATACCTACTAAAATGGCATTCTTTGGAGTTGTCTAAGAAGAGGGCAAAAAGAAAGAAGAAAAGAAACAAGGCTAACTAACAACCGCTGCTACACACACAGTCTCGTCGGTGTCCTCTTCTGCCTCGTCTGCGTCTGCCTCGCCTGCGTGCCCTGCCTTGCCCACTGGTTCGAGGATGTCGAGTACCGCTGCAATCAGTGCAGGAACTTGGTCGCGCGCCGGCGCCACGACGGTCCCCTCGAGGTCTTGGGGCCCCAGGTCACTGTCCAGTCGCAATACGGCGCCCAGCCGCAGATGAACGCCCAGCCGCAGCAGCAGCAGCAGACAAAGGGCGTGACCCAGCCTGGTGCCCAACCCCAGCAGTACGAGATGCAGCCGCAACCTCAGCACCAACAACCTCAACAGCAGTATTATGCCCAACAGCAGCAGCAACAGCAGTATCCTCAGCAGGAGATTCAGCCCGTCTACAGCCAACCCCAGCAGTATCAGCAGCAGCACCAGCCTGACCAAAAGCATTAAAATCGATGCAGTCGTTCATATGATACCTGTTATACCTTTTGTCTTATTATGTTCTTGATCACTATTTTACTTTCTCTGTGCTTCTTCCTTGGAGCTTGGTGGCAACACAATCGTCCCTAGAGGACAGTCGGCGCGTCATCTTGTTTTTTTTTTTAGCTTGGATACACATGATGCAGGGGCGTAGGGGGTGATATTCCAAGAGCAGGTGTATTAATGTTAAAATGGTATTCTCAATTGAAGAATGAACTTGATCCATTGTCAGCACAGCTCGAGTACTAGAGAGGGGTGACACCGACGGAACAGGCGCCATATTCCAACAGGTGCTGCAAACTGGTCAAGTTGAAGCAAGGAAGCATGTTAATCAATTCCCCGAAAAATTCAGTAAATTCGGCTCCGCTTGAGATACACGACGGACAGGTCATGTATGATTGATTGATTGATAATTGCTGTTTTGGGAAGTCTTCAAGGCCCCACACCTCATCCCAACTTCAAGTAATCAAGCCTGAAAAGATTGCTTCATCCAAACAACACCATCCATATCCTCTGCATCCCAAAGAAAATCACTAAAGACCCTATAACCTCATCAAGCAGTTTATTTCAATCAAGATGTCAACGGCATAGAAGCGAGACGCTCCGTAATGAAGGCAAAATGGACAGGTCCAAGGTACGGCAAGCTCATATCCAGATCAACACAATAACCTTGTCCAGTTGTGAGGTGTGACGACGGCTAATTCATCACCGAACCCTGACCAGGCGCCTCCCCTACAAAGTCTCTCCCTGCCATCCCGGCCCCTGACGTCCCACGCCATCGCCTGGTCGTCCGACGCAGAGCTCGCCGTCGCCACCTCCGACGGCATCCACGTCTTCCTCCCCGAATACCCGCGCAGCAGCGGCGGCGACGGCGAGAAGCCGCCCTCGGAGCGCTACGCCACCTCGCCCCAGTTCCCCGTCTTCCTGCAGACGTCCGGGTCCCTGCGACCGGACCCGGCCATCAACACGCCCCTCTGCCTCTTCGCCGGCGCACAGCCGCCACCACCACCGGCCAACGGACCCGGCGACTTCCCCGGCGTCGGCGGCGGCAAAATCACGGGGGCCGGTGCGTCGCTCGGCCAGGTCGTGCGCGTCGAGTGGTCGCCCGGCGGGCTCGGGGCCAACCTGCGGCCGGTCCTGACGGCACTGACGGGACACGGCGCCGTCACATGTTTCGGCGAGCACTTCGACCTCGGCAAGAGCGGCGGCGGCGCCAGCGGGGAGTCCAAGAAGACGCAGGTGCGCTCGTTTAAGAACTGGCGCATCCTCTGGGGGTTGGGGGCTCGGCTGCCGCTGCCGAGGGCCGGCGGCGCGGACGTTCAGATCATGGATGAGCGCATCACGTCGTTTTCGTGGGCCAAGGACTTACAGCCGGGGAGGGCGCTGTTGGCGTACGAGACGGACGACAAGCATGTCGTCGTCATGGCGGTGCAGTTTTACAGCCGGGACAGCGCACCGGACGAGAAAGGTTGGGATATCCGCGAGGTGGCGAGGTTTGACGCCAGCGGACCGCACGTGGTAAGTACAATATGTTATCTACATGATGCAGATGGGGTTAGCTGACTCTTGTAAACAGGCCGTGGATCCGTTGGATCCAGATTTTGTATCCTCAGGTTCTGCGTTTTCGCTGAAATGGAGCCCGTGGGTTACGTATCAAGGAAAGCAGACGGCGGTGCTTTCCTATATCGCAAACAACCATGTTGGATTCCGACGGGTTGTCATTGAGGAATTGTGGAAGCACGGCGACACGCCAGCCGTCAAGGTGGACGAACACGACATGAAGGGTCTTTGCCTATCCCTCTCAACCGATGCTTTCCTGGAATGGGAGAATACGGTAGGTGCAACGCAAAGTTACCAGGAAAGCATGACATGTTAACAAGCCGACAGTCTTGGAGCGATGGCGATGGTCCGCTCACCGTGCGTGGCATCGTTGCTTCGCCATTCGTCCTCTACCCCTTTCAAATCCCCTTCACAGACCCGATGAGCGCCGCGATACCGCGACACAAGACCAGTCTATGCTCAACCACCTACCCAAATCAAGACACCCCGACGAACCCCATCACAGGTCAGTCCCCCAACGCGCCGCTTCCACCTCCTCATGATTACCCTCGATCACAACTGACGGAGCAACCAACACAAGGCCTCGTCATCCACCACGCCGACCCTTCCCTGCCGCGGCCGCCCGTGCCGCACTACTCCCTCGTGCGGCAGTCCTGCACCGCCACCAACCAGAACTGGTTCCAAACCACCCTGCCCGAGGACGACACGCCGCTTCCGCAGTGGGCCGAGGACCTGGGCCAGCGCACTGTCCGGCGCATCCCCCTCGCCCGGGCCCTGCGCGGCAAGTACATCGACTCCTCCTCCGACTCCTCCGACCCGGAGCCAGACGATGACGACGAGATGCCTGACAGCACGACCGCCGCCGAGCGTCGCCAGACGGTCCACCCGCGCCGCTTCCGCCTCTGGGGCCTCGCCGCCTCCCCCGGCGACGGCTGCACCGCCGCCGTCGTCTCCCGCCACAGCACGCAGCACCCGAGCCGCCGCGACCGCGCCGAGGTCATGTTTGGCTGGCACGTGCCCCCCGACGGCGACGTCGCGGGAATCAAGACGGTGGCGTCACTCCCGCGCAAGGCATCGACGGAGGCGCGCGTGTGGGAGTGGCTGTACGGTCGCGGACCCGAGGTCCCGGGCACCACGCACGCGACGAGCATCCCGCTCGACAGTAACATGGTAGGCGGCGGCGCGCTGCGGCGGCAGTTTCGCGAGGTGCTTGCGCGCGTGCGCTGCGTGTTCTGCGACGGCGCGTTGCGGGAGACGGACGGCGGCGCCGACGCCGTCTGCTCCAACGGTCACTCCTTTGGCAAGTCTTCCTCCCTCGACGGCTGTCTCTTCGAAACTTCAGGCTAACGTGCATGTTTCAACAGCGACGTGCGCGTCGTCGGGCATGCCGGTCATGGCGCCGGGCATACTACGCGTCTGCGCGGTCTGCGGCCTGCGATGCCTGCAGGCGGCGGAGCTGCACCGACTGGCGAGGGAGCACCTCGGCTACGACGTGGTGCTCGACGCGCAGGCCGAGCTCTGCGGCGGCTGCGGCGGCAAGTTTATAGTTTGACGAGGCACGCGAGTCCTTCAGGCGAATGTTAAAAAAGGAAAAATCTACTTTTACTGTGAATGTGGTACAAATAGCTAGTAAGAACAGAACATCTTTCATATGAAGACAAATCTAAAGAAACAAAGAGTAGTACTTTATGAATCGAATGAACTGTATTTCCTTCTTGTCACCAACTTCGGGAAGACTTGTCTTGAATCTCTTCTCGCCATACTGCTTTCCACCCCCATACCGCCAGCGCCTCAAGTCTCATTGATGCCAGAGCTTGCGATATAGCGAGGGCTCTTGGTGCCCTGCTGCGCGCCGCACACCAGTCGCCCGCCAGCCACCCAGATACCCCGGCCGCCCTCTACCGAACCATCAGCACAAGTCCAAAATCTCCCTGAAAAACTGGCAAGCCTGCATAGATCTGTAAAGACCAACACGTACCTTGACTATCCAAAAGCAGCTCCGTAAACGTCGGCGCGCGACCCGGCGCCGGCACACACGCGCACCGCATCATCACCGGGCCGTCCGGGCCCAGCGCCTCAATACCGCACGGCCGGCACGTCTCGTCGTAGTTTCCGCTAAGCAAAGAACCAGTTAGCAGTCCCCTCTGAGTCCAATTCACTTGACAAAAAGAAAAGAAGGAAGGAGGGGAGGAAACCCAGCGCAGAACGTACCGCTCTTGAAAGACCAGTCGGCCGCCGACGTTGCCCAAGCACTGGTTCAAGTTCAAGCTCGTGAGCCACCACGTCCCCGTCGCCTCCTCCCCGTCGCGACAGGCCGCCTGCAGCGTCGAGTGCCCCCTCTTGCCACCGCCCAGCAGCGTGAGCAGCCGGCAGCGCCTCCCAAAGATGGTCGTCGTCGCCGTCCCGTTGCCTGCTCCGCCGCCGCCGCCGCCGCCGTCTGCCGCCACGACGGGCTTGTGGTTGACGCCCGGCAACCTGACCGCCCCGTCGCCGTGGGGGAGGACTACCCTGTTCTGCGAACCGCCGCCGCCGACATCACCATCGTGCTGGGAGGCCGCTTCGGGGTCGCTGCTGCCGGGAGCCATGGACGGGACGTACCGCCCGCGGAGGGGAGGAGGGAGTGCCGTGGCGAGGGCGAGAGCGGCGATGAGGGCCAGCAGGACCAAAGTAATGTTGGACGTCAGGTGCATAGTTTGCTGCGTTTTCACGATTCCCGGTAGTCTGTTTCTGTTGATGTCTCTGGGCTAACGTGCAGAGTGGGCGGCGCTTGTGGTGTCTTCCTTGCTGCAGTCGCTTCCCCTCGCCTGTTTGTTGTTTTTCTTGGTCTTATCCTCGTCTTGAAAAACGTGCTTGTCGGTCAGAAAGGAAGGGACTAATATTTAGGCCTGCTTTCTCCGTGTCTCTCCGAGGGCTTTCTTGTCAATGTTGTGTGCGTTTGGACAGTTGTAGATGTTTGGGAACGGCGCTCTGGGTGGAGGGGATGGGTAGAAATGAGTTTGCCCCGGATGACGTCCAGAAAGGGAAGGAAGCAACGAAGGTCTGCAATGGTAGCGGCCATGTGACCCAGTTCGGAGAGGTTCACGCAAACGCATTGTTGTTCGCCTGACCAAGGCTGGACTTGGATGGGTGGGTGTAGGTGAGATCTCGCTCAACTGCAAACGCCGAGGCAACCATAGAAACCGGCCGAAGCAGCTTTCTCCGCCCAGAGCAGCCAGTAGGAGTCCCCGGCTTAGACAGGATGCATTCAAAGTACAATATTCGGATTTAGTATTGTTCTCATTCCTATCAATCAATGTGAGTCGCTACCTAGTATCTTCACCGCATGAGACATTCATCGCTCACGCCGTCGCCCACATTATCCTCCACGTACCTGGCCCCTACTCCCGCTGAACTAGAAATCAAATAGTGTGAAAATAACCGTCCAAAAATAGAAAAGTAGTAAGTGAGAGAGTGTCAGAAAAAGAGTTAGATACAGAGGCTTGAGCCCGGCGTGTACACTTGTAGACAGGCACAGGGGCCAGGAGCTCAATTGAAGCAATTGCGAAATAAAACGTCGACATCATGGAGCCAACCATCACCAAGATGCTCGTGCTACGTGGCTGCACAGGCGTGCAACTGAGAGTTCTGATTGGGGTTGCCGCCCAGAACTCCAGCTGGCAGTGTCGAGAGTGCCGTGCTCAAGAAAAAAGAAAGAAGAGAAGAGATAAAGACTGTAAACGCCGAACCTTTTGTATATTCCCATGAATCGCCTAACGCTCCAACGAGTAGAAACCAAGCCCCAAAACGCTAATCAGAAACCGACATCATGATAAGCGGTGCTCAGTATGCTTGGCCGGGAACTGGTTTTCTCTGGGGAGCTTGACTCGGCGACGCGGGCGCAGGGTTCATCGGGCTGGGACCGGAAGGTCCCATTGGGCGAGGGTTCATGCCGCTGGGGCTTTGAGGGCGACCGGACGGAGGTCCTTGATAGCGAGGTCCGGGAGATTGGGGGCGACCGGGAGTCATCGGTCCACCGGGTCTCGGGCCCATGCCTTGCTGGGGATGCGGGCCTTGAGGTGTCATGGGGCGGCCCTGAGGTGTCATTGGCCTTCCTTGGGGCGTCATCGGGCGGCCCGGTTGGTTGGGGCCACGAGGGTAGCCGCCTTGAGGGTGGCTGCCTTGAGGGTAGCCGCCTTGAGGGTTGATTGGAGGACCAGGGCGAGGTGCACCCTGAGGAGCACGGGGCTTCACCGGACGCGTAGACAGGCAGGTGCGGGGAACAACACCCTGCTGAGACCGGTCGAGACGAATGCAGAGAGCCCAGCCATCATCATATTCGTGAAGAAGGCGAACCAAGTCACCGGCGGTAAGCTCCATCTCATCTTCGAGAGTAGGCTTGAAGTCGAGCTGGACGCGGTGGACGGCGGAGCTAGGAGGACCGCCAGCAGCCGCAATGGCAGCGGCGCTCTGGGAGGGGGGGTTGGGAGCCCCGGCGGGTATCGAAGAGGTGCTGAATTCAGTACCAGCAGGGCTGGGGGGGACCGCGTCGAGGGCGCCGGGGACAGTCAGATCAACGTCCTTCTGATTCGCCTTGCGCATGGATGTCTTTCTGGCCAGGGCTGCAGTACCGGCGGCGGCGCCAGCGGCGCCAGCAACGGCACCAACGGCACCAACGGCACCAACGGCGGGGCCATTAGCAGTCCATGGGTCGCGTGCAGGGCCATCGGGGCTGTAAATACGCTCCGCTCCGCTGCCAAAGGGGTTGTTGGGGTGGTTGCTCTGGCTTGTGCCGGGGCGATCCCACTGGTTGGCAGCGGCTGGGGCAAGGTTGGCGGCGCCACGCTGAGCGTTCTTCTCCATGTTCCAGTTGGGCAGGAACTGAGTGACAGGGCGAAGGCTGATGCGGGGAGCTCTGGGGTCAGAGTGGCTGGGCATACGAGCAAGAGTGTCGCCTGCGCCGTTGAGTTTTTCGTTGTCGGCGCTGCGACGCTGGACCTGTCTCTTGCGGCGGTTGAAAACAAGGAAGACAATCAGACCAACAAGTAAGACACCACCAAGAACACCAAAAGCAATGCCGGCCTTGGCGCCAGGACTGGTGCCCTCATCGGCATTGCTCTTGCTAGTTGGTGTGACTACAGAAGAGGCGGTGGGGGAGGGCAGCGCAGAGTAGCTGGACTGTTTGGTCTCATGAGTCGAGGTGCTCGAAGGGGCGACAGCTAAAGTTGATTCAATCGAGGTAGCTTCAACGGATGTGATCGACTTGGGTGCGGCGTTGGCAGTAGAGTCGGGGTCCTGGGTCGCTGCGGTGGGCTGACTGGCTGGGCTTTGATGTGACGAGTCGTCGGCGGTAGCGGCAGGTTCTTCGGTCTGCTGGGGGCTGTCCTGGCCCTGGGTTGACCAGCCACCGATCGGGCCGGTGAAGGTAGGCGACATTGTTTTGTATACTGTTCGAACGTACGTTTCAGCTGCAGAGAGAATTAGTTTAGACTCTTACACGATGGCCCCGTGTAAAGCCGTGGGCGCGAGAGGGCGCGAAGCAATTGGAGGTTTTAATGATGCAGTGAGTCTCGTACCTCTCTGAACTTTATCGCCCACGTCAGAAAGCTGCGAGTCCGGGAGTTGGATAACATTGTCTGCGAGGTCGTGCCTCTGGTGCTGGTGATGGAGGTGAGCGTGGCCCATGTTGACGTCTGCAATCTATGGCGACGGGAAGGCAGGAGAAACGCAAGATGAAGACGGAGAAAAAAAAAGAAGCAGGTCGCTTGTCACAAAATTAACACAGTGGCTTGGTTGATCGGTAGTTATTTTGGTTGCGGGGGAGGAGGTTGGTTCACCCGCAGACTGGAATGTTGTTGGCGGAGGCTGAGGGAGGAAGAATGTATCGAGTATTGGCAGACTATCGAAAGACCCAGAGGCGAGTTGTTGGATTGCGCGCCAATGTCTTAGAAGCGGGCAGCGGTGGAAGTAAGAGTTGGAGAGCCCGCAGAACAAGGGGAATATTCAAGGCTTTGATTCTGGATCTCGTCGTGACAAGTGAGTGAGGTCGTCGATCAAGTCGGGTTGGCGCGTGGGCTGGGACGAGTTCGCGGTGGAATGAGTGAGCGTTTGAAACGAAAAAAGAATCTATTGGAAAGGAATGGGACGAGTTGGCGCGCAGCACACGAGCAGTGAATAAAAGAGTGAAGAGGACACGCGCGCGCGCACCAGCACAGGGCGAAAGCAGACGTATGTTGGCAAGGAAAGGAAGAAAAGAGGGCAGAGGCCAAGGATGGACGGGGATGCAAATGGGCAGGGACGATGGTGGAGAGGGAGGAGGGCAGGGAGGGAGGAAAGGGTCAGTACCTCGGAATACTGGGAGAGCCCGGGAGGCACTGTACAGAGGAGAAATGACCTAATTGCGGCGATAATGGAAGGCTACTACTGGCTACTAGGTACGATGATCTTAGGTGCTGGCCCTGGTAGGTAGGGTTGTGTGATCTGGAGGCAACGGAAGGGAAGAGGGCTTGCTTGATTCCGTGCGAGGCAAGCAAGAAACAAGAGAAACTGGTGAAAGCTGCTGGCAGGAGAAAGCTGGCGTGGATGGGTGGATACGAGCAAGCCATTTATCCGCCTACCCCTGTCCAGGAACCTCTAGTTGTGCACTAGGCCGAACACCCTTGTTTGTGCATCACATCATAAATAGAGCACCTCATTGCCCTGCATCTCCAACACAACCTTTGTGTCGGGCAAAAGGCCATGAGCATCTGGACGTCTGTGCGCGGGGACATTGCGCAGGGCGGGTTGTCAAGGAGAAAAAATAATAATAAATAGATTCGTGCAATTAGACAAAATGTTGCTTTTTTTGCCTGAACGGATACTAACCCGACAACCCGCTCTTGCACATACTGACAGTCTTGTGCAAGCCACTCTACTTTGTGCCAGCGCAGATGATGCCCATAGCCACTCGACACCAAGGCATCCCTGAGAATAACCGTCATACTCCAGTCGCAATTTCAGCGGCCAGATGACGATCATCGTCGCGGCCCGGTTCCTGAATGGCCACAACGGGACGGGCTCGCACAATCGGACCGGCGGCGCACAAATGCAGTCATCCAGCGTTCAGATCCAGGGGCGCAAACGTTTCGTTTCCCGTTGGCGTCAGGTTACGCACCACACCAAACCTAGTAAGTGCCTGTGCTGTGCTGTGCTGTGCTGTGCTGTGCTGTGCTTGTGCATTGATTTGTGTGTTCGAGTGCTATTGCAGGCACCGACTCTTTTTGATTGGCCTGAGCCAATTCAGCCGGGTCCTTGTTAGCCAGGAACCATCTTGGGTTGGCCAATCAAGGGGCGCAGCTGGGTTCCACCAGATGTGACGGTGCTTGCATAGCGGCAGTATTGGGGGTCAGCTTCAAGGGAAGGGTGCACAAATCCATCCCCTTCCCCTGTCTGTCTCAACAATGACACCGCTCTCTCATCATCATCACTTGTCCTCACCAGCTGTGCCCCTGCTTTTCAATCATCCCGACTTTCGGCCAAAAAAAAAAAGCAAAGCCATCTCTTCCATCGGCCAAGTTGGCAAATAATCAAGCCGGATATAATTCGTACTGGCATGCCAACAATTCAGCCACACCGTCATGCACAACAGCACATTACCCAGGCTGAACAATACAGGGATCGCCATCTTCTCCCCACACAAGTCTTGGACCCCTCCCTCACATGTTGCCAGGGTGAGCCATCTGCTCGGTAGATGGAGGGCAGATTCATTGTTTCTATCGGTTTGCTTTCAATTAAACATGAATATTTATTCGTCAGCCCAGCAAATCCGGGGTTGACGTCTCGATCCATTTATCACATCATCAACGTTCATCTTCATTGCCAGGATTTCATTCTTCCCAACCTTGACACAATGCTGGCTTCCCTGGCTACCATGACGATGGAAAAAGGCGCTTTCCACCCTTCATCACAGACACGTCCCCCCCTCTCATCACACCGTTTCTCTCCTTGGCCTGTTCCCGCCCTTTAGCTTGCGGCTGCTTACCGTGTCCAACAAAAGGCCCAAGTCAGCTCAAAGCAACCCATCTGCATCTCGGCTCCGGCTGGCCTGAACGCCGTGTCCAAGCATGCTCGCTATCACGGGCCTCAAGAAACAAACACTTTTCACACGGACAAAATCGAAACATTTCTGGCCACTCATCCACCCAGCAAAACGGCCCTTGGCTTACCCGCCTCCACACGGCCTGTTCGTCAACTACTATCAACTAAAAAGTCTAGCAGGGTCCTGAAACGCAAGCCTCGGGCGCCTCTTCTTTAACTTTCCCATCGAGGCGGTCAAGCTAACGGGCAAAAGGGAAAGGTTGGTGGTCTGTGTCGATCACAGCCTAGCTTGCTAGGCCCGCCTGGAGACCCGACTCTTGGTACCTGGCGGAGATGAGCGACGAATGCCTGCAATAACCGCGTCAATACAGATCACCTTCGTATTATATTGCGAATATAATCAGCAGCACGTTATAGATTCTCGGCATCCATACGAATACAGGAAGCTTGGCAATTACCAGCCGCAAAGAAAAGATGCTCAGCCACCCGTCGCGCTGCAGCAACATGTTGCGCTACATGCAATACGCAGCTATGTATATAACCTCCAACATGCATGTCACCGCACATTGACCGTTGCGGCAGCCCTGGTGCATGAAAAGAACAGAATTTAGTGGCGTCATCATCGTCTTCTAGATTAATGCAACCAAATTGGAAGGATAGATAGATATCTGTCAATCGACAGCGAGCAGTACAGGACCGGAAAACAAGGTTTATCGCATTGTTCAATGCAAGCTACGGATATTCAGGCTTCCCATCCGAGCGCACCCACCCCTCTTAATAACTACCAACAGCATCAAAGAACTGGAAGCAGCTGTCCTCTGTCTCAGGGCAGCCCATCTGTCTCGCATGTCGCGCTCAGGCCGCGACGCACATGACGAGACTCCCCTCCCTCCTCCCGCCGTTGAGCGCACCCTCGGCTACGGAGTAGCTACCCAAGAGATCCTGCAGAGAGGCTCAGCATTTGCTATTGCAGCGCTCTCACTGCCGTATCCTTTTTATTGCGCATTCTCGTGTGTTCTCTCATCAGGCGACTGGCTGCCGGGTTGGGGCTTGGCACAGCGTTTTTGCTTCTTCCTGCCTGAATATCGGCTCCATTTTGCCCATCAGCCGAGACAACTGACCACGCGTCATTGCTGTAAAAATTTGGAAAGAATTCACTCGGCTTAGGTAGGTTGCAAGCCTCATGCTAACCATCAAAAGCCCCGAGAGCATGTTCACGGTCAGGGCGTCAAACACTGCTCTAGTCATCTCGATCTCTGATCTTGAGTTGATTTATTCCACAATCCTCACCTACTCAAACTCGTATGTGCACTTCTAAATGATAAGTCTATACAAACAACAAAAGTTATAGAGATGATGCGACGCGCGCTCCGCTCATGCTCTTCCGCCTTGAAAGAAAAGCGTCCGTAATGCAAAAACAATAAAGCCAAAAAAAAAAACCGCATCCGCTGAATTGCCCATCGATCCCGTTCTACATGGAGTCCTCCATCTGCCGGCTTCGCGTGCGCGTCCAGCTGTCCTTGTCCTCCTTGCCGCCCTTGCTTTCCAGGCCCATGCCGCGCTCAACCCACTCCTTGCTCTCCATGTGGCTCAGGCGGCTCAGCGCGCGCGCAAACGCAAACGCCTCCTCCTCGCCGGCGAACAGGTTCGACGACTTGAGCCTGGCTACGCTGCCCTCCATATCTGCCGCCATCTCCTCCATGACCGCGTCGACGCCGCCGCCGCTCTTGCTGCTGCTGGACGCGAGCAGGCTCTCCGCAATCTCGTCCCGCGAGACGAACAGCTCCCCCAGGGGCTTCTCCGTAGTCAGCACCAGCTTCGCGTTGCCCTCGTACACCGCGTCGATGAAGGTAATGAAGCGACGCGCCAGGTCGCGCTCGCGCACCGTCATCCCCGGCACGTCCGTCACCACGAAGGCGTCGTAGCACCGGACCAGCTCCAGGTAGTCGGCGGCCGACTTGGGCTGCCGGATGAGCTCGTCAAAGGTGAAGCGCGCGCAGCGGCCGCTGACGCGCGGCACCACAATCTCCCGCCCCCAGACGCGCTGCGTCTCCGGGTGCGGCGCAAAGTGCTCCGCGTCGCCCAGGAAGCGGAACCACTTGTCGGCGTGCGGCTCGGCGTGGCCGTCGAGCGGGGTGTGGTAGACGCCGGAGGGCGGGCGCGGGATCTTGCGGTAGTCGGTGGGCGAGTCGAGGTTGATGACGTGCAGGCGCGTCTTGAGCAGCTTGATGGCGGGGAGGAAGGACTCGCGCTGTATGCCGTTTTTGTAGAGCTCGTCGGGGTGCCGGTTGGAGGTGGTGACCATGACGACGCCGTGCGACATGAGAGCCTCCAGCAGCCTGAAGGGGTCGTATCAATTAGTAAAACCAGACGATATGACGTGACAACATGTAAGAGACACGTGAATAATGATAGAAGCGTTACCGTCTTAGAATCATGGCATCGGCGACATCTGTGCATTGAAACTCGTCAAAGCACAAGACGTTGCCCTGCTCCGCAATGTCCGCGGCCACAAACGGCACCGCGTCAATGTCCACGCCGTGCTCCATCTTCATCTTGTGCAGGCGCCGGTGCACGTCCTGCATGAAGTTGTGAAAGTGTATCCTCGTCTTGCTCTTGACCGACGGCGGCAGCGTGTCGTGGAACAGGTTCATCAGCATCGTCTTGCCGCTGCCGACGTCGCCAAACAGGTACAGCCCGCGCGGAAGGTTGTCCGGAATCTGCCCGATGGCCGACTCGGCGGCCTTGCCGCCGCCAAACAGCGACGAGAGGACGGACCTCTTGGGTTTGAGCGATTCGAGGCTCGGGTGCACGACCGGCGGCGCGTGGTAGTCGCGCAGCTCATCGTAGAGATGCTGCAGGCTTTCGATGATTCCTGGGACAGACAAGTTAGCAAAAGCAAGGCCACTGACTGGTCTGGGACGAAGGATCGGATGTACCTCTTTGATGCTCGTCGTTGCGCAGCTCGCCTGCCTCGACACGGGCATCATACTCTGCCAACGGACCCCCGCCGCTGCCAGCACTAGCTCTGGTACCTCCTGCCGCCGCTGCCTCCGTCGCCAGGGACCGGCGCGGCACGACGAGCGCACCACCACCGCCTTGCCGCCCCCAACGTGCCGGCGCCGGCGGTGATGACCCTTCCCGGAGACACGCGGCCGGGCCGCATCTCTGTGGCGGCCTCGCGGTAGTCACGCGCCCGCTCGAGAGTGTCCGGATCGAGGAGCGCCGAGGAGGCTGCGTCGCGTTGCTGCGGGCGCAGTTGGCCGAGGCCTGCAGCCGCCGCAAGGGCACCGCCGCAGCCGCCGTGCTACCCCGCATTATTGTTTCGTATCCGACGGCCGTTGCTGTGCAAGTTCTTCTCTGCTTTCGTCTCACTGTGTGTAGTTCGAGTCAATTCAGCGGTGCGTGGCCGGGTCGCGGGTTGCGTTTGTAGAACGGGGTTCGTGAATGTTCGGGAAGTCGGCTTTGTTTTCGTGGAGTGGAGTTAGAAGAAGCCGGTCCGCAGTTGAAGAAGCCGGGGGAGGCGGTGGGACAGACAGCCAGGAGGTCACGTCATGGCCCCTGGCGCGGGCCGAAAAAAGCTGACATGTTTCCGACGAGACATGCAATGGTCATTTTCCAGCAAAATCAATCCATTTGCTGCTTTATTTCATGTTTTTTTTTTTTTTTAAGAAAAAGTCAACCCCTCTATGCTTTGCTTTCAACTCCCCCGTAGTGGTACTTATCCATGACCTCCCTCAACCTGTCCAGTGGCAGCGACTCGATCCTGTGCCCTCTGTTTCCCACCATCGTCTCCGCCATGCACAGCGCGTTGTAGATGGCCTCCTCGGTCGCGTCCGCCGTCGCCTCAAACAGCGCGTTGATCGTCTGGTCGTCCGCCGCCGCCGTCTCGCCGCCGTCCAGCGCCGCCAGCTTGAACGGGTCGACCCTGCGCGCGTTGGCGTTGACCGTCTGCACCGGCACCTCGCTCGCCGTCGAAAAGGCCAGGAAAATGTCGCCGGACGGGTTGTGCCCGTAGCCGCCCACGCGCGCCAGCCCGATGGTCGCGCGCTTGGCCACGCGCTGCAGCTGCGTCGGGTGCAGCGGCGCGTCCGTCGCGATCACCACGATGATGGAGCCGTCCTTGGTCGCCTTGGACTCGTCGGCCGCGTTCCGGGGCGCCTCGGTCTGCCCGGCCGCCGCGGCCGCCGCGTCGTCGGCGTCGGCGATGATGCGCCCGACGGGGACGCCCGAGACGCGGAGGTGCCGCTGCCGCCCGTAGTTGGCCTGCACCAGCGCGGCGACGGTGTACGTCGAGCCCTCGGTGGCCCCGGGGACGACGCGGCTGCTGGTGCCGGTGCCGCCTTTGAAACCTTGGCAGATCATCCCGGTGCCGCCGCCCGTGTTGCCCTCCGGTACCGGATCGCTGCTCGCCTCCTCCAGGCCCTTTACAATGTGCTCCGGAGTGACTGCAAACACGCTCAGGTCGTTGAGATGGCCGTCAAAGGTCTCGCCGACGACGGGGAGCAGGAACCAGCCCACCTCGCCGTCGTCTCCGACGTAGTTCTTCAGCGCATGCTGGTAGATTCCAGTGTACGCCTGGCCGACGGCGAAGCTGTTGGTGAGGACGATGGGTGAGTGCAGGAGACCCGTTTCCTCGATCCAATGCGTGCCCGTCATCTCGCCGGAGCCGTTGAAGCGGAAGATGCCTGCGTAGCAAGCCTTGCGGAACCATTCATCGCGTGGGATGATGGTGGTGACTCCCGTATTTACATTTCCGTCCATTGAATGAATGGATTGTGTATGGGCGCGAACTCCGGGCACGTCTGTGATGCCATTCTTGGGTCCCGGAGGCCAAGAGCCCAAGAAGACGGATGGCACGACATCACGAAGTCGAGCTCGCGGGCTTGTCGAATGAGAAGCAGACATGAATAAAGATTTGAAGATGATTTTTTTTGTTGCCAAGACTGCTGGCCAACGGCCAGATCCTTTGACTTTTATAACTTTATAATAGGCGACGAACAAGAGGGGCGACAGCTTCAGATGACGTCTGAATTCCCCCGCGTTACAACTAGCTATTCAACGTTTGCAGTTAGTTACAGTAACTAATTACTAGCGGGATGAGTCACCCCGACAGAGTCAAACGCCATGATATTTTCTATGATAAGACATCATTACCTGCTTTGCTCTTGGTGGAAGTTTTCGAATTATTATCTCGACAGTGGGGAGGCGCGGGGGTCTCACGGTTGTGGTTCATCCAGTCATACATAGCCCGAAGTAATAGTATGCAACATCAACCAGCAACAAAGCTTTGGGTATTATTATTTGTGCCGAGACACGTCATACCTATGAGTAACAAAAAAGGGGAGAAATTGTTCTCCTATGCAAGAGAGCGCCGAGTAGAACAATATTCTACCACACCACCAAAGGCCCCATCGACTCAGAGCATGTACAGAGCAGTGCCGACCACACCGGCGAGGGCCACAGTCGAGACCTGGAGCATACCAGACGAGTTCTTCTTGTCGGTACTATTGTCCTTGTTGCCGTTCTTAGCGTCGCCTTTGTCGTCTGAGCTGCCCTTGTCGTCTGAGCTGCCCTTGTCGGCCAGCTCGCCACCGTACGTATTATTGCCAGGAGAGACTCCCTTAGAGAGTTTGCTAGCCCGGTTCTTGTAGTCGTCGAGGGTCTTGTTTTCGCTGGGGTTGACGATTCCCACCATGCCTGAGGCGCACTCTATGCCCTGCGAGGAGTAGTATACCATCGGTTCGGTGTCGTTGACCTTGACGCGGAAAACCTTGCCCTGTGAGTGGTGCAATGTCAGTACCGAGTGAGAATTGCTGCCAAGATGCGGACAGGGGGACGCACGCTGGAGCCATCTACAACGCCAGAGTAGAAGCCAGTTCCTATCTGGACAGGAGAGCAGGGGTATTGGTAGTCGCCGAGGACGACGCTGTGGTTTGAGCCTTCGAAATGAAACTCGAGAACATCGCCCTTATCAGCCGTCGTCGAGTCAGGGTCGAAGCGGTTGCCGCTTTTGGCGGTGATGGTGATGGTCTTGGCCTGGGCGACAGCCAAAAAGGCGGCGGCAGCGGTAAGAAGGGTGTTGAAGGAAGGCATACTGAAGATACTGATGGTAGAAAAATACGAGATGGATGCAAGTTTGATGGAGGTGAAAATAAAAAAAATAAAAGAAAAGGAAGAAATGCACGGGTTATTGTGGCAGTGACAGTTTTAACGGGAGAGGATGAACAAGGAGGGCGCTGTCCAGTCTGAGCCTGCCTTGTCTAGAACAAACGAGCAGGTACCTGGCAACCTTGGCAGTTGCGCGAGGAACAAGGCAGGGCTCGTTTGCGCCTGACAGCACAGCCGCCTTTGTGTGTATGATTGATTACGCTCCCGTATTGATCTTGGGAGCCCGTTTATGTGATGTGGCATGCGCAGCAGAAGGCTCGTGTGAGTTGTGTAACGAACCGGTGACGGGAAAATATGACGTGTGTGATGTGTGAGCCATCATGTCGCAGATGATACGTTCATCAAAGAGGGTGATCGTTTGAAGTATCCCGGCCGTTGTTCGTTATATGATGGTAGATTAACATTATCAACTTTTGCTACTGGATATCTATGCAGTTGGGCATTTTTGCCGTCTTGCGGTTGCTTTTGAAAGGGCCATCTGTAGGCATTTATGCCCAAGCAGATCGTAGCCTGGAACTAGGAGGCTATGCGTTATACGAGGGCAAGCATCAATCATAGCACCTCCATTCACTTATCCCTGTTGAAAATAGGCTGACGGGAAGCAAGGATACGACAGTGCACAATGTCGCAGTAACTTGAACGGCAGTAACTTGGGCCATCAGTGAATTACCAGTGCATCCGTCAGCAAGTACAAGGCGGCTACTTTGTGTCTCATATTAGCGACCGACTGCGGCATGCACACAATAAAAATGTACAAGAATCAAAATGCCAACGCAGAGGAGCATCGAATAAAGATGAATTATACCACGCGACGTTAGTCTATTGATTATCCGTGCATTGAGACGTTCCATCATGGCGTCCCAAGTTACATTGCAAACGCCGCGCACTGTAGGGTAGGTAGGTATTTGGTAAGGTGACGACTTATGGCCAAGGCGCCAACTTCCCGCAGGTACCTAGTCCATTGATTCATGATAGTATGACATCTGATACGATGGACGATTCTTCGCTATAGAGTCCCCCGTTAACCGGTGCGACGGTTTCAAAAATTGAATACCATTATTTCCGTACCCTGGGTATAATTCATCTCAGATGAGGCGCCGCACTCTCCCACCCAAATTTATGCATCGGCAGATGTTCAAGCCTACGCACGGCCCGGTTCATGTCCAACCAGGGATTCAAGAACCAAAAAACAACCCAACCACAACAACACAAATCCTCCGGCAGCCCCGGGATTTAGCGCGATAGCCGAGAGAGAGACCGCGCATGGCCGGCTGTCGCTGTACGTACATCAGACAAAGCTGAACATTGCTTGGCATGAGGCGACTCTAGGTTTGCCAAACCGTACAATCGTGGCGACGGACCAACGGAAGAGAGCCAATCTTGGCAAGGGCGACGGCCAACCTTAGTGAATAGGCGACTACCCCGGCGCACGAGGCAAAGGCTATATACTAACTAGTTACACGGTGGCGAGACGGGAACGCAATTCGCCGACGCCGTTTTCCCATCTAGTACATCGAGGCCGCCAAGATGGCGACGCCGAAAAAAGTATAAATCTTGATCTGTCCAACCAACCAAAGCGGGCAAATTTTGCCTCCTCTGCCAAGCATTTTCGACCAAAATTGCATCGACAACAGCCCTAAATGCTACCATGTACATCTTTCACTCTGCTCTTCATTGTCAAGAATAACATCGCCACATGGCAGAACTCAGCTCGATTACCAGGGCACCATCCGCATTTCGGCTAGTCACTCCGGCACCAACGAAGCTGAGATGGATACCCGTTCTGATGAGGCTTGCCCGTGAATTTGGGGGCAAACGACGAGCTTCAGGTTAATAATAGGAATGGGGACGACGGGGCCGTCCCCCCCCGTCGCAACAGCTTTCTCCAGCGACGATGGACTCACTCTCGCCGTCTTGGTTCCGGAGAACGGAGCCACCCGCTGTGAGAGGTGTGTAGCCGGAGCAGTTCCGATAACTAGCTTCACTACCTTCTCGGAATGCATGGTCTTCTGTGCCGTGTCTACAGCAGACTAACACCTGTCTACTAGCAGCCCGCTAGAGCAAAGCCCCCGTTGATTGAACGCTAACTAGACAAGTTCGAAACCGTTTGATAGTGGATGGCTTCAACAAAAGTTGACAGGGCCGGCAAGGACCCTAAAACGGACAAGAGCAGAAAAAAGAAAAAGCAGAGAAGCTCGTTGTGGCTGCACGCCGCCGCAACGGAGGTGGACGATCATGAGTTGACGAGGCTCCGGTCTAACGTTTCACAGTCTCTCTAACTAAGAGGGGGGAGGGGACCAAGCCAGCCCCCTGATTTAGTAACAGCGATGAAGCTACTGCACGTTTGATAGAATGAAGGAATGGAAAAGGGAAAAAAGGCACGTCGAGAAGCCTGGAGTGGTAAAAACTCGTCCTCTCAGCGGAGTCCTCTGTTGCAACTCGGGCCACCCAAAGGAGATAAAGTTGCGCCACGTCTGAGCCCACGTTCGTATGGTCAAAGTTGGCCGTCTCCAGCTGCAGTTGTCACGGCCTCTTTTTTCATCTGTTCCCGTTTCCGCCAATGATTTGCCTAGTTGGCAGGTTAGCTGGTTAGCTCTGTCGCTAAGCATGCCTATTTGGAGGCTGGAGAGCGCCCGAGTTCAGATCGGGGAGTCGAGAGATCGAGAAGCAAGCGTCCGCGATTTGACCTTTTTGACAAGAAGTGTACGTGCGTTCTGGACAACGTGGCTTCGTCTGCTCCATCCACCGTTTCTCTCTCCGTCTCTCTGCAGTCCACTGCAGAACTAGCCCCGCGCCCTCCAAAGAAAGCCCTCTCATGTTAGTTATACTTATGAACTTGCCATGCGAGCCAGCTTACACAAGGCAGAGTCGTGTAACACCGCTAGTTGGTTCGAGATGTCGTGGTCGTTCTCGTGCTCGGTTCTCTCAACCTCGAGCTCTTCCTCCTCCCCTGTCGACGAGCGAGTCCCGAGAAGCAGCTAGTGGATTATCAATAATAAGACATTCTCAAACGTGTTTGGATCCACGGACGACCAAGGGGCGAACGAGGCTCCATCTTCAAAGGCACCGTTGAAACGCCTAGGGCCAATGTAACAAGACGAGGCTGGCCGATCCGCACCTCCTCTCCTCACCTCCTCCTCTCTGCCAGGGCGCTTTTTCGCAACACAACATCATCATCAACGGCCAGCCAGCCATGTGCCTGTCTCGTTGGGTTGGCTCCAACCATCCAGCCAACCAGCCAACCAGCCAGCAAGCCCCCTACCTAGTAAACTAGTTAGCTTGTCAAGTTTCCGCCCCTCGCAGCCCACTTGGGCTTGTGATGCCAACGTTCTCGGCGTTGCAAAAAAAGGACGACTCCCTCTCCTCTTCCCCCACCCCTCCCCTAGGGACCTCCGGACGGCGGGCTGAGTGGGAGCAACGTATAACTGACCGGTAAGGCCAACGCGTGGTCAAGTGGGCTAGCAGCTGCCGTAAAAGTACCGCGGTCAAAAGGAAGAGATGAGATTCCATCTCGGCTACGTCCATGGCATGTGTTGGATAGCAACTAGCTAACTAACTCTCCGTAGCTTTTCTTCGCTGATCGGGAAGGTCGTCAACGAAAGTTGTCCCCCTCCGCTCCCCGCCTTCTGCCTGTCCTTGACGGCGACCCTTTTTCCCCTCATGTGGCTTGTCAAGTTCAAGCCCCCGACCGACGCCGGCGCCCAACAAGACAGGAGCAGCCATGAATTCGTGCTGCAGGTCATTTCAGTCTTCTAACCAACCAGTCAAAAAGCCGAGGCGCGCGGCTGAAGTTGGCCCGCAGATGAGCGAGAGAGAAAAAAAAAAAAAAAAGAGACGGCCCTTGTTGCCCCTTCCCCCTTCACTTTCTTTCCTGGGATGATGCCTGCCTGTCAACCTTTTTTTAACCCCCCCTTGGCAACTGCTTGTGTCATATTGCCTCCCTCCCACCCTCTCGCTTCTCTCTTGTCCGACAGGCTTTCGCCTCTCGGCCTTCAGCTGTCAAACGGCTATTAAGGTTTCGCTCTAAAGAGTGAACCAGCGGGCCGCCGTTGTTCCCGGCACGCTAGAAGCTCAGTAACTGCGCTGAGTCGCGCTGGTCGGGTGATTGAGGCGAAAACAAAAAAGGAAAAAGGAAAAAGGGAAGAACCAGCAAACTCGAGTTTCATGGCCCGAGTCGCCGTCACGTTGTACATAGAGACATGTCATAACTTGCTATTGCCGAACCCTTGTCGCCTGTCTCTTTGGCACACGCCCCCCGTCCACTTTGGGTCAACAAAAGAGAAAAATTGTTACAGCAAGTGCTTTTCTTTTTTTCCCTCCTTATCGGAAACTAGTGAGTTGGCAAAAAAAAGTCGCCCGGAATGAAAGGAAGACAGACAGCTTGGTAGCGTGGTCCACCGCCCACCGGTCCGTGGTCCGGTAACTACTAGTTAACTGACAGCTAACAACTCGGCCCTAACCAACAAACTCGATGGAAACTCTTTAGTCCAGGCTATTCTGTACTTTTGCCTTTGGGCTTCTAGTTAGGAGGGAGGGTGTGTGCCTGTGTATGTACTGTACCAGTATCCTAGTTCCGTATATGTACCCGCTGTCAAATCTGGGCGGCCAACGCTGTCAGTTCTGACTTACATCCATCCACACACATCCACCACAAACTACCTTGGCTCCGCGCCGCCGCATGTCACTCGGCCCCGTGAGAAGCCCGGCCTGTACTGCGTCTCCCCCAAGGCTGCATGGCTTCGTTACAAGGCGCCCCTTCCTTCCCCTCTCCTCTGCTCGCGTAGTCGTGATACCTATCATACCCCCCCCCCCCCTGCTGCCCAGCCACCAGACACGGCCCCAGATCGGGCCTGTTGTCGACGACGACGACTGATATCACTTCGGGCAGATAACGACAAGACAGAGAGGGAGAGAGAGAGAGAGAGACAGAGATGGAGATGGAGCATATGTGACTTCATTCTATGGCTCGCGCCCCCACGCCCATGTCCGCTTTTTCCCTTCTTTCTAGCACCACGTTGCTCACTACTGGTACGAGCTTGTCGTCGTTGCTACCGGCTACCAACTAAACCAAACCCAGGCCCTCCTCGGTCATCCACACTGTTAGTCGTTGTCCCAAAATCTCCCCCTCCCTTACTCGCCGCTACTCTCTGCCCTTTACGATTCAGGTTCCGGCTCTTTATATTTAGCAGCCGTGTGAAAAATCTCAGGGTTTTGCCCAATGGGAAGTAAAAATGTCTTGGCTCGCTAGAGTTGCCCTAGCGTCTCACTTAATCCAGAATAAACTCGGGAAACCTTCGTAGCACCCGCACCACAGGGAGAGCGAGCTGGGTCCCCCGATTTCGATTTGCCCAACTGGTGAGAGACAAGAGACCCGGCTGCTTGGGAAGTGTGACCGGGACCGCCATGCGGCAATGACAGCCCGTCCTTGTGGCGCTTCTGCCCCAGTCGTGCGTCTCGGCGTATAGATGATAATGTTAAAGGGGGGGTCCTTTTGGCCACAGGTCGCTCTCTCTCCCTCTCTCTCCCTTTCTACACTATACTTCCTCTTATTAGCGCTGTCACGGAGAGGCCTAAAAGAGAGGAAGCCAACGTCAACCACCGACCACACAGTTCCAGTTCTTCCGCCCCCCCCCCCCCCCCCT